ATGTTGTGTTTAGGTACATTTCAGCATTACTAGATGATGGGGAGAAGGCAAGTTTACAACAAGCAGTTGAACGTGGTTGGCCTGCCTCCCTACACTTGATAGGAAAGGTGGATTTCAGGCGTATTAACAGTTTCAACCATTCATGCTCCTTCTCATTTCTAGCAAATTCTGTTTGCTTCTCTTCTCATCTACCCTTAGTTTATTTGTTCACGTTGCTTGATATGTTCTTGCGATGATAAGGATAACTCTGGCGTGGGCTGATAACTAAGCACTGATGATGCTTGAGTCTCAGAATAATCATCAACTAAGTATTAAAAAAACTGTGGTTCTATTGGGTTAATCATCAATCCAGATTATTGGGTTTTTTCATTCTATAATATTTTTAATCATGTGTTATTACAGTTTTCCATGCTCTAACCTTATATTGGGCACTGTGAACATTTCCTTTTAAATTTTTATCTCCTTGGTCTGTGCACAGATAGAGATGGTAGGTGGAAAATTATTCTGGAGTGGATTGGATGTTAATTTTGAAAATAATCGTTGACAAATTCTTGTTCGGCATGCCTTAGTTGAAACTGTTTTGACAGAATTAGGCCCTGATAAAAATTGACAGAAATAGGATTAGCTAGGACATCAATGATAATCGGCCTTCTTCTAATACGATAAATCTGATTATTTTCACATTTTTCCTGACTCTTATAATGCCAAGACACACTTTACTTCTCTTTATCTACTGCTTTGAGTATTTGTACTATTCCTTCTCCATTGTAATATAGGGCTGTAGTTAATGCTGACAGATTTATCTGGCATCACCTATGCAGTGGACATTGATATTTATGTCCAGTGTACAGGCAAGAATGTTGGATGAACTTCTTGAGTTTTATTTCTATTTTTTATTTTGTTATAATATGGTTTATGATGATTCTTTGTACATCTACCTCAGGACATATTGCGGTTTCATGCAGTATATTGGCCAGCAATGTTAATGTCAGCAGGAATAAGTGTTCCTGATGCAGTTTTTGGTCATGGATTTTTGACAAAGGTGATCCTACCTATTTTCATCGTTATTATTTCCATTTCTACAGATCGATGACAGCATAGCACTGTACCATAAGTAAACAGTAATGGAACCTGTTTTTCCTGCAACTCATGTTCATTTTCCTGATCCGAACATTTGGATGTCCATGCTGGATGATGATTATTATTATTTATCCTAATGTTCTGTTTACAGCTTTAACATCCCTTCTTAAAAATAAACTCTCCAGGAGCATGAAGAAGCTATATACTTCAATTCTATATTAAAAAAAAATCCTGGACTACCCTCTTATAGATCTTTACAAAATATCATCTCTATGACTCTACCGTAGCATGCACCGTGTTTTGCTTTAGATAGCAGTCTATGTTTTCTGCTGATTATAGTGTATATGGGCTTTCCTCTTATGTTGGTTGGTATCTCAAATATAGTCATACAGGTAGCAGCAATGTAGCTTATAGAAAATATTATGTGGTTTTTTTGCCACATGTTCCGTGGTGTTAAAGTTTTATTTATTTATTTATTTTTGCCGGGTCGGCCGAAAGATTCGGTCGACCAATTTCATTAAGAGAGAGAGATAGATGTGGTGTTAAAGTTTGTAACTCTCGTACGCGACCTTCCAGTTGTAACTATTATGTCTTCTACATTATCTGGAAACAAATATCAATCTTATATTCCATGAGAAAGGTTTCAGTGGTGAACATAAAGAACTGTTTACAGGTTCTCTGTTTGCTACTTATCTCATCCAGTCACTTTTATTTCATGCAGCAATGCTTTTTATTTTGAAAAATTTTAGGATGGCATGAAGATGGGAAAATCATTAGGCAACACACTTGAACCAAAGGATCTGGTAAACAGATTTGGAGTAGACTCTGTTAGGTACTTCTTCTTGCGGGAAGTGGAATTTGGCAATGACGGGGACTATTCAGAGGAACGCTTTATCAATATAGTCAATGCGCATCTTGCCAACACCATTGGTATTTCTACTCAAAGCACCTTTGTTTCTGGAGTATAAAACGTCTTGATGGCTTTTAGATTTTTCTTTAGCTGGTGTAGAAGTTTTTCACCAATGCGCATCTTTATTTGTTGTTAATGATCATTCTCTCATCTTAAACAGGAAACCTCCTCAATCGCACACTTGGGCTGCTAAAGAAGAATTGTAAATCCACATTAGCTTTTGACTCGATTGCTGCCGCAGATGGAATTTCATTAAAGGATAATGTTGAAAACTTGGTAAGTCCTCTTGGCATCTATAAACTACAATTGGCGGAGTCAAGGAATAACATTTTAAATGACAAATCTTTTGTTAAGTTCTTGTTGGGCATGGCATGCTCAAAATCGCTTTAGTAAAAGACTTTGCAGAAAATAATTCTGAATGTACATTAAAAATCTTGAATTCTTGAACATGTAGCAGTTGCTCCTCAACTGAATTATAATATGCATATGTTTTGGAGGTCACTTCAAGTCCATTTGTGCTTTTAATGTGTATATCATTGAGATAAACTGATCATTTATTGCTGTGTAGTATCTTCCAAATTTTTATTTATCAGCCTACATGCTACAACCAAATAAACGGACCGACTTTTACCATGCTAGCTAAACTGATTCATGATTTATGCATATGCTATTCATTATATTAGCACGTGATGGCAAGGACTTCACATGATTTTTGTCAGTGATATATTGGTTTCATTTGTTCTTCCAAATCTGTTTTGCATCTGGATATTTCAGAACACCACCTGCCATCCATTTACTCTTATCCGGATCTTTGCATGCTCTGTTGTGTATATGTTGGTTTGCAGATGTATAAACTTTTTTATGCAGGTGGACAAGGCAAAGGATCAGTTTGAAAATCTTTTGCTGTCATCAGCATGTGAAACTCTTATGGAGATTGGTAACTTAGGAAACTTGTACATTGATGAGCAAGCACCATGGTCTTGTTTCAAGCAAGGGGGTGAGAGTGCTGAAAAGGCAGCGAAGGTAATTATTTAAAATTGTCACAGTTTGTCTTACTTGTTTCAGATTTCAGATGCCTGCATGAGTCTGAATGTACCGACCAGCATCAATAAATAAAATTTGCAATATATTTTCTTCTGGTGCTATTAGATATAAGCCACAAAATCTGATCTCATGTGGAATAATCGTTATAGGAATTTGAAGCATTGAACTCATATTTATGGACCTATTTTTTTGCCTGTATTTTGGATTGGATTGAGACTAATCACATTGTTGTTTGGTTTGTGATTTTGAGATATAACTTGTTCAGTTAATTCTGCCTCCAACTATCTTCAGGATCTTGTTATTATTTTGGAGACTATGAGAATAATTGCAATTGCACTATCACCGATCACCCCAAGCCTTTCTTTGAGGATTTATACACAGCTTGGTTTCACAGAAGACCAATTTAGAACATTGAGATGGGTATGCTCTTAAGACTAAGTGATATTTCTCTTTATTTATATTTCCCAGTATTTCATGGTTATTATCCTCGAATATATATAATCCAACACCCTTGCAGAAAATACAAGGTTTGCACACTAGTATTGTGAACCTGGAGGTTGGGTTTTCCTATGGTATGACTAGACAACCTAGCATATAATTTGTCAACTATGCCCTGCAGGAGGATACCAAATGGGGAGGTCTAAAGGCAGGTCAGGTAATGATGGAGCCAAAGCCAGTTTTTGCAAGGATAGAAACAGAGACGGACGAGAAAGATCAATCAAGTTCGAAGGCAACAAAAGGCGGGAAGAAGAAGGCAAGAAGTCAAGGACTTGTGGAAGCATGAGTCAAGTTTGTGATGGTGTACATAGCATAAAACTACCTGCGACCTTGTCGCTTGGTGACAAAGAAGGCCTGAAGCATTTTCTTGGGGCGAATTGGTTTCTGCAATTTTGTTCTAACACTGGCTTTCCAATTCCAAGTAGTACATACTGATACTGATAGCTGAGTTAATTCCCCACTCCCGCAATGTTTTATTCCAGTGAACGCAGCTATTGCTTCTGTTTGTTATTGGAATAATGGAGCATCCTGAGCTCATCCATCTTTATCGAATTTAGATTAAATCTTTTGTACGATTCCTAACATGACATTTATGGAATTGGGAGCACCCTATTTAAGAGGGAAAAGATGCATTTGATGGAGCAGTACGTTATTATTAATTATATCACTATTTGAAGAAAATATTGTATAGAATTTGTACTCTCCATACTGGAATAGCACATTAGCACGTCTGGAGTTAGAAATTTGTACACTTTAATCTCAACTAATAATAACCATATCAATTTTTTTTGTCTCAACCTTGATTTCTTAAAAAAGAGATTTAGATGTGACGGAGAGCTGGTGCATCCCAAAATATTCTCTATCCGTCCATGTTCATTTTCAGCTCCTCCATCCTAAGACAATTAATTTGTGTAAGAAAATAGTTGATTGAAAATAGATAAAACGAGTAATAATTGCATTAGGATTTGAGAAAATAGGGTATTTAACTCTTTTGGTTCCATATTGGTATGTGCGAGATGGTATTCAACTCTTTTGGTTCCATATTGGTATGTGCGAGATGAATGGAAAATAAACTTATTTTGAGACGGAGGGTGTAGTCAGTACAAACTAATAAATATGCTTTCCTATTTTTGAACATCTTGAAGTAAGATTTGAAAGTAAACACACTGGGATCTTATTTCTAAAAATAAATTTTTGAAAAGTTTAATGGAATGTTGGCGGGTTCAATTTTAAATTTATACTGAAATACTCCCTCCGTCCCATAATATAAGGGATTTTAATTTTTTGCTTGCAACATTTGACCACTCGTCTTATTCAAATTTTTTTGAAATTATTATTTATTTTATTTGTGACTTACTTTATTATCTACCGTACTTTAAGTACAACTTTTCGTTTTTTATATTTGTAAAAAAATTTGAATAAGACGAGTGGTCAAAAATTACAAACAAAACTCAAAATTCTTTATATTGGGACGGATGGAGTAGTTTCAAAACGGTGATAATCGGCTACCGAAGATTTTTTTTATTTTTTATTTTTACTTGGGGTTACCGTCTTCCGCTTCCGCTGCGGCGGCGCAGTGGGGGAACAACGGTGAGCTCGGTCTCGGACCCGCAGCCGCAGGCGAACGGCGACCATCAGCCGGCGGCGGAGGCGGCGATGGAGGACAATGGGGCGCAGGTCGAAGAGGTGGTGGACTCCGGCGAGAGTGAGACGATGGAAGGCGTCGCGTCCATCGCGCTCCTGCCCTCCGGCGCCATCTCCGGCCACTTCACCCGCCTCCCTGACTCCGTCTGCTACGGCCTCCACGGCACACGTATCCATCTCCCTCTCTCTTTCCATATTCCTGCACTTGCTGGTGGCGATCATGGGGTTGGTTCCATCCAACTGTCTATTGCTTGAATCGTCTGCGCTCTCACCAAAACCCCCCTTTGCTCATCGCACTAATGAAATGCAACTAATCAAGTGATGTACAAGGAAATTTGATTGCAAATATTAAGTGTTTACAAAATGGCATGACCCTTTTGCACGAGATGTCGGAGTCTTTTTATGCTATCTGAAACATGTAAGATTGACCAAGCAGATAAATCGTACTTCCTCCGTTTCACAATGTAAGACTTTCTAGCATTTCCCACATTCATTTAGATGTTGATGAATCTAGACATATGTATGTGTTTAGATTCATTAACATCTATATGTATGTAAGCAATGCTAGAAAGTCTTACATTGTGAAACGGAGGGAGTATCAAACAATGCCCTTACCTATGTTGTGTTTTTCAAAAGAAAATGTGTATAAAATTGTATGACCTGTTATTATCTAGGAATTGGGGTTTCTTTTGTGCCTTATGAAAAAAGAATCAAGATTAACAGCTGATGCCCTTATTGACATGTAATAGAAGCTTAAGTGATACATAGTGAGATAATATGTTCTGAGTAGCATAAGGGAATTGGTGTCGGTGGAATTGCGCCCCATCTGTATCTGTGCTAGATAGAAAGATATATAAATTTCAGAAACTTACATTACTCTTCCCCATTTCTTGTCTATCATGTAAGCGATATCTTGTGAGAGGGAGTGCAGCCGAGGAGAAGATTACCGCCTGATAAAGCTTTCCATAATTGATTTTAAGGTGAGAAATTCTAACTTGGTCCACCTTCAAGTGTATCTTCTACTAATTATTTTGTTCTGTATTTTCTTGGACCTATAAGAATTAACCTGCAGATATTTTATATTCACATATTTTCTCGTCAGATAAAAATTCTCATTTAACTATGATGCCTATTAGATAGAACAAGCACGAGAAGGTGGTTGTGGTGGAATGCAGGGGCCATGATGCTGCTCGGTTGCAAAACATTGACCATTTGCATGGGTAAGTACCTTTTGTCATGGATGGATTTCATTATAACTAATGCTGAATTTACTATTTGTCAACAATTTCAAGAGGATTTTGCTGAGATACTGTTAGTACTCATTTTCTGAGGCTCCATGGGCACATAATCAGTTTACAGTGAACATGAAAGCAATATATGATTGCAGCATATTATGCTTTGAACGAGTCCTCTGGTTAGTAGAATTGGAATAGAACCAAGAGAAGGATAAATGGCTCTTTTTATCAAGTATCAAGTGCTATCTGGTGCGTCTTTGTTCTCTGTTTTTCATTAAATTTCTGTCGGGCCCATCATGCAATTTCCAGAGCTTTGACATGAGTTATTTAGCATACTTTTTCCAGCAACCAGAGATATGTTAATGTATAATTGCTTTGGGTCTTACTGGCATGGAGTTGGAGTTGTAGATTAATACTGTAACACCTTGTTATATTCCTGAAACGCTATGACTTGTGTTGATTGTCTTATCTGTAATTAGATATCTTGCATAAGTCCTAACGAATAAAAGAAAGTGTGACAAAGGAAAAGAGGGGATTACATGAGAAGTGATCTCTAGTATCCCTCGTTTGACACCAGTGAATGATGGTAAAGATTATGGCCTGAGGGAACTGGGACTGTATTTTTGGTATCAGTTGTTTGTTTTAAGCTGAGTATGAATTTTTATCCAATCAAAGTTTTACCAAATGAATAATTTTTTTGTGCAGTTGGGAAGATGACATTGTTGGTTTGGTTGAAAAGAAACACGGGAATCGGAAGTTTTCACTCTCCTTCGAATGTGAGACACTGAAGGCTGACAAAGCTGCAGAAGAGCACATTAGCAAGTATATGCCAAATCTAAAAGGATTGGATGCAGTCGGTAAGCACATACCTGTGTCTTTTGTTGTTTGGGGAGTGCGTAAGAGAGATTCTTTTCCTTCTATCAATAGTATAAGTTTTTTTGTTCTTACAGAGGTGTTGGGGTTTAGTCATTAGTGACAGGTTGTAAACTACCATACAAGACCAATAATAACACACAGAGAAGACATGTATGCTCAAAATTTATAGGATGCCGGCACCACAGTAGTAAAGGATGAATGATTTAGTTATTCCGCACCAAGTGTTACACCTCCCAACCCGTGGCCACAATTTTATCATCGATCCAGCTTCATTTGAGAACAAATTTCCATTTGTGTGCAGTGTGCATAGTGCAGACTGTTGAAAATGTCTACTAATTCGTATCTATCTTGCACTGCAGTAAATATAGGGAAAATGAGCATCTCTGGCATCAATCTTGACGAGGACGATGAACCAAGTTGTGACAACTAAAAGCAGAGGCACATTTGTCAGGGTGCGGTAGCAGTGGCCGACTGGCCTTGTTCTCTTCCCTCCTTACGTCGCATTTGAAGACTCGGAGAAAGCAAAACTGTGTATCTACTGCACCCAAAATTATTGGCAAGGGGATGGACATAAGAAGAAATACCGGCTTACTAAGTGGGACATTATTTGTTGTCCCAAAGAACAAGGGGGGCTAGAAATTCATGACCTCGAGATAAAGAATAAAGCGTTGATTAGTAAGTGGTTATACAAACTACTTACCACCGATGGAATATGGCAACAACTGCTACGCAATAAATATTTGGGATCACAACCTTTATCTCAAGCCTATTGGAAAGCGGGGGATTCACATTTTTGGGCTAGTCTTATGAAGGTCAAACAGGATTTTTTCCGTTTTGGATCCTTCAAGATTAGGGACGGCTCCTAAGTTAGGTTCTGGGAAGACAAATGGTTGGGTAATGCCTCGTTAAGAGAACAGTATCCTTGTCTCTATAACATAGTTAGGCATAAACAGTCGACTATCGCACAGATTTTCCAAACCAATCCTCCGTGCTTTTCATGGCGACAGGATTTAATTGGTGCAAAACTAGCTGCTTGGCATAACCTATTGCCTCGCATAGCTGATTTGGTTCTGGTATAGGAGCAAGATGAGTTTCACTGGAACCTCACCTCGAATGGGGTCTTCTCGGTCAAATCTCATTATCTAGCTCTAACACATATCGGGGTTCCGAATATCAATAGACGGATTTGGAAGGTGAAAGTACCCCTAAAAGTTAAAATCTTCCTTTGGTATTTACGTCGGGGCGTAATTCTCACCAAGGACAACCTTGCTAAGAGAAATTGGAAAGGCAGCAAGACATGTTGTTTCTATCACAAGGATGAAACTATCCAACATTTATTCTTTCAGTGCCGCTTATCTCGCTTGGTGTGGTCTGTAATTCATTTGGCTTCTAATCTGAAACCTCCTCGCAATGTTGGTCATATGTTTGGGAGTTGTCTATCATGTGTCCCCAAAGAAATGAGGAATCTGCTTTTGATGGGTGCAACAGCTCTGTGTTGGTCCATTTGGCTAAGCAGGAATGGAGTAATTTTTGATAACAAGATGGTGTCTTCTCCTTTGCAGGTTATCACCTTAGTTACCCGGTGGCTACGTACCTGGGCTATCCTCCACCAACCGGGACTGCGGGATACTATTATGGTGGTATCTCGACGTTTGGACCAGGTGGCACAGGAGTTTTTTTACCCAGGAGCATGGGTGGCAGTCTAGTCTACAGATTGATAGCCACTAAGATATACGTTGGTATCTCGACAGTTGGACCAGGTGGCACAGGAGTTTTTTACCCAGGAGCATGGGTGGCGGTCTAGCCTACGGATTGATAGCCACTAAGATATATGTTTCTGTTAAACTTTTGTGCTTGGGAGATGTTCTAATTATTTCTTTCTTCTTTTTTGGTTGTGTGCATTTTATGCAGAGGCCGGGGGTGACTCAGTTTGATTGTATCATCTTGATGTAATTAACTAAGTCTAAATAAAGCTTCCATTATCTTAAAAAAAACTGCACCCAAAATTGTCTCAGATTCTCAGTAGACTGTTAACTGTTAAGTCGATGTATGGGCATATGGCAAGCAATGACTCAATGTGGTTTGTGGAAATTGTGGGTAACAATGTTTGAACTTTCAAGTAATCAAGTGTTTATCGTAATCTGTTGCTGCATCTGAACAAAACCCTGGAGGAGGGATTGTACACTTCGGTTTGGTAATGGTAAGAAGTGCAGTTCTTATCTCTGCCACTGCCACTACTATTTGCCATGCTTGTACGGGGATATTGACCAATGCTTGTCTGGTTAAGTCTTTTCAATTCTGTTGCGACCAGTATCCGATTTATAGGGCCAAGCTGAACTTTACTGTGCACACTTCCATGCAATTGTTTCAATATATCTTCATTACATAGAAAATGCTGGCATGCTGCTATGCTCCAAGAGTACCTAAAGCATTGGCCTGATGGTTTACTGATCCTATTGTATGGAGCAATAGCATGAACATTTTGGTCGTCTGGTTTCTGAAGAAAAAAAAAACAGAGCATATGGAGCGTGTTTTTACAATCATGATGCTCACTCATGGTGCTAATGACTTGAAACTCCAAGCCAAAACGCACAAAATAACGCAGCCTTTCAGTGGTAGACACGAGTTCTCGCATTTGCGGCTAATTTTAAAATGCGGCTAATTTTTTTTCATGGTAGACGACGTGGCTGTTGACTGTGAGACGTCTATGGTGACTTCGTCAATATCAAGATATACTAGCTCAGTTTTTCGAAATTGCTCATAGGGGTATGTGTGTGTTCATAAGGAGTATGCGCACGTTGTAAGCGTCTACGTTTGTACCGTGTTTCTAAAAAATAACGCAGCCTTAATGGGAGTAAACGAAAATATAATTTTCTCCATGAAAAGAAAGAAGAAAAATATAATTTTCAAAGAAATGGAGCCCAGCTAGTAAGAGACTGTCCATGGCCCCCGCAAAATCGGAACCCGTTCTTCCCCCGTTCACTCACGACATGCCTCCCACTACGCACGACAGACATGACCCCTCGATCGTCCGCCACGTGTCGCGCGCCATCGAACCCACGGCCCAGATCGCTTGACCATGTCCCGCACCCGCCTCGCTCGTCGGGACTCGGGATGGCAGAAAGGGGAATTGGAAGTTGGTGTACCGTTGCTCTGACACGTGGGCCCCAACCTATCACCGGGCCCACCCTGCAGTGGGACGCGTCTCGTCCCCCCTGGCCCCCTTGCCAAAAGAGAGAGAGAGCCCCCCGCAGAAAGTCCGGGCGAGAGGCGAAGGAAATAGAACGCCAGAGAGAGAGAGAGAGAGAGAGAGAGAGAGAGAGAGAGAGGAGCGGAAGAGAAGGGGAGAACCAGGAGGAGGAGGAGGAGGAGGAGGAGGCGGTGGGAGGGATCGATGGCGTCGCGCGTGCTCCCACGAGAGGGTTCCTGATCGCGTCCGTGGTGGTTCGCAGGTGAGCCGCATTGCCCCGCCTCCGGCTGTTTTCTGTTTCTGTTTCTTCTCGTAGCGGTGCAATCTGCGAATCCTCTATGGGTTGGTGATCGAAATGCGGGCAGTGGTGGGTAAAATATGTTCTCATGTGCATCGTGAATTTGCGATGAGTGCACCCGTTTTTTTTTTTTTTGATTCGACAATGGGATGTGCATGATGCGTTGTTTCCCTCACTGGGGGAAGTATTGACATGAGAGAGGTGGAAGGAGTCTCGCATTTCTGCTTGATGTGGTGATTCTGAATTTCGGATTGCGTAAGCTACATACGCAGATCGCTGCGGATACAGCCGAAGGTTTGATCCGTAGGTAGGACGGGGTGTTTCGCTTATGGTAATTTTGGGATTGGTTGGCGTACATTGCAGCTTTCGCTCATTTAAATCTGTGCTTCGGAGAGAATTTGGTCGTTGATTTGATCAAGCGGGTGCCTCATTCAATGGACTCCGTTTGGAGCTTTAAGCATAACTACCTACTATTTTGATCTTCGTATATCTGCTCGAATGTGCAATGTTTCAGACTCTATTAAATGGTTTGGCTCGTCAGCCTTATGGGAAGTGCAAATATATCTTATGTTTGTCTGAGAAATGTTTCTTTAATGCCTTAAGGTGTATTTAGAAATCATGCATTTATGCTCGTGTATGTAGGCACCACTTGGAAATTTTAAGTTGTGTTCACTATTCCATAATATCATTACGAAACAAAGTTAAAATTATGTGCGGCATAACAGAACCAAAATTCCAGCTGCATGACAGTAGTCTTGCCATTTTACTCTAATTTGTAACTTCGTTTATGTATACCTGTGATTTCTTCTCTCTGTTGTGATTTTTCTTGATCTGAATCATCCCCAGGTCCAACTAACGGCTTAAAAGCTTATAGGCTGATGCTTAGGTTGGATGTGGAAGCCAACTCGACAGATTTGAAGCTACTGCATGAGGGGCTAATAAATAAGTTTGCATGCTTCAATTTCTTGTGGTAAATCCTTATTCCCGTTGTTCAATTTTGTGTTTTACAGGGAACTCACTTCGTTCTGGATTCTGTCACCTCATACATAATTTTTACTAGTATTAAAGAAAATATTGGGCCAATCAAATGGTTAATCACATTTAGAATTTCAGTTTACCGTTGAATAAAGTGAAACTTTCAGGATTAGTTATTGAAGTTTAATTTTTTTTGAAGACTGTTAATGTTATCATTGTGCCATATTATTTATTTTATAAGAATATATCATAAATTTATCACAAGTTTATCAGTCTCTAGAGAAAAATCAACTCATTGGCGGAAAAAAAAAAACATCCTGGTGCGTTCATAAGTCAGCCATCTAGAGGACAATGTCAGCTTCGGAGTTCAGGATTCCTTATCAGCAAGTAAGTGGGGATATGCTTTCCTTATAGTTATTCCTTTTCTATATCTTCTCCATGGCTCATTTTCATTTGGCTTTTGAGATACTGGACTAGTTCAATTCATTTAAAGTGAAGAGCAAGGTGAAGGTCTCATTTTGTTGATCAGGGTGAATCCCTGTTGTATGTTTCAATACAGTTATATTGATGCTAGTTTAAGACAATATTTTAGCAGTCGCCAGTTACTTCTTCAGGCATAAAGAGTGAATCTCACTGAAGCACAAAATATCATTTCAAAATCTTTAAGCAGTCTTGACAATGAAAGTTCTGAATACACTGTTGCTCTATAGCACCTCTCTATGGCAAAATATTAGCATTTTGTCTAAAGACCACTTTATGACATTACATTAAACACTATTTGTGTTCATACTACTGTCATGGAAAAGCTTTTTTGTGAGTTTCACAAGGTCAGATACATCTCTTGATTGTGGCATTAGTGTGAGTATTCACTCCCTTTTATTTCATACTTTTGATAGGTATCATCTTCACAGACTGCTGAGAATGCAGGTCAGTACAAGATCTGCCGGTGTGGGGAAGGAGACCCAAACACATCTGAAACTGGTGACAGTTCGCCAACTAGTTGTCCTAATTGCCAGGTTTGTGAGATCTTGCACTTAAAAGTTATGACATGCATTTACAAATAACCTTGCGAATGATTTATTGTACATTACTTGAGCAAGGGATACTCTGCTTGACACATCACTGATTCACAGCAAAATTATCAGATTGACTATAGATACATAAGCTTTGATATTTGCCACTTGCCTCATACTTGAAACTTCACTTTTTATGTTCTTATGTCTCATTTGTGCTTTGGTGTTTGGTGAGCATAGAAGAAAGGGGTGGGGGTGGGTTAGCTTAGCTCAGAGTTATGTTCAGTAGAAAAAAGGAGTAGACATGGTTGCTTGTGTGCTTTGTTGTCATGTGCACAAATCTTCATAACCAATGTTAAGTACTCTTCTGATGTAGGTTCTTAAGAGTGGGCATCTACTGCTCTCATCTAAAGGTATGTTTTTGTGGTTATATATGTAATGGTTGAATAAATTCTGTTTTTAGCATTACCAGATACATTGTTACATCAGAATAATGTTTGCGGTAGAAAGCTTCGAGTAATATATCTATGGATATGAATATTGTCCGTGCAATGGGCTAAATAAGACCAATATAACCTCGTCTCGCTACTTCAAGTACACAAGAACCAATAGCACACTATCCTGAAGTCACACAATTATGAAAACGTCTTGACTCTTAATGTCAATAATACCATCTGTCATGGGTGTTTTGGTAGCATCATAAATTATTATGAGCTTTTATTATGCGGTTACAAAATTGACAATTGTTTTGATTGGCACATTAGACTGGAGAAGACCATGATTCGTTTTAGTCTCTCTAGTATCAAGTACAAAAAGTAAATCAATATACAATGCTTTTATTATTTAGTTGACCTAGAGAGCTTATAGGTATTGCCTCTCTAAAAATCAAATCCTTTAAAAGTTTCAGCATAGTGTAACACAAACAAATATTCCTTGGAATGCCAAACTTCTATTTGCTTCAGAATCATTTAACCGTACTAAGCCCCACATATAAGAGTAAAGAGAGTCAAGCTAAAAAAATTGCTTTGCTTATTTTGAAATTTTTTTTGTTGGGAGCTTCTTCATGCAGTTTCAGGATGATTAGTTTTATCTTTTGCATGTGACAAATTATAAGCTTGATTACCTACTGACTCTTTCTTTATATATATATATATATATATACACGTGAGACTTTTCTTGGAAGTTTAATGTACTTTTATCTACAGTATTCTTCATGTTTCACTAAAAGTGATAAGTAACAGGAATTGGTTGGACAACATGGAAAAAGCGCTGGTTTATTCTTACAAGGGCATCATTAGTGTTCTTCAGAAGTGATCCTGTAAGATATATTACAGTAGTTTTTTGTGTGATCTGCCTTTTTTGACCTAGTACTGTATTATATCGTACTTGTACTATGTTGTGTTCCTTCACATCCATTCTTCATTCACCAAGCTAATGTGGATGATTTATTTTGCTATTCAAGCTAAGATAATGTTTGTTGTAACGAAGCATGCTGTATGGTATGCATATTTTTACATTGTAAATTAAAAAGTTTTAGCAATGCTAAACTGCTAGGTCTGCTGTGATACACGAGGCTTTTCTATTGCTTTAGCCTTTGACCTGTCTTTCTCTAAGTCTTTTTTGTCGTATTACGTTCCTACTCATTGCATTGCTATCACTGGAGGTATAGTCTCTGCTGGTCTTTCTAGGTTCTGTTTTGGGGCCTCTTGATATAGATATACCCTATATATGTCTGGTCATGATAACATTAGTTTAACACCTGATGAGCACAGTAGTCATTTTGAACTTTGAGCACTAACGAAATTGAATTATAATTGTAGTATATTCAGGAATAGGACAGAGGATTTTTTTTAAAAAAAATGCTATTTGTACCTGTTCAGCACTCCCCTGCAATAGCATCCTGGCTTGGTCATGGTTTATGACCTATACTTACAGAGATTATGAAAAATAATAATATGTGGACCTGAATGTGAAGTAGAATACCTATTCTTTTGCATACTATTTGGACATGAAAAGTGACAATGCAAACACTAAGGCTATTGGCTGTCAGTGCAGCCATGTTGAAGAGGATAAACATGATTACAATAATTTCGTAAGCATACTTTTTTGTTCTTAATAATGTATGTTTCGGATAGTTGGTGAAATATCATGAGGATTTGTTTGATAATATGCAAACTTAAACAGATTAGGGTATCTATAACCATGATAACTCATCCCAATTTTCTGCTTTAATTTCAGAATGCACCTGTCAGAGGAAATGAACCGGTTGTTACACTAGGTGGAATTGACTTGAATAACACCGGAAGGTATATATTGAAAAAATAAATTTTGTTGAAAGTCTAAAATTCCTGTAATCTGAGCTATGTAATCATGAGCTATGGTTTCAGTGTTGTGGTCAAAGAAGACAGGAAACTTTTAACGGTGTTATTTCCTGATAGCCGTGACGGCCGAACCTTCACTCTGAAGGTTGGTAGCACACCTGTTTCAATTCTCAACATACTATTGTCGGCGTTTGCTGGCAGTACATACTGCTGCCCATGAGTGTCAGGAATTAATGCAGCAAAAAATACTAGGGAAGAGAGGGGAGGATCATCACCGGCAGACCAACTGTTTGATAGTGATTAGATCATGCAACAGCAAGGAGCTGTTCCATTCATATTTGATACACCTATCATACTTAATGGAATGATTTTCACTGAGCAGGCGGAAACTACAGAAGAGCTCAATGAATGGAAAAGTGCATTAGAGAATGCTCTGGCACAAGCACCTGCTGTAGCAAATGCTGTTGGCCAAAATCCAATTTTCAGCACTGACATAGCAGAGCCTGCTGAAGCTCCAGCTGAACAGCGTAAGTTATGATAAATTCATCAGTTGCTCACCATCTGAGGTACTAGATTCCAGTTAGGGGGGTTGAGATTCCTACATTCAACTTGAACAAACAAATCCTACTGTTTCCATTGCAGCGGACGACAAATCTGTTATTGGTAGACCTGCAGAGTTTGCCCTTGTAGATGCTGATGGTAGTCCATCTTTCCTGGAGAAGGCCTTGAAGTTCATTGAAGATTATGGTGAGTGTTTGTCTAATCGTAATTAATCAGCAAATGGCCTTCACTTATTTGTGTTCATGATATCCTAGTTATATCAAACAACAATAAAGTAGAAGTACGATACTTGTCTAACAAACTAAAAGAATTGTACATATGTTTACTAATCCTATGGTTTAGTGACAAGCAGAAACATACTCTGTTTGTAGGTGTCAAGGTGGAAGGAATCCTCCGTCAGTCTGCTGATGTTGAAGAAGTCAAACGCAGAGTCCAAGACTATGAAAAGGGTAATTTGTTCGCCCTGCCCCTTTCCCTTCTCTTCTATCTAAGAGCCTGATGAGTGTTACTCTAATCAAAATAATGAAGTGTTCTTTTCATAAGGATATTTTTGTCACTTGTAAGCCATTAAGCATTGGTTAACATGTGATCCTTAATTTTTTTTGTCCTGTTCACATGATAAAAATGTACCATTTAAATCATGTAGGGAAAAATGAGTTCTCCCCAGAAGAGGATGCACATGTTATTGGTGACTGTATCAAGGTATTTATTTGGCAACTGTTGATTATATTGTGACAAATAGACTTACCACATTCCTTGAAGTAACATATTTAGGTTTTCCTTTGCTACAGTATGTTCTTCGAGAGATGCCATCATCTCCTGTTCCTGCACCATGTTGCACTGCGCTGGTTGGAGCTTACCGTAAGATTGACTTGATATTTTTTTCTATCACCTAAACAACCAGTCAATGTAGTCTTGCATTTAACTGATGTTTGCTAAAATCAGCTCAGAACATGCCCTTAACCTGAAACATGCTGATGTTCTTAGAATTACAAACGGATAAAGATGTTTGATTGCACAGGAACCGACAAAACAAAAAGGCTTGATGCTATGAGTAAAGTGATTTATGAAGTTTTTCCGGAACCAAACCAGCAACTATTGCAGAGGTATCACCTTGGATGCTTTGATTTGAAATTTCTTGTCAGTTAACACCCTCCATGTCATGTCTGAGGTTTTCATTCGTGATGAAACAGTCCTCATTTCTTGTCATTTTTTCATTATTTTGTTGGGAGTTAGCTTTACATTAGTACAGTATAATATCTTCAAATTTTACTGATGGACTCCAAAACTCACTGTTGCTCTTTTAGGATTCTTAAGATGATGCAGATTGTTGGATCACACAAAGCTGTGAATAGGATGTCTCCATCGGCTTTGGCGGCTTGCATGGCACCACTCCTTCTCCGACCTCTTCTTCTCGGTGAATGTGAAATTGATAGTGACTTTAGTATGGCTGGGGATGGTTCATTCCAGCTGCTTCAAGCTGCAGCTGCTGCCAACCATGCTCAAGCAATTGTCATCATTATGCTCGAGGAATACGACGAGATATTTGATGTATCCTCCTTTTCCTTTATGCATTCCTTCCTATAAGGTCAAGTTCCATTTGAATTTATACTGCATTGACTCTTCATGAATTCTAATTCAGAAATTACCTGTGTAGGACTTGGAAGACGGTTCCTGCTCTTCAGATGCATATACTGATTCAGAAGATGGCGATGTTGACAAGGAATATTCTACGGACAATGATGTGGATGGCTCTTATGATTCTGGTGAAGATAACATTGAAGAAGACATGGAAGATGATACTGAGTACTCCTCTGGTGGCAGTGAATGTGATGACAAGGTACTTCAACTAGTCATTATTTTGATTTCAGGCATTACAGATAAGGCACTCTGTATGCTGTGTCTGAAAGGCCTTGCAATGAGGGGATTTCCCTTTTGTAGTTCTTTATGATCTGCCCATGTCTTTTCCCTTTTATTTCAATGGTTAACTGCTGAATTTGTATTGTAATTATCCTCCTTGTCTTTCTTTTAGCATACATGGATTAACTTCTTATACTATGTTCACTCCTAAATATAAGTTTTTATGAGTCAGGTCAATTTTTTTCAATTTTGATATGTAATATTTATATAAAAAAGTGTATGTAGTTTACATAACATTAGTAGCAGAATATGTTGTTTAATAGTTTAAACCATAATATGCTGAAATGTAGAGCAAATTAATAATGAACCTGAAATGTATGTAAACTAGAATATGCTGAAGGGCAGTATCAGATTGTTATGCTGCTGCGATTGTACAAAGCACTACAATAGCTGCTACCCCACTGTCTGTTACTGTTCTTTCAATTTGTGTCTCTGGCTGCTCTTTCAATTTGTATGTCGTCTTTACAATGCCTTGATCTATATTTTCTAGGTTAAAAGGAATAACTCTGGCAAGGCATCTAATGGTAATGATAAGGGTTTTCAACCTCCTAAGAAAGCAGCAAGAACAGAACATGGTGTGCTAAGGGAAGACACTAATCAAATTTCTTCTGTTCCACCAGTGGAGAATACTTCCCAAATGGAGAGCAATGATCCATCCCATCGAAAATTACACGAATCAAATGGATCCACAGATCAAATAGAAAAGTCAAATGTTCGCGCATCATCATCAAGAGCAAAATTTATGGAGAAATCAAGCTCAAGAAATAAGAGCAAAAAGACCTTATTGGGCCGTGCTTCAGTATGTGCAATTGTTATCTGCATACTCCTACACATTGATGAGGCTAGGATAATATTATAGTTTAAGTAAAATACATTCTTTACAGGCAAGAAGAGACCTGTCGGCAGATGAGACTGACTTTTGCAGTGATGATGAGTAAGTAGCCAGCTATATATTCTTGTTATGTTCTTCAGATGCTTCAAATTATTCTTTTACTTTCAATTATATTTATTCCTCATCTCTTTAATCTCCATCTTTCTCTCAATAACTAACTACTCCTTTGATGGTGGACCAACAGTGGGAATAATTGACTTTTGTTAGGGTAATTTTGTGAATAAGTAATATTGCTTACTCTTTTAGGTTTTACTTGTCACCTCACTTGTTCTCATTGCGTCAATTAAATGTATGGGATGTGCTAATATGGTATTGATAACTTTTAATTATAAATGGTTTTTCATATTTTCTCCTCCTACAACATTTTCTTGAACTTACCTTCCACTCCCATTAGGATCAGTAGTGGATGGGGGAAAAGCAAGAGCTTGTGGCGTTAAAATACAAGCACACTTCCAAAATCATTCCTGGAATTTTTTGGTTCTTTCATTGCATGATTGGTGATTTTTTTCCAGTTGCTTCTGTAAAATTTGTACCATTTAGAGTTTACCTCTTATCTTTCGTTAAAGTTTTAAACAATAATAGTTGGAAACTTCAAAGAAGAAGAAGAAGAAGAAGAAGATATCGGGCAGCTTTTACACCGTTGATAACTTTTGAGTTATTTCTTTCAATTTGAATTTTCAACAGGACTCTTATTGAGAAGCTTGAGAACAACAAGACGGATCTCCAATCTAAAATTACAAAGGAGGTATAGTCTTTTCCCAAGGATTACAGAGAAATTATGTACCAACAGATTCTCCTGCATGAGGCAAAGTGATGTCTATTTCAGGTGAAAGAAAATTCAATCCTCCAGGCAAGTCTTGGAAGGAGGAAAGAAGAATTGCATGAACGCCGCTTAGCACTTGAAAAAGAAGTAAGAGCTCAAACTATGGGAAAGTATTTTTTTTCTAGAAACAGAACATCCAGGTAGATTTTATGATTAAGTCTCTTTATCTCCATAAGAAATCCTTACATTATGTTAAGATCACCAGAAATTTTATACATCTTCAATATCTGGCTGAAATATGCAAATCTCTGTTAAACGGAAATTGTTTTTCATACAACAGGTGGAAAATTTGCGGGATCAGCTACAGAAGGAGAGAAAATTGAGGGCCTCATTGGAGTCTGGGCTGATGAATTTGCGTAGAGGACAGGTGTCCTTCCCATCAACAATTGATAGCAAGGTTTTCTTTTTAAAATTTTATTGTCGAGTTAAAGTACAAGTGTTTTCCCACCATTTTATTTTATTTTTTTTGTTCTGCTAATGAAAGACTAAGGCTGATCTTGAGGAAGTTGCTACTGCTGAAGCTGATATTTTGAACTTGAAGCAAAAGGTTTCTGATCTCCGTGGACAACTCAACAACAATGTCCAGATGAGCTCCACCTCATTATGTGACTCTTGCAACAAACGACTCCTAAGTACAGACAAGCTTTTCGAGTAAGAATATCTTTCAGCGTTCTGTGGTATTTTAGCACTTTATGTAGCCTTTTGTTGTCCAATTAGAATTGTGAAGGGAACATACTTGTGGGCTACCTTTCTGCAGAGATGAACAGAATACTTCACCATCAAATGTTGGGCCCAATTCTATGTCTGACATGGCATCGGCTACAGACATGGTAAGACTATTAGAGACACATGTTAATTTAGGAGAAGAAGAGAGGAATGGGGAATGAATTCTATTGCAATTGAGTTAGGCCCAGTGAACATATATTTTGTACAATAGATTGGAAAAGACTAAAATGCCCATGGCATATATATTATACCCTTAACACCAAATCCAGGACGACTATTGCATGTGCATGTCTCATAGTAGTAGATGTTTTTGAAACTGTGTAACAAAGTTAGTCACATTAGTTATGTCTGCCTGAATATGCGCAGAGGTGCCCAGTAAAAAATGTGCAGGAAAAAAAAAGTAAATATCCTTGTTACATCACAATCGCGCATATTTCATTGCTGTAGACAACCAAGCAAAAAGACGAGATTGCGTAGGAAATATCCAGCTCGATGGAGTTAACAATGAGTGTGCAGTCAGTTCTGGGTGTGTTTTTAGTTATTCATGGTCTCAATTCTATCATTAAGTTATTTTTTATGTCACATTTCAGGCAGATATTGAGCAATCAAGGAAGCAAACCACACAACATTCATCTTCTTCCATAGACAAGCCAACTCTCCACAAGCATCAAAAGAGTACTAATTATCAACAAAATATGATAAATATAATCCCTGCTCATTTTTTAAAAAATAAATAAATCCAAAGAAACAACACTCTTAGTAGTTCAAATATGTGATTTTGCGTAGGTATTGCATCCAATGAACAATCAAGTACCATCAGCCAAAGGGCTCAAAGGATCTTATCTTCTAAGGGTGGGATTATGAAGGATGGCCAAGATGGATCATTTACATCAAAGTGGAACCTTGCACAGAAACAATACTCAAACAATCCACTGTTAGGCAGGCTTGGATCAAATGCCTATTCGAGCACTAGAACAGAGGTAATCTCACTGACCCCTCAACCGATATCACTTCTAGTCGGCAAGATATAGTAATGTATGTTTCTTTGGCCTTTTTGTGTCCTATAAGTATACTGCTAGTATCCTCTATAGAAATGCGGTTATTTACTGCCACTTTCGTGGATTGAAGTTCGTGATGACCGTTGTATGTGCTTGCTATTATTTCAGGAATCTGGGGCAGTGCCATTTGCATTAGCCAAGCTGACAAACCGGCTCAATTTTTTGAAAGAAAGGAGGGCGATTCTTGCAAGTGAGATGCAAAACTTAAATTTGGCTCGCCCACCAGGGCCTACAGCTCCAGCACCAAAGAAAGACTCCACATGAGAAGTTAGAATTTTAACATGGCATCATTCTCAGGCTACGGATATTTGTACTGTCAAGTGTCAAATGTGAGCGATGCACATATATATGATGGACGCTACACAAGCTATTTCACATCCTGCTTCTGGAAGATGGGGGTGGTGCAATATTGTAACCTTACCGGAGGTTACCCAGTCCGAGATGCGTCATCATGCAAGAAAATAAGAGGATGCTGGTGGTGTTTACATAAATCGTGGATTGGACAAATATCCATAGTTCTAGGTAAACGTAATCTGTAAATTTATCAGGTTGTCTTGTTTTTACCACGATGTTTCATAAGTAATTTTGCAGCGACATTGATTTATCCGGGTTGCACCATTTCATGTAGAAAATAGTTAAACCACAGTGCTATTGCAAATGCAATTACCTGCTGCATTCGACGCCCATTAACTTGAGGGTTTCATCATATCTTCCTGCTGTACAGAAGCAATTACCTGCTGTATATCATTATCCTTTTTGGCGTATACGTGTTGCTGCAGTGGCTTACTCCATCGGTAGAGCAGCTTTAGACATTTTAATGTTTGCCTTGCTGATTTCCAGAAGAGTGAAATTTTCTTGATTTTTTAATACTCCCTTCGTTTTTTAATAGATGACGCCGTTGACTTTTTCTCACATGTTTGACCATTCATCTTATTCAAAAAATTTACGTAATTATAATTTATTTTGTTATGAGTTGTTTTATCACTCATAGTACTTTAAGTGTGATTTATATCTTATACATTTGCATAAAATTTTTGAATAAGACGAATGGTCAAACATGTGAGAAAAAGTCAACGGTGTCATCTATTAAAAAACGGAGGTAGTATGATCTTTTACCAAATCAACTGCAAAGTTTTTTCAGGATTATTTTCGGTATCCCTTTGACTTTGTTATTTACCCATTTTACAGTTTCGCTAAAAACACATCACATTTTTAGCTGGATTTCAGTCACTTTCTTCTTATTAATTGCTATCTTGCTTATATGTAAGTATGTTTCTATCTTCCCCTAAAAAAAAGAGTATGTTTCTATCTCTCTTATCTTTTCCTTTAGGTAATCAATCGTTTTTATCCTAATTACAGTGCAAGTTTACATTGTAAGATTTTTAATCTACGGTGTACAAAATGTGATGTCATAAATGCAGTCCCTTTTCTTAAAACCCAATGCAGTGATGCAACTGCCATTGACATTTGGAAAACGGAATACAATATGTAAGATTTTAGTTGGCAGGAATCATTCCCCAATGTAATTAAGTGAATCTACAGTTTTTTCCGCGCAGATTTTGGGCCTTTCTTTGTTCACGGGACCGGGGCATTTTGCCTCGGACCTACTCGACATTCTCTTGTCAATGTAACACACATTTTGTACTTCCTTTCCTCCCAATCTTAATGACATTGGTCGTCCGCCACATCTTCGGCCAACCTGGCAAAAGTTAGAACCCACAGCAGAGGATATAGCAGTGCTAAATTGGGCCTATTTTGGTTGACTCAAATCTAGGTCCCTCATTGTTTCGTTTATCGAGGGAATAAGCCAAACGGCATATTTGCAAACGAAAAATAGTTTGTGAATAAAACTTTTATATACATGTTCTTAACGATTTAAAAGCAAAGGCTGAAAAATAAACTTTGATGAAAAAAAACCCTAAAATCAACTTTAAATTTAAGATTGAAAATTCAAATTTTGGCTGATAAGCATAAACACAAGCAAAGAGATGAGGTTGTATCTTTCTCCGTGGGGCTTCCTGTAGCATAGTAGAGAGAAGCTTCTGAAAACACTGGCAGTACCAAATGCCACAATAAAGAAACATAATTAAATCAGAACAATTGTCTATCACCCTAAGTCTTAAGATTCATGATAACAATTGTAAATTGGAGCCAAACCAGATAACATAATTAAATCAGAACAACTTTGTCTATCACCCTGACACCCTTATATAGTGTCAAGTTTCCTGCTGACAATAGTAAATTTGAGCTAAACCAAAAGTTTGAAGGCAATTCGTTTCATAGAGCAAACAAAACGGGTGATCTGAGTCCTTGCTGATTGCGAATGTTCTATGCAGGCTGACAGCATGCAATGCAAATGCGGCTAGGCAGCGACGAGCTCCGGTAGTCACTGCACCGTCAAGAACATGAGCACGCGCGCGCACCACGCCGCGCACGACGTTCGCTGGCTCTGCGCCGCCGGCGGCCTCCCCCGGCTCCGGGAGCCAGGGTGGATCTAGGAAAGATTAACAGGAGGGTCTGAACAAATTATATAAAATTATAGCCCTCTTTTCTAAAAGACGTATGACAGAAAATTTTAGTGAGGTCTTTGTAGAGTCTCATAGTTATAATACGGGTAGTGGGGTCTCGAAACCTCAGAGACCCCATGGTGGATCCGCCACTTGGCGGAGCCGCCACCCCCTGTAGCGCCACCGACTTGTCGAACACCAGCGTCCCCTCCAGCAGCGGCTTCTCCCACTCCCAGCCGAAGGCGAAGTAGTAGTACCCGCCACCGCCGTCATCGTCGTCATCGTCATCGCCGCCGCCGTGCACCAGCGCGTCGACCAGCCGCACCATGGCCGTGCCGACCACCGCGCTGTGGCGGGACGTGTGCGGTTCCCCGTCGCGGAACACCACGGCCGTACGTCCCGTCGTCGTCGGCGCAAGTAGGCAGTGACGGCTATACGAAGGAGGCCACGGCGAAGGAGGCCGGACAGTGAGGCCGTGGCGCAAGTAGTCCGTAATCAACTCGCGCAAGCTCGTCTCCTTCGTAGCGGACAGATGATCCAAGATTGTTGAAGTTTTTTTTTTCCTTTTTCATGTACTCGTCCTGTGTGGACAGATCGTCGCATCAATATATATAAGAGGCAAATTCTTGCATGTTCGTATGGGCGACGGAATTTATCGGGTGATTTCTAAAAAAAAAATCACTCAGATTTTTTTTTACCCTTACATTTACATCCAACAGACTATAAAAGAAAATAACCAATACATATGTACCTGCACAACTTTTTTATATAGTGTACTTACATGTCATATAACTGAATTTACAAATGTAATTTAGTTATATATGACTGTAATTTTATATTTTAAAGAAAATAGCAAATACATATTTACTTGCACAACAATTTTTATACAGGGACTTACATATCATATCAACTGAATTTACAAATATAATTTTAGTTATATAGGAATAGGATTAATTTTACATTCTTTATTTTAGTTTCAAATGTCTTAATTTTTTGACATATAAAGAAATCAACTTTTATTTAGAAAAGAAAGGGGGAGAGAGAGAGAGCGATATGGAAGCGAGAAACGTCATCATTCCTGCACTAATCTCGGTGTAATCCTATGGCCAAGAAAACATCAAATATGAGAGAAGAAATCACCCGACGGATGTTTAGCAAAATCGATTGCATTCATCAATCTTAGATTATACGACGTGAAGAAATATAATTGGAATTATCTATACAACTTTCGACAGAAAAAAATCTTAATATTTTAAGGTTAACTATAGTAAGGTTGTGGGATCGAGTCCGTACACTTGTAGGCATGTGTAGGGGTGGTAATGAGCCCTACCTCTTAGTCTACAAAATATAAGGATTGGGCTGAAATTTAGTAAAATTTTAAGCTAGAATATTTAAGGACTAAGAGTCTAAGATAGTTTGTGAAAGGGCAGCCTAAAGGCTCTAACCCATTACACACGCATGCCACTGCTTAGTGGAAGAAACAAGTGTGCGTGATCGAGCCCCCGCACGCACACAACAATTTTCTCTCTGTTGCGCACGAATATACCCAACGACCAGCACGAACATTGGTGTGCATCGATATCCTATGATAAAAAAAAATCAACAGATTTCTCCCATATTTTTTTATTGACAACAAAATAGAAAATCTGAATATAATTTGCATCTTACTGATCGACGTCACAATACATGAATGGATGGATGTGTATCGTGTCGTGGACGTGGACATGGACGTGTGTGGTATATCCACACAGGGAATACAAGAAAAAGAATAAATCTTGCCATAATTAATTTTGCCTTCGCAGCCTCTCATAGTTTCAGATACTCTATTCATCCCTAAAAAACCAAACTAGTACTGGATATGACACATTATAGTACTATGAATTTTGATATACTTGTGTGTAGATTTGTTGTACTAATGTGTCATATCCAATTATAGATTCGTTTTTTGGATGGAGTGACTAGCTGCTAGCGTTCGATCAGTGGATGGGGACGAAGGAGACGAGCTTGTGCTCGTCGCCCTCCTCGTACACCACCGCCTGGAACCTGAGGTACTTGGCGACGACGCGGCTCGACGCCTCGAGGGTGAGGCGGTAGTAGTTCACGCCGGCCTCAAACCTCTTCTCGGCGCCGTCCACCGTGTTGAGCGTGAGGCCGCCCGTCGCCGACGCCCAGTCTGTCTCCGCCACCGCCCACAGGGCGACGTCCTGGACGTGCCGGTCGTTCGCGTCGATCGTCTTCCAGGATTCGTCGCCGGCCGCCGCCGTGCAGGCAGCGCCGAAGACGGCGACGGCGGCGAACAGGACGAGGCTGCTGGTCCTCATTGTGAGCTTTTTTTTTTTTTTACAGTGTGTGTGAAGGTGAAAGGCTAGCTGCTTGTGCAAAAGAGAGGAAGTTTAAATAGATGGAATAAAGTGTGGCTCTTGTTGGAAGAAAATTATTGGATGCTGTCTTTCCAATTGTATGGTTTTTTTTTAGATTCAAAAAATAATTGTATGATTTTTAGTGATTAGCATCCATTTATATCGTTGATTGCATACGATTATTATATCGTTGGTTGATTGCATATGAAGTACCCCACTTATTTTGTTCTTTATATCTTTCCGATGTGTTGGTAATACAATATGCTTAGTAAGCAACAAGAAATTCATTGTCAGGTCTACAAATTAATTGGGATATGCATGATTTGCTCCCCTCCCATGCATGTTATTACTACAAATCTTGTTATAAATACATATAGTTTCTACATTTTCAAATCAATATTAAGATATTAAAAATCTTTTCTACATTTTCAAATCAATATTAAGATATTAAAAATCTTAAAGGCGACAGCGGTTGCAACGAGGATGCTACGGTCCTCATGGCAGTGTGAAAGTGTTTGAACTAGATTACGAGGATAACTTAGAAGAGGGCGCCAGGGCCATACATACAAATTTGAGACCCGGTGCAAAATATAAAATAAGACTTAATGTTAGAAAATGCTAAGAAATAGAAGAGTAAATTTCACTTCACATAATACATACTCCTCCATTCCAAATTGATATACATATTTTACAGGTACACCAAGACCAAGAAAAGCTAATAACTCTCTCATACTATATTTACTCTAGCAACAAACTCCATGTATGCACCATCCCCACTATTTTCTAGCCAATAGCAAATATATTGCATGTGGGTTATAAATACTTGTGTGCATCGATGCATGCATCAATGTCCATTTACTCAAATGCACAAATAACGAATAGATTTAATGAATGAATACAAATATGTAGATCATTTAGGAATAACCTAAAAAAACTATATGTAGATTAAAGAATAGACTTAATGAATGAACACAAATATGTATTCACCAAGGTTGCATAATTTATCAAGCTAGAGTCACGTTTCAATTGCCAAGAAGAATTGTCTAGCTGTAGTCATTTAATTTTGATTAAGTGAAAAAAATGGAACCTGATCATGGGTTCAAATAAATAAGACAATTTTTAAAGTATTCATGATCGGTACCAATGAATAGGACGAGCTTCTCTATCCCAGATTTCTACTATATATGAAATTTCTGGTTTCCTTTGGTACAAATCCAATCATCTAGATTGGAAATAAGAAGCCATTCCCCCATTGGTAGCAAACGGCTATTCATTAAGCGGAGAAAATAGTAATAAAAAGATAAAGGCTTATTTTCCTTTATCTTAAAAAAACTGACTAATAGGGTCAGCTACTTAGCCAATTAACTTTTATAATTAAATACTGTCACTGTATGGATAACTCTTATTGTGAAAAGAACTATTTACTCTATAATAGATAGGTAGATCCAAAGAATGTGAACTTGTATATATGTTTAGTCATAGTTATTTAAAATGGCCGTGCATTACTATAGAACATTTATTGGACCTGAAGAAAAGAAGTCTATTCTAGCCAAATAAGTAAATAAGGAAGAGCAAAGCTTTTACAAAATGAAACGAAATGGAACGTATGTCTTAAACATGCTGGAACATATTAGCATGAATTAAAGTATGAAAATTTTGGGTCCCCTAATATTTTAGGATCCTGTTCGATCGCCATCTCGAACATGCTTTAAAAGAAGGGGAATGGTAAGGCCTCAAGTAGGTAGAAATTTATTGGATCCAAATCCATCTTGATGTATGATGATTTAGTATCAATTAAAATAGTTGAATTACGCATATGAAATACTGTCTTTTTTTACTCTTTGTTGATCTATGTTTTTCCTTGTTAATCAATTTCTTAATTTTTTGGCTGGTGCATTGCAATATGTATATACTCTATGCAATAAGTAATAGATACTTAATGGAAAATTCGGCCATCTACCGTTCAAAAGTTACGGACTTTCTCTGTTTTTAATATCTAATATTATTAATATTTTCTACATACACCTAACTATCTGTCTTACTAAAAATATGTAATTTTGTTGTGATTGGTTTAGTTGTATTTGTGTGTTTAAAATTTTACTCATTCATCCTCAACCCTTTCACCTCTAGACCACAAGTAGAGAAAATCCAAGTGTTGTGATTGGAGAGTATAGAGAAGCCCAACCTCTATAAGATCAAAGATACCAAACCTGTCAACTGAACACACTACTGACAGGAATATGTTGTATGGATTCCCGGAAAAAGTGGTTTTTATAATATCCAAATGTGACATGCTTTGTGTTTTATGCCGTCAAAATTTTTACGGTTCATTTTAAATTTTTAATAACACCGGAAATTGTCATGTGATTTATACATGTGTCAGTTGATCCAAATATTTAGATTTTTGTTAAGTTTTTTTTTCGGGGAAAGGGAATTCATTAGATTACTGAATTGTCCACACTCACCAGGTGTGAGATAAGGTTACAACTGTCGTCCGGCCAAAACTCAGAACGGCCAACACTACGGCCCCTATTCGCTAGGAAATGACTGACCTTGTTAAGTTTGACAATGTGTATTACAGACATGTATTTGTGTGTGACCCTAAAGAGCTCAAAAACTTTTTTTTAAAAAAAATGAAGAAATGAAACCTTATTAATTTGGATTCTGGCAGAACGAAGGGAACCTGGAGATAAATGATCAATGTTGTTTCAACAATTTCATTTCCATCCATTCATTCAACAATTTTACCTTACGAACATAAGAAAATATAAATCTCCCCTCTTATTGATCTCAGTATCTCACGCAATCACGCTACATGGATGGGCCAAGCCTATCCACGCATGCAGGAGTAAATAAATAAAAACATAAACACCACACTTTGGTAATTAATCAAAGCAATCTCGATCGCCGGAGTTTCGCCGTCGCAGAGCTAGCTGCTCGATCGATCAGTGGATGGGCTCGAAGGAGACGAGCTTGCGCGCGTTGCTCCGCGGGTCCTGCTCGTACACCACCGCCTCGTACCTGCCGTCCTTGGCGCCGCTGCTCGACGCCTCCAGGGTGAGGCGGTAGTTCACGCCGGCGACCACCTGCTTCTCGCCGTCGGTCACCCTCTCGAACGTCAGCCCGCCCGCCGCCACCCCCCTGTCCTCCTCCGCCACCGCCCACCGGCCGAGCTCCTGGACGTGCGGGTCGTTGATGTCCACCGGCTCCCATGACCCGACGGTGGCCGCCGTGGCGCCGGCGACGATGGCGACGACGGCGACGGCGGCGAGCAGGAGGCTGCTGGTCCTCATGGTCATGGCTAGTAGCTTAGCTGCAGCTGCTGCGGTTAAACTTTTTTTTTTAACAGTGGGTGAAGGTGAAAAGAGAAGCAAAGTAGAGGTCGTTTAAATAGATGGAAGGGTGTGGCTGCCAACAGGTAGAAAATTATAGGCTGCTAATTGCTACCTATCCAATTGTATGATTCAATTAGCATCCTTTTAATTGCTGGTGATATCTTAACATGTATATGTATTATGCTCACTAAATAAGAAGAAATTAATTGGCAGGTTTGTAATTTTACAAATTGGGATATGCTTTGATTTGCTCTCATGCATGTTACTCTATCTGGTTATAAGTACATATAGTTTGGGATCTCTAAATGATTTCCAAATCAATTATTTAGATATGAAATCTGAGAGCAAAATAGTAGGCAATTTTTGGGATACAGTAAATGCAATTGTGTATTGACGGGATGGGAGCAATTCTACTTTTTGCCACTGACATGTGATTGATTCAACAAAATAGCCGTAGATGAATGTGAGTTTTACAAAATGCCATAACATATACTCCCTCCGTCCTAAAATATAAGTATTTTTAGACTCTGACACAGTCTCCAAGATACTATTTTGATCAACAATATCTATAAAAGTAAGATATTTCAAATGAAAAGAGTTGCGTATTAGATAGTTTGTTTAACATAAATATAGTAATATCAATTTTACATGACTGATCTTTTTTATTTTCTCACCATTAATAGTTAAAGTTGAAAATATTTGACTTATCACTATACTGAAAATGTTTATATTTTGAAACGGAGAGAGTATTTTTTTTTTCTTTCTTTTTACCATCGCCGTTAGCCTTTAGCCAAATGCACTTTGTTGACCTCACGGGAAGAGTTATCTTACCCCAGAACATATGAAGCACTTCCCAAAGGTGAGATGCACTGCTCGGGATAAAATGAACTTTTCACATAAGGTTGATAAAGTGCCCTTGGTAACAAAGTCACATATATAGGAAAATTTCTCCTTTGACCTTTAGAACAAAATACTAGCGCTTCCAAATCATGTAAAATTCCTTTGCAATGGCACAATGCATGATTTTTCTAAAAAGAAAAAGGATAGCAGAAGGTCCAATCGTTTGGAAGCTTCCATTTCAGTACATCTCTTTCATATTTCAGTATATTTCTTTCATCTATTTTCCAGTGTTGTTAACCATCCAAAGAATTATATTTATGTATTCTTCCTACTCCTTGTTTTAAAATTATCAACTTTACATATGCATTTAATTTCCTATAAAAATGTATTTTCCCCATTTATGTGATTTCCCATTCATGCATTTGCCGGCGTGGGGCAGTTAAAAGTGTCAAATAGTGAATTTGGGGATCGAATTGTTGCTTGATTTAGACTCAAAGGGTAACATATTCAGTACAAGAGGAGAGGAAACGACTCTATTGCCAAAAAGTACAAGAGGAGAGGTAACATATTCAGTACCATGTACCCTTATCAAAAAGAACATCTCCTTAATGTCTCCAAAGAGCAATGTCATATCTGTTGACAAATATATATATATATATATAGTGTCACCCATGCGTTTATAGTTTAGTACTAGAACAAAAGGAGGGGGCGGTCGAATCCAGATCCTCTGTGGTATTACATATACAGCAATATTCACTGACATGTGGGCCCTGTGAGGAATTAATGGTGTTGTTTGAAAAGCTTTGTTTTCCTCATTCATTCAAAAAAAAGAGATTGAGATCAGAAGAAATCTGGCTTTTTATCGATGTGAAAAACAATTGGATGGACAAAATATCCACGCAATGGTTACATCAAAACAACTCGAGCTATTCAACACATAAATCTTGCCGATCGAGAGCTATCGATCGCCCTCCGGGGAGCTCAGAAGTTGTGGTTCTTGTCGAAGGAGATGAGCTTGCGCGTGTTGCTCCACTCCTGCTCGAACACCACCGCGCCGTAGCTGCCGGTGACGTCGCCGCCGCCGCTCGCCGCCTCGATTTCGAGGCGGTAGTTCATGCCGGACACCACCTGCTGCTCGCCGCCGGTGACCCTGTGGAACGTGAGCTCGTCGCTCGGCGACACCCGGTTGTTCTCCGTGATCGCCCACCTGCCGAGCTCCTGGATGTGCGGGTCGTCGATGTTCTTTATCGGGCTCCAGCCTCGGGGCAAGGCGGCGGCGGCGCAGACGGCGGCGAGGAGGAGGGTGCGGGTCGTCATGGCCATGGCTATGGCTAGCTGCTGCTGGTGGTGTGTGTTTTGTTTGACTATTTGACTGATTTGTGCTGTGATGACGATGGCAATGGCGATGACAAGCAAGGAGAAGGCATTTAAATAGATGAGAATGGTGTGGCTCAAACGGGCAGAAATTTAATGGATTTTTTAATATGGGAATTAATTGGGTATATATCCTACTCCAACTTTAGCAGTATAAGATTTGGTACCCATTAAATTGTCTGATGTATATAAAGCTGTGAATAAAGAAAGGAGAAATTCTTCAATATCTCCCGAGATAATGTCTCCTTTGCTCCAAGAAATACCATTCCAGTCTTTTTAGAATAATGAAAATGAGTTTCATCTTTGGAGGTGTCCATAAATCATCAGGCAATGAGTTCTAAATTCAGGAAAAAAAAGAGTGCTAGAACCATTCATAAAATTATAAAAATATTGAGATATGAAATGTTAATGCAAACTAAATACCTGCCTAAACAGTATCTATCTATTATATTATTAAGACAGCTCGAAAAGGAGGCATCACGTTCGCTATGGAGGCTAGAAATTCCCACATTAATCGAAGAAAAAGAAAAGAAGAGTCCAAATAGAAATACAATATAAAAAATAGCTGAAATTCGAAATTAGAAATAAGCAATATTGTAAGAGGAGTCCATATAAGAACCCAATACGAGATTAATTAAAACCTTTGATTCAATTCAGATTTTAACTGTATAGATTTGTTGTAGAAAAGATAAGTCCATATATATGTACTGTGTAAGTTACATACTATGAGTCTTTCCTTTTCTATTTCTTTGGCGGTGTACACAGTACACATATAATCTAATTCAATTATAAACCTACACAGACAAGAGTTGTGCTGTCAAATAAACAAAGCTTGCACGGTTGCACATATACAATTAATCGTCATTAAACAATTAACACACGATTAATTAGAAAAAGAAAAAGAATCATTTAGGAATATAATTTATAAATAATTAAAATTGGTGATAAAAAAATAAAGACTATTAAAAGAAAACCATGTAAAACACATGACGAGATAAATTAAGTAACAGGCCTATAAAGAAGTAGAGTGGTGGCGGTTGATACAACATATAAAAACCGTTAATAAAACACCAAATAGAATCTTAATAACGATTAAAAGGAGGGACGACAGGCATGCCGTGAAGCAAACGGGTAAGGTGGTTGCCGGGACTTCTAGAAAGACAAAAAAAATAAACCCCAGTGATAATCATATTCAATTTTTAAAATCTCAATGACAATAAAAAGAAGAAGCAGCGGGCAAAGTGTAGGCGGTTGGCGGAACTTTTAGAAAATAAAAAATAAATTTCAACGGTAGTTATGTTCAATTTTTAGAATCCCAATGACAATAAAGAGTAGGTGGCAGATAGGCTGTAGAGGAGTATAGTGGCATCGTTTAACGGGACATCTAAAAATTATAAAAAATAAAACTCAACAAGACAATAAACTCTAAAAACTACAGGATCCAATTTTTAAAGGTTCAGAACTTCTAAAAAGTAAAAAAAAAACCAATGATAATCATGTTCGATTTTAAAATCTTAATGACAATAAAGAGTGGAGGCAGCGGGCCATAAAGAAGTACAGTAGTAAAGCCGCTGACGGTTTGGCGGGACTTCTAGAAAGTAAAAAATTGAACCTGAACAATAATTATGTTCGATTTTTTAAATCTCAATGACAATAAAAAGAAAACACAATGGATGGGCCGTAGAGGAGTATAATGGCAGCGTTTGACGGAACTTATAGAAATTATAAAAACAAAACCTAACGAGACAATAAATTCTAAAAACTATAAGATCCATTTTTTTAGAGGTTTCAAGGAGAATGAATAGAAATAGTGGCAGATCGAGCAAGCAAATAAAGAAGGATATGATAGAAGTAAGGGGTAGCAGCTAGTGTGAATTTTAAAAACTATATAATTAGAAATACGGGAATGATAAGGTTTGGTCTTTCAAAGTCTTAAGACAATAAGATAGCTATTTAATAAATTTTAAGTAAAAGTCATACGGAAAAATATATGATTTTGTTTGCGTGCTAGCCGTGCAATTGCGCGGGCCACCCAGCTAGTTTAATATATATGGCATCCATTTGAGTGCTCTTACAGTCATACTACATCTTAAGTAGACAATTAAGGAAGCACATGAATGTAATCATAACAAGTCATAGGCATACACCAGCATCACTTGAAATCTTTGAATTCATGCATGCTTTGCTTGAAAAAACCTGAAAAAGTTTTACTTGTACTTCATGTTGAGCACCTTCCCCAGTGTCAGGCAGCCTCCAGGCAATGGCCTCCCGTCGCCTCCTCTCGGCCCCGTCAATGGCGGCTTCGCCGGAGTCGTCGTCGTCGTCGTCAGAGACGGCGTGTTCCGCGGCTGCGCCTTCCTCTGGATCTCCTCCCTGAGCGCCCTCTCCAGCGCCGCCTTCGCCTCCTCGGCCAGCTCCGCCCGCCTCACCGCCTCCTCCAGGCTGAACCGCAGGTCGCCGATCTCCGCGCGCGCCGCCTCCAGCTTCCCCTTCAGGTCCGCGTCGCCGCCGTCGCTCTTCGCCACGAGCACGTACCCATCGGCGACGGCGAGCCCCGCCGCCCCGGCCGCCTGCTGCTGATCGTGCTCGATCTCCTTCGTGTAGAACTCCTCGCCGCCGCCGTCGTCTTCCTTGGAGATCACCGCGACAAACCCGCCGCCGGCGACGACCACAGCCTCCGCGTCGCCATTGCCCAGCGTCAGCGATGCTTCCGCTTGCTGTTCTTGGTTCCCTGCGATGATTTCCGATGAAATGCAGTGCTCCTTCACCTGCTGCAGCTGCGACTGCAGGTAAGCGATCTCCACCGTCTTCGCCATCAGCTCACTCTCCAGGTTCTTGATCATCTCCACCTGCCGGTCGATCACCTCCCGGTTCTTGTCAGAGCTCAAGAACTCGAGCGTGATCTCCTGGAAGAACACCGACCTCTCCTCCTCCGCCCTGATCGCGGCGACAGCAGACGAAAGAACGGACTCGTTGATCTGCAGCACGTGATTCAGAGAGTCCCTGATGCTCTCCTTCTCCAGGATCATCCTCGTCTCCATCAGCTCGATCTCTCTCAGCAGAAACGAGTTCGAGCTCCTGACGGCGTCGAGCTCGCCTCTGACGACGGTCAGTTCGTCCCTCAGTGCCTTGCACTCTTCAGAAGCTTCAGATTGCTGCCTTGCGATCATCCGGTTGTCGGACGATTCTTGCATGGCGTTTTGGAGGGATTCGAGCTTCAGGTTGGCCTGGATCTTCTCGTTCTCTTTCACCTCGAGCTGCATCCTGCAGCTCGCGAGCTCCTTCGTCAGGATCTCGATCTCCTGCAGCTGCATTTGACAATTGACAAGTGTGTGAGAAGAGATGGAATCCAGGAACTAAAATGGAATTGCAGTTTTGTACTTTTGTGGATAGTTTCAGTTCAGTTACGCACATTTCTATCTGGGCTAAACCTGCTGTGATGATCAGCTCTCTGCTGGAAGTGGGTCAGTGCTGCTCGTACAGATCCAAGCGGCCTAGTGTCGATTTCGGCCATGTCCAAGACGATCGATAACCTGCACTCTTACCGTCGATCGATCAGTATTTTCGATGTAGTACTAAACAAAATCAAGCGTAATACAGTAAGCTAAAAATCAATAATCTGAAGTTTACCAAAAGTATTAACACACTAAGGTCTTTTTGGGTTAATCCTTCCTCTAAGAAAATTGAAGGAGATTTGGAGAGTATTTATTCCACACCTCAACCTTCGATCCCTTTCTCATGAAGATTAACCGAACAAGGCCGGATAGAACTGTAGATTTACACACATGTCGGATGTCGGTTCAACTTTTACCGAGCAATTTTACCAAGTTGAATTTACTAGCGGATAGAGAGAGATAATACCAGTGGGAATGAAAGAAAGCCGTGGCTTACCTTGGCTTGAGCAGAGCAGCCAATCACCGGTGCATAGCCTCACCGGCGAAGAAACCGGTTGGTTTGTTGATATAGGCGAGGAGGGGAGAGGCGGGTGAGATGGGCGCGAGACGACGAGGGCGTCGTGGGTTCGTGGCAAACAAGGAGACGAGACGCCGATCCAAGGAAGAGAAAGGGACACGAGGAGGCGGCACGCTTCGGGCTTGGAACCACCACCAACGCAGGAATGTGCAGGAGTTTGCGAGCGTATTTACCGGAGGATAGCGATCGTTTCGCTCGTCGTGGGCTCTCCCGCTCTCGGTGCGTACGACCGCCACCACCACCGCGGTTTATCCGTTAGAGCAGTTTAATAATATAAGCCAACTACTAACTTTATTAATATAATTAACACATCATCTATATCAAACTTAGTAGCATACTAATAAATACAATACTAGTTAACTATGGCCCTGTTTAGTTCCTCCAAAATGACAAAACTTTTGTTGTTTTGGAGCATTTTTTTATCGAAATGATCTAAACACTAGTAGCAAAAGTTGACAAATTTGGCATTTGTTATTTGGGAGGCTAAAGTAGCAAATTTTGCTAAAAAGTATGTTGGGAGCCGCGCTCTCTCTATCTTTACTAGTAAAATGGCAAAACTTTACCGTGAATCTAAACACCAACTAGCAAAACTCTAATGCCAAATCTTTTACCACTAAAACTTTTGCAAAAATAATTTGCCACAGCAAATTGATCTAACCAGGCCTATATACATACTACACATACTACACTATTGGTCATGCTACAGGTGGCTATATAAATATGTAGCCCATTTTTCCTCTCTCCTCTCCTCCACATAAACACAAATAAGATGTTATCATCTTGTTCACATAAACACAAATATGATATCATCATATTATTGTACCCGCTCTTATTCCATTCCCGGCCGTCGCTCACATACACAGAAACATGCTTGCGGCGTAATGGATTCTGGTGTTCTGCAAATTGATGCATGGCAGAACAAGTAGACAAGGCCAACGTGGCTGGTTGACAAGACACATGCATAACTCATTCCAACAGAACGACCATTTAGAGATGAAAACAATGGACCATTATGCTAGCAGGAAAATGTCACGAGGTGCTATACAAATCATGTGCTTAACTAGTCTTCTGGTAACGCTAGTAGTACTAATACAAAGGGTCCTGCCATGGCTTCGACCTACAGTATCATCAGTAAAATATGCTAATTTAGGCTGCAGCGATACAAGCGCGAGAACAAATAAACAGACTTTCGTAGCACCCTCTTGAATCAGTCTACAGATCAGTAGTATGTTCCTGTTCCATAATATGGTTGCTGAGCTGCAACAGGTTGCTGAGGGTAAGCTGCCGCCGGTGCCACTGCGGGTGCTGGTGCCGCCACCGCCATTGCTGAAGGTTGTGCATAGGTTTGTTGTGTGTAGGCCTAAAATAATTTCGAGCACAATTTGATCAGATTACTAAGCACAAAGCAGTTCAAATCCAGAGGTACTCTACAAGTTTAGATGGAGAACATCTTCAGTACCTGAGCGGGGTATGTTGGAGGATAGGCGCCGTAAGCAGCTGCTTGAGGAGCAGATTGAGGCATTTGATGGCTGTAGTCGTAAGTTCCATACGCAGGATAAGTGGCCTGCAATGCAAACAGGTTAAGAGTCAATCGCATCAACAAATAGTTAAAAGAAATACTATAACAAAGAGAGATAGTACAAGTGACAGATTACAGCAGAGACATAGCAAGCGAGGATATAAACAGTAGAGGAAAGTCTACCAACTCAGAAGACGTTTAAAGAAACCAAAATATATTTTCACTTTTTTGCAACAGCATAGAAAACATGCTACACACGTTCAGGACATAAATAAATGATTGGTAGGATTATAGGAATATAAAAACCTGTGGTGCATAAGCAGCTCCCCATTGTTGCCCCGATGCTTCAGATGTCGCTGGCCAAACTGGAGGATTATGAGCATTTGGATCAGTTCCCACAACTGGCTGAGTACCATCCCCAATCCTAGCCAATTTATCTCTGTCTGACATGATAACATCATCAGCTCTTCGCTTCTTTGATGACAGCATGCTTCTCTTCCGCGAAAAATGAGTAAGATGCCGATTGGTAGCCTTCTTGATCGCTTGTGCATCCCCAAATAGATCCAAAAACTGTAGAGAATTTAAACACACGTCACTAACTCAGCAATCGTAGTGGGTCAACCAAAAGAACAAATAAAACAGATGCTGCCATGCAGGACAATTCAGATTAGGAAAAGAAGTACAAGCAGTGCAATCATTTGATTCATATTCCTAGAGAATTATGATCCATTCTTCTCTGCTAGACAAACTAGTACTGAGGCCGTAGCTACTAGTAGGTCTCCAGTATCTCATTAACAGGCAGGCAAACAAAAAACAAAACATACATAAACTATCTCTAATTTGCAGTTTTAATGCTCCTGAGCTAAAAACTTCAAGATGGGTAACTTAATATGGAAGATACTTTAAAGAGAACTGCCATGTAGCTTTGAAGAATTACCTCTAAAAATATGGAAGATATGTCTTCCTTGTCAGCTAGACTTGTGACTTCCCCTTCGGTTGGTTCAGCTGTAAGAAACTTCTCGACCAGTGAATCTAAAAATTCAATACGCTTTTCAGATGGAAGGATCGACTCTAGTTGCATGATAGCCTGCCAAAAAATGGACAAAATGATACAGAAGCAGAGAATAGCAGCGGGTACGAAGAAAGCGAAGGTGGTAAATAGAAAACTCAAGTAGATTTAGAAGGGGAAAAATCGTACCTCAATAATTGATTTTGTCAAATCGCATTGTTCGAGAAAACCAGTTAGCGTCTCCTTTGCCTTCTCGATGTCACCGATGGCCTGCACATTTTTAAGAAATACATCAAATTCTGCAAAAAGAGCTAGTGGAGACAAAAAGGAAGGGGAAAATAATTGTAATCAGATCCAATCAGCCACTTAACGAGTTAACATGACACAACTGGTCATCCCGTAGGCTCAAACGTTTAATATATATACAACACTTCAAACATAAATAATGAAGAATGCCAAATGACAACATTCTATTTAATGCTGTTTTGAGTGTTTTCTTATCAGCTAATCATGCATGTTCCATTAACAGTGTCAGATGACACAAAAGAGACATGTGCAATATTTCTGTTATCTCAAAAGTAGCAATAAAGATACACTTACCAAAGATAAGAATCGTGAGTACTGAATCAGCAAAGTAGGCAAAATCTGGCTCCGATCCTTTTCCTTTTCAGCGGCAATGGCCTTCTCATAAATTGAGCAAGCAGATTCTTTATCTCCCTGCAAGATGAAAAAGATAAATGAACCTTTTAACACAAAAAAAAAGGAAACAATAATGCCGTAGTTTGATTCGGGAGATACCAATCGGTGCTCCATATTAGAATGCTTAACAATGGCTTCTAAAAGGCCAGGGTACAGATCAGAATAAAGATGCTGGTATTCTACACGTGCTCCAGAGACATCTCCACTAAGCTCCTTGAATCTTGCACTGAACAGATGGATCTCTGCCTGCTTCTGTTAAAGAATAGAAGAAACAGTGTTATTCAGTAAATCTAAAACGATTGCAGTATAAACTACATGCATTACGTTGCAATAAATAAAATACTGATTGTCGATACAGTCTCAGGCCCCAATCAGATTATCAATGGCAAATGGTAATCATGACAGACAGATGCTATTAGTTTATTCTTTGTGTTTTCAGCACGTCAATAATCAAACAAGGTTTCAGAAGGAGTCTACTGTCTACTCAAATCACAATAACAAAAGCAATTTACAAGTAAAGGGTAGATATGCGTTAAGCAGCCTGCAAACTAATAATTCAGACCACTTTCTTATATTTCTTATTTATCTCCATGCAGAGTACCTATATAGAATCAAGAATCACAAGATTTTCATTTCGCAGATACAGAATCTTTGACAGTGAAAGAACACAAGATGAAATGAGAAACAGAACTTTTAGATCAGTTGTCAGACCTTGCTGATTGATATCGTATGATGATGTTAGTGGCATGTAGATAGAAGGATATACACAAGATCCATATCAAAAAAGTGTGCAGGAGAAAAAACATAATGGTAAAAGGTAAATTATACTGACTGTATATGTGATACCTTGACAAAAACATGAGTGGCACGAGCCAGAGCATTGTTTGCTAGTTCTATGCTTCCTCTAGCTTCCATGCATAGCACATAACGGATCCAAAACTCTGAATAACTAGCACATGCAATAACACATCTTTCATACAGCTTGATAACCTGAAAACAAATATTGGGTAACATCAGAAAACTTGAGCGGAAGTAATAAAGGAAATAAAGGGAATAACAATAAAATATTGACAAAAAAACAGAAGAAGTTCACACAGGTTACTCCATTAGCTGATTAGGGAGGCCCCTCCATAAGGAGGGACCATCCTTGCCTGATAGATAGATGGTTAAGAAGGAGAGCATTAAGCAATTACCTGCATATATGAGATTAAAAATTCAAACAACTGATATTTGGTAGCACATATCATTAACCCAGAACGGCCACTGACAAATGAAAGTTTGGAGTACTTAGCCTCATCGAAACCAAACATTATGTCCATGCTCTATCCTCAGTTCAATATGCCATTACAAAGGAAGCTTCGTCCAAATACTAGCCGTTAAAGCATATAATGGAGCCAATAAGACTAAAATTGTAAGTTACAAGACTCCAGGTACTGCATGAAGTCTACTGAATGAAAAAGTAAAGGACTATTTCCATTGCAAAAGCATACCTTATTTATGTCTTCTTCTTTCTCAATAAGATCAAGATAGTTGTGCCAATTTTCAAGCTCTGGATTGTCAAGGGGCTTGACATGAAAATATGGTCTTCTAATTGCTAGCTCAAAACCAATAATCTTAGACTCATACTCTTTAGCCTTGTTATACATTTCTTCTCTAACAGAAACGTATTTTGCCAGGTTATCTGCCTCTGTTGAACCTGAAATTTCGGGTTGAGCAGACATATCTACATCACCAGGTTGTGTCTCTCCATCAAGCGTCTGAGCAGTGTTCTCGGCAGTAACAGAATACATGGCAGCTTCCTCTGAGGTAAGTATTTCTGATAAACTTCGTGTTGCGGCCAACTCCTTTAGGCTGAGTAGAAATTAAAACAAATGACCATTAGTACAAGTATAAAATTTACTTCACTATGTTTCATTAAGAATATAACAATTATCATCCAAAATACCACGTTACATTTATATGGCTATTTCTTTTGTTGTAATTGGTTTATATGACTCTAATTCCTTAATCACCCTGACAATTGATAGACCACTAATCAACGACTTATTCATAAAAAGTAATACAATTCAAAAATAAACTGCACAAATACCCAATGATCTTACCAATGGAAATACCGATCAAGCTGTGTTATAGGATGCTCCAATATTCTCGTATATATGATGGCTAGATGACTCCATGCCTGCAGTGATTCTTCGTACTTAATGTACTCATCCCACAAAATATTGGAACGATAGTCTGTTCCAACATATGCCAAACCCCGTTCGAACAGTCTGTAAAAGACAATGTGAGAAAATTTGTTAATGTAGAAATAAAATCTTTTACAATGAATGATGGCCGGCTGCTGCACTCAGTGGTATCTACATCCTACATTTACATCCACGAAGGATCATATCATTCTTGACAGAAAAGTCCCAAGTTTACTTATAAATTGCTAGTATATTCGAAGGCACATATATCAAACATTCCAACATAGATTTCCTATAGGGTGAGTTTAGTTCTCTACCCTCCCAAAATTTGGTACTGCCAAAACCTAGGCAAGAATTGGTGCAGCCAAATTTTGGTGGGTAGAGTTTTGCTACAACTGTGTCCTTTGGTTTGCTACTAATTAGGAGCCAAATTTTGGTAGGGTTGCCAAAATTGGCTTCAATTCAAACAAGTGCAATACTATTTAAGTTGGCAAAAGACTTGGTAGGGAAGATTTTTGGCAGCAATCCAAAAAATGGACATGAATCACACACAGCTATCAGCTACAAGAGGAAACAAATAGGAATAGATAGAGTGTGATTGCTACCTTCTGATGATATCTGGGTCTTCATATGTAGAAATTGCAAACTGACAATAGTTATACCAAATGTCCACGGAATAAGTAACAGCAAGAACTGCACGTTCATAAACCTCTATAACTTTTGTGACACCATCAAGACGTGCTTCATGATCTGCATATTTCTTCCAGTATCCAAAGCAGAGAGGGAACTCCGCAAGGAATGCATCATACACTTTTCTTAGTTTCAAGATATTGCTCTGGGCAAGAATAGATAAAAAAAATTATTAGCACAAAAAGAACTACTCTTGCCATATAATTCCGACTTAATTTACTTAACTAAAACATAAATGAACAAATATTTACAAAAACTATCATAGGACAAATGATAACAATTCATTTTTTTCCCTGAGAAACTTGGATAAGAGCTCTACCATTTCAATAAGAGAGATAGGAAAGTAAAGTTACAAATGACAGCTCAACATGGCAAACTATGCCAAAACACATCAAGCATTGTGAACCTATATAAACATAGATTACCTATATGAGATGATGCAAATCCACAAGGCAGATTCATGGAACCAGATTCTCCAAGATATAGATGCATATAATCATAAGGTAAATCTATCATTCATGTGAATGAATGAGAAAATGAGAAGTTACAAATTTAGAGTGCCTATGCATACAACAAGTTGCAGAATAAAGTAATAACAGATTTTATGGTGACGGCAACAGTAAAAACATTACCTCAGCAGTTTTCTCTGTCTCATCAATAAGCGCAGTCCAAGCATTGAAGTCTAAGCAATTCGCTGTAACGGCATTCCACAACCTTGCTTCTTCTGCTGAAAGCACAGCTGCGAAAAGAAACAATGAATTAGCAAGTACAATCAAGCCCGATAGCGAGTGAAGAGTGTTCATATGTGCGAAACATTACCATCCGCATAGGACTGCTCGGGAACCGGCTCACCCATCTCGTTTGTGGCGGCGCCGTTCTCTGCAGCCCCCGCAGACTGGTAATCTACCACCTGGCCCGATGTCCCGTTTAGCGGCGCGTGGTCGGCGGGGTACACGGAGGCATCCGCTCCCTGAGCGCCATCGGCTTGCGGGACGGAGCTCGGATTCTGACTGTAAACGTTTGCGTCAGGGTTTGCAGTGGCCGAATCGAAAGACGCAATGGAAGAGGCTGCGGCGCCAGCCCCCGCGCTACCGGAATCGTGAGCGCCCTGGCCGGCGCTTGGATTCTCCGACGCCGCCGCGGCAGCAACGCCCTGATCTTGCTCCATTGCGGCTGCGGACCGTGGCCGACGAATCCCTCTCGCCCCTACGGGGGGGAACAGTTGGCGAAGGCTGATAAAAAAAATTACACCAAAAAAAACCACCAAAAGCGAAGCCGTAAAAGAGCTAGAACAAGAGAGGATAAATCACGGAGCACGCACCGGCGAGCGGAGGCGCGCGCGTCGGGGAGGATGAGGTGCCGAGGGGTCGCCGACGAGCGGGCGAGGGCTTCGGCGCCGGCGAGGCGAGGCGGAGGCGGAGGGTTAGGGTTGGAATTGGATCGGTGGGAGGCTATCAGTATCAGCGGCGTGGGAAAGGTGGGGGGGCGCGGAGAGGTGGGCCGTCGGGGAAGTACAGGGAGAGGAGCCCGTGTGCCCCCGCTGCGGGCTGCGTGACGCGGCCCAAATTTCTGTTTCTCCGCGGCCCAATGAGAGCGGGGGAGGCTTTGCCGCGGCCCACGTTGTCTTATCCAACCAAGGGCCCGTTTCGCCGTCTCCCTCTGCTCGGGTCGGCCCCGCGCATAGGGTTTGTTAGGGTCTCCCATCCGCAGCTTCTTTTATAATCTCTATCGGTTAGAAGTTCCTTTAATAATCTAGGTTTTTTTTCTCGGAATCAAGTCCATAGTTATAGATTCTAGAAAATAAAATAGGACATGTTTGGAGAGCTTAAGATTCTAAAGAATCATCTGGATAGTAGCCAGTTCTGATAATATGGAAAAGTTGTGTTTTTCAATTTCTGACTTTTATTTTATTTTCTGGATTCTTTAACTATATTTTCTTAAAATCTAAACGAAAAGCTAACTTTTAAGGGAACGGAAAACTAGACTGTTTTGAAAAGCTTGTGATCCTGAAAAAAGCTGTAGCTACATAATCTCCCCGAACAGGCTCATGTAAGCTAAAAGTTGGGTTCTCATCCAGATTATCGTCAGCTAATTTATCATCAGTTGTTTCCCAAAATATTAAACACTCCAAACAGACTCGTAATATTGTACGCTACACGATGGGGAACCTTATCAATCTACTGGATCGGCGTGCGAGACGCCGACCAAAAATCTGAGGCGATTGTACGGTGCGCGGCTGCGAAGCCAGCAGGCAGCGGCTCAGAGCCACCACACGAGTACACGACCAAGGGGAATTCACGAGAATGGAGAATGGCACACATTAGCTTTAGGTGGAGGACAGCTAGCGTGAATGACAAGGACTACCTTAGCTCGATCTCATGTAATCGGTGTAAGCGTGAAGCATCTGTGAGCTGGTGGAGGCATGCATGATCGTCGATTTGTATGGGTCGGGATGACCATGAGCTTATTATCCTTTTCTATCCCGTTTGTTCTCCGAGCACACATTTCGGCCTATTTGAATCAAATGCAAAACCATAGGAATTTTAGAGGATTTTATCCTATGAAAAATAATTCTATATAGTCATTTGAAACAAAGGATTATTTCCTATTAATTCTTTTAAAATTCCTATGGAATGAGTAACTTTGGAGAAAAATAAGCATGAGGTCTCACCTCATGTTTTCCTCTTCATGTGTCTAAGATTCCTGTGTTTTTCCTGTGTGCTAATCAAACGATAGTTTGGAGACTTTCCTGTGTTTCAAAATCCCATAAAAATCCAATAAATATGGCATTCAATTCCTACGTTTTTTCTATTCATCTGTTTTATCAATTCTGGGATTCAAAATGCCCTTCCTTCGTGACCGTCTCACTGACCAGGTCGGGTTTCGCGTAGCTTTCGTACTTTCGTTCTGTTCATTGCTAGTAGTAGTAGCAGAGTAGTAGGTTCGGTTCCCAACTTCCCACTACACCACTACTACGTGCAAACGATGACCCGTGATATGCAGTGCAGAGTGTACTGTTTCCCTCACCAGTTGATGCGCAGTACTGCGAGACGCGCACCGTTCTCTGTCACGGCCGCCGATAGCTTTGGTAGCATTTCACCACGAAGAGATCCCACCCGATCCACGGTACGAGGCTGGTCGGTCCCCCGTGCCGCGCGGCGTGATCGACAGTAGCACGCACGCACACACCACGCGCGGAGTGCCGCGCCGGGCCGCTGTTCGTCCGCTCCAGCGGCCAAACCAACCAGCACCCAGCGCGCGCGCATGCCAAGAGTCACGAGGCCACACGAGCCACCGCGAGCGCGTGTCCGTGTCACGGTTCGCTTGCGGTGCGGGCGCCTACCCCGCACCCGCGATGAGCGCGGCACACGCACCAAATGCGCCCCGCTCCTACCGCTGTCCGGCTCGCGCCTCGGTTCGGCCGTTGGACGATTCAGGGTGTGTTCGCCGAAGCGGTTCCCAACCGGTACAGTAATACGGAAAACGGGACGATCCATTAACGCGTGATTAATTAAGTATTAGCTAATTATTTTTAAAAAAATGAATTAATTTGATTTTTTTAAAGTAACTTTCATATAGAAACTTTTAAAAAAAACGTACCATTTAGCAGTTTGAAATACGTGCGTACAGAAAACGAGGGAGAAGAGTTGGGAAAAGAGGCTTTTCGGTCAATTTACCGATCCCTCGCTGTACGTTTCCCCGTACCGAACGCCGATCGGTAAATTGACCGAAAAGGCCGAAATCCACTGTGCATTTCGCGGCAGTACGAGTTCAAACAAACGGCTTTCTTTCTCCTCCGAGTAAAACGCAACAAAAAGCGAGCAAATTCCTGCCATCTGACGCAGCAAACAGTGCAGCAACTCTTTGGCCGCAGAAGATCCGGCGCCGTAGGTCCACCAGACCACCACCAAATCGATCCCCGAGCCGGCTGCTTATTTATTGGGATCATCCGGAGGAGGAGGGTGCCAGAGCTTTGAACCCGGTTCTGTGTCGCCCATCCTGCGGCACCCCACCACCCATTCGCAGAATCGCAGTGCAGACTGCAGACTGCAGAGGCCGTCCGTCGTCGTCTACACGTCCACACTCCACACAACAGCCTCCGGCCAAGAGCGACGAGAAGGGATACCCATGGAGAAGGCGCTCACCAAGATCGGCAGCTTCACCATCTCCCGGAAGGCCAAGCAGGAGCTCTCCGCCATTGGCGGCGATATCTCCGTAAGTATTACTTGCCTTCTCTTCGCTTTTCTGTTTGATTGGTTTGTTGAGACTGTTGGGAGTTGGATTATATCAGGGCTAGTTCTTTGCTTGGTGAATCTTTGTTGGACTACTGAAATCAATCAATGCCGTTCTTGGTTTCCTTGTTCGCTGGCTTGCTTCTTGGAGATGCTGTTTTCTGTTACAATCTGAGGAAGCTGCCGTCTAGAAATGATCTGGTCTTTTCTGGAGATTAACAGTTTGGTTGTGCGAATGCACGATTTGTTCTTCCACATTATTGTTGGTGTCAGTGTTAGGATTCATTTGGAGTTCTTCGAGATGTTTCTGCAACCTGTTTTTGCTTCACTTTTCTTGTGGGAGATGCATGAAAATGACCCTGTTGATTCGACTGTACTGCACTTTACTTCTGTGCAATGCAGTTTAGGTTCAAATCACAGGAAATTCTGCTACAGTGCACTTTAGGTTCGACATTCACATCACACTGACAAACCTAACTGTTGTGATTTTCAGCGTCTCTCGAGCACTGTTGAGGAGAAGGCGAAATGGGTTTTCGACAAGCTCAAAGGTATACTGTTCCTTTCAATTCTGTTCTATTTGTGGCTATAAAAATTAAGAGTGAGTTTTAAGACAGGAAGCAGACCTTGATGTGTGCATTTTGTGTTGTCTTGGTAAATCATTATGCTTAGTACAATTGTACATAGTTATTAGTGGTGCCAAATTGCTAATGCTGCTTTTCTTGCCTAATGCGTAAATCCAAAACAATGCAAAGTGATCTGCTTTGTTCTAACTTTTCTGCTTTTCTTGCATGGAGTTCGGATATAGCTTTTCTTTATTTTTCTTTCATCCCTTTTTGATCTACAAAGTTATACAGTAATGCACATGGGGGGGCCAAACTGAAGACTTTTGTGACATTCTACCAATGTGCTTTGGCTGGCAATGGGTCCAGTTTCTGTTGACGACATTATGCAAAAGCTCCTAAGAGGAAAGGGGATTTGTCTAACAGAATTGTTCACCTAACACCTTGTTTTACTTGCAATCTTTGCCTTGGTCCTCTTGAAGTCTTTGGCGGTATTAGCAAGGTTGTGTTAAGTATGGCACGGTTTTATGAGACACCAACCAGCTGATTTGCAACTTGCCAGTCTGTAATGCATATTCTGTTTCATACATGTCCGATATATACTCCAGTAGGTATTCAGTGGAGAAAAAAAGTTAGCATAATCAGTATCCTAATCTACCTGCTCACATGAAAACATAAAAATGACATATTTTTAATACATTGCCTGACTTGGGGAAAAGAAAGTATGCCAGCTTGCAAAGGAGATCTATTTGTGTGTTTTATGACACTTCTAGTTATATATTTTCTATTTTTTTAGAGAACAGATGTATGCAATATTGTGTGCTGCTCCTCAAGTTCTGCCAAGGTTGTTGTTTGTTCCTACAGTTGAGAGTTGAGAATTGAGACTCGTATGAATTTGTGCACTTTGGTTGCAATTTTGTTCATAGAAATGATATTCAAGTTTTATGTAATGCAGATTTTACCTTTGTATTTCACTCAGAATTCACCACAGTTGAATTTCCCTGAATAGCTCAGAATGCCTTCTGAATTTGCCTATCAGTATGTTAGATCTGCAGAGAAGTTGAATTTTACATAAGAGTGGGAACTAAGAGACTTGACTTCCATTTTCTCTTATCCAGGCAAACCAAACAAGTCACTCTCTGATCTCCTGCGAGAGTACAACCTTCCTCCAGGCCTCTTCCCTCGGAATATCATCTGCTACGAATATGATCAAACAAGCTCGAAGCTTGTTGTGCACCTGTCTAAGCCCTGTGAGGTGAGCTTCAAGGATTCATCCGTGATACGGTACGCGCCTCGTGTCAAGGTGACTCTGTCTCGAGGCAAGCTCTCCGCGATCGAAGGCATGAAGACCAAGGTGGTTGTGTGGGTGAAGGTGGCTAGCATAAGCTTGGAGAGCTTCAGGTCTGACAAGATCTGCTTCATAGCCGGCGTGAAGAAGCTGAGGCAGAAGGATGCTTATGAGGTCCCCAGGGAAGGCATCGCAGTTGAGGAGTTCTGAACCTGAATTGATCAGTGTTATCTCATAGTTTCATTCTTACCATTTTTTTTGAGTCCATGTGGTGTGTGATTCTCTGGAGGACACATTGGTGATTTCTGGTGCTGTGATTCAGCAGATTTGTATATTGGAAACATGGAGAATTTGTTCCTCCTGACAAAAGACACTCTTGCATGTTCTCTCATCCGGTCCTTCACATGGATGATGTCCTAGCAATGTGAACATTTTAGTATGTGTTTTCGTTCTGAATTGCCTATTTCTAGGGGACATGTGATCCGGTCGTCTATGGTCTTTTGCATGTGGTTGGGTGGTGCCTGTCTGCTGAGTTGCATGTCCTTTTGCTGAACAAGTTGTATCGTCTTTCATGGAGCATTCAGACACGAAGGAATTTTCCTGCGCATATAAACGCATCCATTGATTGTTTGATGATGCTTAACCATGCCCAAGTTGAAGAGAACCTGCCTGGCTGCCTATTGAAAATATAAACCTCTGGAGAAAAAACAATGATGCATCTAGGTTTAGGACGTTCTAATTTTGGCAGAGTGGCTAGCAGCATATAGAAAGGAACACATAATATTTAGCATAATATTTTAAATCAGGATATAGAAAGGAACACATGATGTTCCATTAATTTACATTATTCGGTACTGAAATCCATCAGCAGCTGCAATGTTGACTCAAAACAAACACACCTAAAGCGTAGTACTTACCTTAGATATTTGGCCATACCAAACATTGAGCACATCAATACCAATTCCATGAAGGCATGCAACATTGACACCCCATGGATCAAGGAAATGAGCTCAGTATTTCCTGGTGAGCCTTGGTTAGTTCAGGTAGTTCCTCAAACTATCCTGTGACTCCTCCATGACAGCATACTGACCTTGTTTCTTCAAGAACATCTGTGTCAAACTTTATGTAGTCCCCTGGATCGCCTTCCTCTGATTCATGACCACCATCACCAAAGAAATTATCAGAAGCCAAATAACCATGACTACCAGGCTTGCTGTACCAAAAGCCATTCCTGTTCTTCTGGTGAAGACTGATGGAAGGGTTTTTTTTGGTTGTTTCGCTGTTTCAGACGCAAATTCCACCACCTTCATCATCAGACTTTGTTGACACATACCCTTGATGAAGATCGAAACGGGTATAGGTAACCCTCAGCGTTCTCGATGTAACGACTGAAGAATTTCTCCTTCATGCATCTAGCCATAAGTCAATGGGAAGCTGAGGAGGTCAGCTGTTTAACCAGCAGGGAGCAGCGCAGCGCTTGACAACTTTGCTGAACTCATGGTGGTAAGCCAACATACAGCTGCTGCCACCACCTCAGCGCTAGACAGTACATCTCCAGGGAAGATGGCAGAAGCACCAACTGTGATTGCTGATCCTATCACACCTCTATTTCTCAAATCAATTAGATTCAGGTTGTCTGAAAAGCTTTGGAATTAGTACCAACAGATCACACAGCATAAAAGAGGCACCTGCAGCTGCAAATAAGGTAAGATGGACATTGCAGAGATATTCAACCATAGTGGAAGGAGATGACATTTGTGCTTGTAAAGGTAACACTAGAGTTGACCATTTATTCATGTTCTTCTTGAGTGGTGCTTTTTCTCTTTATCATGGAATTGGGAGAAGGAAGAAGGCATAATAATTAGATCATGGAAGTTCAAGAACAAGGCCTGCAGTTGGGAACCAGCTGGTATCCAGTCTGCATTTTCTTTTCTGTTTTTTGAATCTTATCCTTTAAAGCTTTGTTGTATTCTAAGAATAGTACCACCGTTTCATTCAAGTCACTCTAAAACCACCTATTTTCTGCCCTGGACTAACCCACCAGCTGAGGATGTGTTTCAACAATCATCTTCGAATTTATTTTGTTAACAATATGTGATTTATAAACAGCCGAAATAACAGAGTTCAAACAGAATTTATAATGTTTTTGCTAAATAATCCATTGTCTACTTTAAATAGTTTATCACTAGATTCGAGTTAAAGATTAAATACTTCTTCTAGTTAGACAACTATTTATCACTAAGTATTTGAACAATATACTGAATCGTTTAGGCATAAAACCATTTAGCATTGAGACATCAATATTCAGTGACCAGCCTAAAAACAAAGGAGTGAACAAAGGAGTTGATGACTGTCTCTAGAAGATAAGAGCTTATAGGTAGGATAGGAATAGTCCATGAATCATATGAACATAACTTGCATAACAACAATAATTCAGCCTATCGATCAAAAAGGGATTTTTGTAAAGATGAAACCATTGTCAATCAAGTGAAAACACTTCTGGAAGAGGGAAAAAAGAGCATTTTCTTCTATTGAGCCCAGCAAACCTTAATAGCAACCCAAATTTAGTTAACTGATAGTCCAGTATGGTAAGATAGATTACCCTCATACTCCACAACACGGCTAATTTGTTATTCCCTGAAAACATAACTTAGTAATATGTCAACTATGAACTATGAACCAATAAGGAAATAACTCTGAAAAATGCATCTGCATAGCATTATAATACTTAATTATAGTCAGGAATGGCACACACAACATGAGCAACACAGGTTTCCATCCAATATTTATTCCCCCGAATTCATGGGTAGCACCCTAAGCATTCGTGTTACAATGCAGAGACAACATGACCAACTGACCAAGACAGTTTTATTGTATAACCGGATGGAGATCGTACATGATTTCACACCATTTGGGCATTAAGTAGAACAGGAAACTAACCAAACACAGCAAGGTCCTTCACAATTCATGAGACATCATAGATTCAGTTACAAATCAGCGCTTCTTCAAGAACCCCTCCGCAAGCTTTAAGTAGTCACCCATACCGCCGCCACCGCTCTCCCCCTCACCGCCTTGCTTCTTCATGAGACCTTGTGCCAGTTTCAGGTAGTCTCCCATGCCGCCCTCCGACCCCTCGCCATGCTTCTTTTTCTTCTTGTCATCTTCCTCTTCCTCCTTACCATACCTCCCTCCCCCATGGCCACTAGGCTTCTTGTACCCTTCCTCTTCCTCATACCTGCCACCGCCGCCACCGGAGTGCGCGCTAGGCTTCTTCTTGTAGTCATCTTCTTCATACCTCCCACCATGGCCTCCACCACTTGAAGCACCATACCCATATCCACCACTAGGCTTCTTGTTGTACTCATCATCCTCCTCATACCTCCCTCCACCATGACCACCACCAGGCTTCTTCTTGTACTCATCCTCATACCTTCCACCACCTCCATATCCACCCGCACCGGCACTCGGCTTCTTCATGTAATCATCTTCTTCTTCCTCATACCTCCCCCCACCATAGCCACCCCCACTCGGCTTCTTTCTATATTCATCTTCTTCCTCATATCTTCCTCCTCCATAGCCACCACCACCACCACTACTAGGCTTCTTCTTGTAATCATCTTCTTCCTCATACATTCCTCCTCCATAGCCACCACCACCACTAGTAGGCTTCTTCTTGTAATTATCTTCTTCCTCATACCTTCCTCCTCCATAGCCACCACCACCACCACTAGTAGGCTTCTTCTTGTAATCTTCTTCTTCTTCTTCTTCGTACCTCCCACCTCCATGACCGGGCTTCTTCTTGTATTTGCCCTCGCCGCCCTCATCCTGGTACTTGCCGCCGCCGCCGGATCCGGCGGAACCCTCCTTGCGGCCGTACTGGTGGAGGTACTCCTCGGCCTTCTCGAGGTAGTTGCCAGCGGGCTTGCCGTCGAGCTTGCCGTACTGGGAGGCGGCGTGGAGGAGTTCGGCGGCGGCGCCCGCGACGCGGCCCTTGTCGACCTTCTCCAGGTTGTGGTCCTGGAACACCGACTTGGCCGCCTCCGCCACCAGCTTGGCGCTCGACGCCAGGTCGCCGCTTCCGCCCCCGCCTCCGCCGCCGGACGACGGGCGGTGCTGCTGCGGGGGCGGGCGGCCGCGGTGGCCGTCGCCGCCGCCGTCGTAGGAGGCCATTCGCGCGAGCTGGGTAAGCTAGCTAGCTTTAGCTCGGGATCTGAAGGAGAAGAAGAAATTTCTCGCGATGCCGCGTCAACTGTCAAGTGTGTTATTACACGGTACTCTGCTTTTTGAGGCGAATCAATCCAGTTTCGGTTTCATCAGCTTTCAAGTTGAGGTTAGCGTTGGGTGGACGCATCTGAAACGTCCGATCAAGACACGGACGGTCGCGATGTTCTGTCATCTGTTACACGAGGCCAAATCATACGGAGGCCTTATAGGCTTAGGACTACCTGTACATTTGTCGACAAATTTTCTCTTAAAAATTTATTAAATATAAATACAATATAATTATACTGTAATTACACTGTAAGTATAGAATAACTACACTGTAACTTACATGTAATTACATTGTAACTATAGTATAACTACACTGTAACTTTAGTATAACTACACTGTAACTATAATAATTACATTTTTATTTATATGTAATTACATTGTAACTATAATATAAGTGAGATGTACCTTTATAAAACTTATGTTTGGCACTGCTCACGTGAAAGAGGCATTACGAACTCGCAATGTCAATGTCTGTTTGTACGATGCGTGTGGAGGCCATCATTCATGCATGCATGTTTGGCTATGCCCTGCCGCTTTATCTCTGCCCTTCGTCTAACATCTACGCGTGCATGAGCCGCGCCAGTGCCGGTAGCCAGCGGCCATCGAAAGAAACAAATCAAAGCGTCGACGCAAAAGCACGAATCCCGAGGTTCATCAAGCGGTTCAAAAATCGACAAATTCTAAGGAAGAAATTTGTCAACAGATTTATAGCAAAATCATAATGCTTTGTTTTAAGAAAAAAAACACACACCATTTACAAGGCCAAATCTATAAGGCTTCGTTGGAATGCAAGAGTTGAAAACTTTTCACCCGTCCACGTAAAACGAAATGATTAATTACTACATCATTAATTAAGTATTAATTAAAAATATTTTTAAAATATTTAAAAATTTAAAACCTTGAACGGACTACTATCACGGATTATCTGGTCCACATCTATAAAATATAAAATATAGTACTTTCTCAACAAACTTTCTTCCACCACATTGATTAGACTCTATTCTAAGCTATTTTTATTAATTTTGTTTTGTAAAATATTTAATATATCATTATAATCAAATGGATAATATATGACAATAACCTATCAATAATCTGTTTCAAAAGAGAAAAGAGTAAAAAAAATATCCCAAAGGCAAAATATTTTTTTTATTTTTAATTTTTTAATTTTATGAATAGACCTTTTTCCAAAAGTATTTTAAAATCTGAACCTTCTGGTGTGGCAAGAGGCTGTCACCGGCATGCCAGCCACGTGTGGTGTGACAAAATTATTTGGCTAGCCAGACGGGCTGGAGTGGCCAAAAGGGGCATTTTTCGGAAATACTTTTTGGAAAGATCTATTAATAAATTAAAAACTATTTTTTTAAAAAAAAATCAAGGCAAAGCCCCAGAGGCAAGACCCAGTCATCTCGCTGTTAGTGGCTCACAAGAGAACAAGTCGGCACCCATCCTTCGATCTTTTCCCATCAGCAGCCTGACTACTCCCAGTCTCCAACCCACTAACCCCATCCTTCTCTCTACGCTGGGCGAGGCCACCACTGAGCGGAGCAGGAGGAAAACCAGCAGGCGAGTTAGAGTTATCGCCATGCTTGGCCTCCGCGGCCTCGTCGCCGCGTCACCTGTCACCGCGCCGCGGTGTAGGGGGCGGTGCAGTGCCGCGACCGCGGCGACGTCGGCGCCGGAGAAGACGGCTGGCCACGTCGGCCGGCTTCCACTGGCCATCGTCCCAGCGGCCGCCGCCTCGCTCTCACTTGTCCTCTGGTCCAGTCCAGGTACACACCGGCACACAGGCACAGCTGAAGTGACTAGTAACAGCTTGCAAGCAAGCGGTGATAGTGTTAGTGTATACGCTACTCCCTCCGTTTCCCATTTCGTATTGTCGCTTTGACTAGGCAAATTATTTTAAGTTTGATTAATTTTAATAAAAAAAACTAATAACATTTCTAACACAAAATAAGTATATTATCGTAATATATTCAATGTTACATTTAATGAAACTAATTTGGTGTTATAGATATTGCTATTTTTGTCTAAAAATTTAGTCAAAACGACTTATAATATAGAACATATAGAACAGAGGGAGTGGTAGATAGTTGGATCATGAACTGAAGATGCATGGAACAATGGATGAACACACAAGACACAATTGGCACCGCACAGCCATGCTGATTGTTCTTTCTTTCTGCAGTACATGCTGGCATCATGTCAGGGTTCAAAGGGATGGAATCGGTTCCAGGCCCAGATCTGCCACGAGTGGAGTTCTTGGAAAAATGGAATGGTTAGCAAACTGGCTACTACTCTCCTATATATATGTATGTATGTATGCATGCCATATCTCTCTCGAATCTCGATCGCTGAGAGTTCCTGTAATGTTCCTGCCAATTGTCACTTCTGTTGTGACATGAATTCGCTGATAAAAAAAAACTTTCTCTTAATTTGGTGCTCTCAAGCGGAGAACCAGAAGAAGTACGCCGAGTTCGACTCCAGGTTCAAGTCTTCCCAAGTGCTCAAGGATCTGCTCGAGAAGTCCAAGCAGAACAAACTGAAGTACCCCAATTTTCGCTAGCCCTGTTTCTCTTGAAGCTCTCCTGCAGCCATGTTCTTGCCATGGGTCTCTGAACAATTTATCAAAAAATTGCAGGAATGAGAGGGAGATTCAGGATAAATACTGCCTGCGTGGCGCCGAGTGGGGCGTCGGGGACTGCTCGACGGAGGGGATGTCGGACCAGGAGAAGGAGGATTTCATCGCAGAGCTGAAGAAAAGAACTGGACAAGAGTGAAAAATGTGTAGACCATTTTCCACCATGGTGGAGTTTTGCCACTGCATATATACAGCTTTTGTTGCCAGACCAGTACCACCACTATGTTTAGATCCAGGAATGGCATTTTACTCTTGGTAGCCTGATTAGCACAGGTTCTGTATTGTAGGAAGGAACAAAGTCTGAAACACTCAAAGACAATTCCACTCTTTCTTTTTTCTTCAGATTCAGTACAGAAATCCGACGATGCATTAGATGTAATCAGACATTTCAGAATGCGCCCACATATGTTAAATAACCTCTCATATGCTTCCTAAAATTTTCGTTTCTTGTCTTACCGTAAGCACTCTGCCTGTTCTTCTTTCCTTCTCTTTTTTTGTGGTGGTTCGCCCAAAAGGGAAGTATATATACAACTGCCGGTGGCCTGCAGTTCTGAAAGTTTTTCATCCATCAAGGTTTCAACGAGTGACAGCATATATAAATGAAGCAACCTCAGGAATAAATTATACCATCAGATTACCCAAGGTAAAAGCAAGCACCAGGAATAAACAAGCAGACACCAGAAAAATGAGTACCAACTTTAATTTTTTTACTGAGTCAAAGGATGCTAGAAACAGAACCGTTCAATTTGCTGTTGAGGATTCGCCTAAAATCTAGTACATCTAATGTGAAAAGTTTTGTTGTATGTAAACTAGAGTACACGATCTCTCTTCTACCTGTAGACAAGAGAATATCTCATTCATTCAGTTACATTTGTCCACCAATAATTTTCCATGCTTTTCAAGGTTGAAAAGCCAATCCTTCTCCTTCCTTCAGCATTAATAGTCATCTTTTGACGGTAATATTACAGAGAAGGGTGGCACTCTCAGTTAATCCTCGAGCTTATCCTTTAGGTTAATTCTTCATGAAGATATTCAGGGTTCCAAGTTGTATGGCTTGTTCAGAAATCAGAAGGTTGGTGCTGCCGATATCAGGTAGTGCTATGATAAATCTGATGTATCGTCGGACTGAAGTAAATTCTGGTGAGGCCGCTAAAAGTATTCGGTATCAGCTGCCAGAGCACAATTGCTTTCTGGGTAGCTCATCACCAAACCAACCATAAGCACCGGATTCAATGCGACCAGCCATCAGATTAGGAGATCAGAACGGACTACCTTGAAAGGGAATAAAATACATAAACTTTCAGCTTGATGATAACAAAAAAATATCAGTAAAAGTAATTATCACGAAAGCAATTCATGGAAGCACAAAGAATAATTAATGCAGCCAAAGTTCAAAAACTGAACATAGAGAATAATGAGTAAAAGGCAGGTACTAAAATGGGAAATGCCATTCATGTTATCACCAGATTTTTTGCATCAAAGAGGGTTTGTGTCAATGGAGCGGATGATCAAAGAGGTACTAGTGCATTACATGATATATCCAGAAAAAAACATTATAGTTTGATAGCAAAATATTAGCTGGATAGGTTAAAGTTACATATGGTAATATTAGGAAACAATTTAATTACTCCCCCCGTTTCATATTTTAAGTCATTTGACTTTTTTCCGAATCAAATTCTTTAAGTTTGACCAAGCTTATAGAAAAATATAGTAGTATTTTCAACACAAAACAAACATATTATCAAAATATATTCAATGTTAGATTTAGTGAAACTAATTTAATATTTTAGATATTGCTAATTTTTACTACAAACTTGGTCAAACTTAACAAAATTTGAATAGAAAAAGTCAAACAACTTATAATATGAAACGGAGGGAGCAATTGTTATGGAGGACATTTACTCTGTTCATTTTGACACGTTAACTACTGAACTTAAAGCTTCCTAACAGACTCCAGCTGTTGTAAATTAGCTTGCAATAGCATCAATACTACTGGAAGAGGGAAGTGCTTATGGGACGTACTGCGCAAATTGCATGTGTTGCAAAATCCATTTTGACTAGGTCTATAAGTTCTAAAAAATTACTAGGGCATATTCAATAGTCTGCACTCATGAAAAATTTCAAGACCAAAGTCAACCTCATTTGATATATTTGAAAAGGATGAATACTTAGTAAACAGTGTCAAGTTTTGTTCACTGAAGGTCTGATTTGGAAGCCCACAATTCCTGGTCCATATCCCCGTGGAAAAGCCACTCACAAAAAAGGCTCTGGTAATTGTCTTTTTTGTGTCTTGTCCAATTAAGACAAGTTTGATCTCTAGCAAACAATTTTCAGACTTTCAAGAACTTCTGTACCTAGTGAAAAACTCAAAAAAGGAATTTGAAGAGCAAAAATTAAATGAGCTAAAACTTCCTACTTTCCTGATTATATGAAGCAGATTCTCTTCAATGCCAGTTTTCCTACCTTTTTCTGCATCCATCTCACGTGATGTGCCAGTGTATTCAACACATAAGCACTTACTAACAGATTTGACTTATTTAGCAGGCATACAACTTTGTCGATTTTAGCTAGGTTGACTACCAGGAAGCAACACTTAAGTAAGGAACAACCACAAGTTTTCTAGAAATAGGATAAACTCTGTAGTACAAGTAATGATTTGGTTTGTTTTGTTCAGATAATCAAACTTCAAAGACTGAAAACCGACACCATGATACAACAAAGGGGACAGAAGAGAGTATTACCTGCGAGTTTGAGGTGATGATGGTTGATCAGGAGATGAATGAGAGGAGCCACCCCTAAATGCAACATGCCTTTGCCCATAAAACTCATTGGGCATTGCTTGGCGAGTGGGTCGTGGCATGTCACCACCATCAGCTGTAGGAACTGGCCCAAGTGAACCAAATTCAAGTGGTTCAGATGAAGAACCGTGATTTGTGCCTGGTTCACATGAGTAGTACATGAAATATGGAGCTGAAGACCCAGAAAGGGCACCGATACCATTTGAAGCAGATGGTGATGGATCCCCATGTGTCATGTTCCCTGGTCTGCGTATATAGTTTGTTGATCCAGAAGATTGGGCGCCTGTCTCATGCCTGTATGAATCATTTCTATAAGATCGCCGCTGCCTATCATACTGGTTTTCATCTGCTGCTTGTCTATCCGATCGTATGCCAGACCTCTCTGAGTGGCTACGTCCATAGCTGCGGCCAGGATTTCGTTGTTTTGAATTTATCCAATTTCCTTCTTTATCATTATGGTCACCCTTGTCAGTGTTATAATTTCCTCTGTGGTTTCTTGAGCCTGAGTGTCGGTCCTTAAATGGAACCTTCTGAAGAAGAAAAGCAATAGATAGAATTGACGAATTAGTATCAACCAGTTCAGACTATATTCGTGATTTTATATAGGTTATCAGCTCATGAGAGAGATGTATTAGAAAACTGGATTGAACTTTTGTAACCTAATGCTTAATAGTATAATTGAATAAAGTTTTAACTGCGGGGGGCTCCCTTAAAGTGTCTTTTTTCAAACAAAAAAAAAGTTTAGACTATCAAATTCATAAAGGATTGCTTAATGAATTTTATTTCTTATAGAAAATGAAATAAATTATTGCACTTAAGATACAACCGCTAGGCCTAAATTCCATCATCCTGAAAAATTTTAAATTCAACCATAAATAAACTCAAGAGTTTTCATCATTCAGCAACTAATAAGTATGTTGATCCAGGTAGCTGAGTATCCATCCTCACCAGTGAACCATGAATCTCACATCTAGTTTGCTATACATAGAATATGTGAATGTTGTCCATTGTCATTATACATTCCTACAAATTTGTTACTTCCTTTATCACCTTCGTTTTCTATTAGATTTAGATTCTATCACAATTTCAACGCAAATTAAACAGACTTTATTTTTTATGATTAACGCATTTCCACTAGATTGTTACAAGAGTAGTAGCATCTTGTTAGCTGTGAACTTGTCGCCTATAACAGCTGTTACAAAAGCTAGAATCAGTGATATAATTTAGAAGCTATGGTTGATAAGACCATTTTGCAATAGATTAGCATCATATTAGAGTTCTATATATGTGATAGAATATGTTTTAATTTTCAATATACCAATAGTAAACAACTAAACATGTTATCTATGCATTAAGATATCAAAGCAGCTAGTTAGGATCTTACAGGATTTGGCAAGTAAGTTCCTGTGCCACCACGGTATCTGGGCGCATCCTCCGTGTGGTGCTGTGGACCACCAGTAATTCTTTCAGAAGAAGGTTGTAGAGGCATCATAGGATAGATTCGTTGGCTGGGGGGGACCATCTGGGTCCAGTTAACATTTGTTGAAGCTGGTCTGCCAGGCCCATCCCATGGAACATGGCCCTGCAAATACATTGGTGGCACTGCAAAGGGGTATAACACAGGATTCATGGGGCGCGGGTTTTGGCATGACCGTCCATATTGTAAATTACACCAATGGCTATCAAAATCGCTGTTCAAAATGTCAGGCTTTTGCTCTTCAGATGGATCACCTGCAGTACTGGATGAAGCTGTTGAGGTAGCATTGATATCAGGATGGTGAACATTGTTGAGTGAACTAAAATTTTGGACAGCAATATTGACAGGAAGTTGATCAACCCCTTCATTCCTCTCAAACTGTGGAACAGATCCATCATTCCCAGGAGCATATGGCAACATCAAAAAAGGAACCGCTGGACCTGTTTGAATAAAAGTCAGTCCGCCATTACCAGATTGTCTCTGCTGAGGGGATCCAATAAAAAGAGGTGCAAACAGTGGATTAGGCATGCCAATCTGTGATGGTTCAAAATCATTTGGCACTTGACTAGTTCTTGATGCTGTTGAGCCAGACCCTGTTATTATGTCAGAGGCCTCATGTCTAATGTTTGGTACTATAACCCCATTCCGGGCACCATCATCAACCTCTGGGGGGATATGCTCAGAAGCATTTCCAGTCTGCCAACCAGTATTATTTTTGCTATGTGTAGTTGTGTCAGGTGCTGCAAAGGCAGGCCTTTTTCCCCATTTGTCCCTCAATGATCTTGTTGTATTTCCAGCTGATTCACCCCATGAATTCTCAGGCATAGCTTTGTTTCTTGACAAACCGGATTGTGAAGAAGGGATTCTTGCATTTCCACTACCTATTCGAGTATTTATGCTGGCTTGTCTACTTGTTTGGTTTTGAAACATGTTGGTATAATTCTCTTCTACTGCTCCATTATCCTCAACAGCAATCTCTCCCTGTCTTTCAAAGGGGGCACCAGATACACTGTTAGGTGAAGAGGAATGCTCTTTTCCATTAAAGTGGCGCATCTGTGGATCTCTTCCTTGATGATTAAAATATCTAGGAAATCCAACACCATACTCATGCCAATTGTTGCCATCATCACGACTCGCATCTGGTGTAATAGGTTTCTCACTCTCGTTACCTTCTTCGATGTTTGGTGCGAAAGTATGGTTTTGGACATAATGGGCCATGGGTGGTGAAACATATCCATGGATCAAATGCATATTGGACCATGGAGCCCCAATTAAGCTAGTTGGTGGAATTCCAGCAAAATGTTTTGGGGGAAAAGCTGCTGGTGCAAGTAAAGGGGAGGGTGCCACCGAAAAATGAGGCGGCATTTCTATTGGCAATTGAACTTGCCCGTTGAAGTCATGCAATTTAGCTGATGACATTAAATTAACTAGGACTTGCTCCTCTTGCTGTTTATCTGATGCCTCAGATACAGAAGGAAGTTCTTCGTTCATTATGAAACCATTATCTTCGCGGTAGCTGCTTGACACACTGTTTGAGTCAGAAGCTGCTTTCCCACTATAGTGAGATGAACTGTTCATCGAAGACACTGACTCATCCTGTGAAGACTTAGTGATGTGGCTGCTAGAAACTTCTGGAGCCAAGTTGTTTCTTCTGCTATTGTAATCAACCTTCAAAGATTTGTCCATTTCAACCACTCCAGTCCGTCTTCCACGAGAATATCCTTCAACAGAAGGGTCCGTTAGTTCAGGACTAGAGCGGGTTCTTGCAAACCGAGACCTGTTTTGCCCATTTCTATCATTAACAAAGAGAGAATTTGGTACTGTCTTGTTCCTTTCATTTTGCATTGATCCATCAGAACTGTTTCTTTCAAGCTGCTCAGAGACCTTTGTATTGGCATGTGTCACATGAACTTTTTGGTGATGAGCATGAGAATCAGAAGGGTTGACTGTTCTCAGTGAATTTCTCGGGTGTAGAACACTTCTCTGAAGTGGCTGAGAAGTAGCTTCAGGATAGCTATTAGCATTTTCACTGAGATTATCCTGGTTAGCACGAATATTAGGATTTTCAGCGTTTTTCTTGAGTGCCATCGCACTTCTCTGACTATTTGATGCTTCAGCAGGGACAACCTTCAGATGATGCTGATGAACCAGACCTAGTGTAGGTGCATCAGGACGATTGCCACTACCATGTCTTATCCATGTATTTGTGAAGAACTGATTTACTTCAGCAATTAGATCTTCTTTTGGACATTCGAGTAACTTTGCCAACCTTTTCGCCCCAAAGGAAAACGCACTGCGTATCCTAAAGAAATTGCCTGGACAAAAGAAGAAGCTCATCAACTCAACATAATATGTACTATGTTTTTTCTGCAGAAATAGAACTTCCGCTGGATACAGTCAAATGGCCCGTTACAGTTCAATACTTGACGCTGGATTGACCACAGCATCAAAATGACCACAAAGCCAACATATTGAAGAGTGTACATTTGACAAGAGATGCATCACAAGTTCATAACAATAAGGAATTTTTATACTCGCAAGATGAATCCCAGTAATCCAGCAAATGATGAGTTTCATGAGTTACTAGAAAAGTGCTCACTATCCAATCTGGAAGTATTTAATATAGAAAGAACTGTTTGTTGGCTTATTGTCAAACAGCTTATGTCAGCAAAACAGAACCTCCACAAAAGAAAGAGAAAACAAGTACAGTTATTACAAGGACCATGTATTTAAATAGCCATTAGCATGTTTGCGATATGAATTCTTAGGAAGTCAAAACATCTTTAACTTGTCAAAAATATAGATTAGCATTCATAGTATAGTAATATACAAAACCACCAGGACTGAACTCTGTTCGGTACATGTCACTTCAATAAGAGAAGCACTATGTAAGTTGATGCTCGATAGTTACCTTTACTTACACTCCTTCCAAGGTTATTGTTTGTCCGTAAAGGATCAATAACGTTGAAGTGCTTTGAAACAAATGGTTGTTGACCCTGGCTCTCCTGGATGCGAGGTGTAACTGCATATGCATAACTGCATTTATCAAGGAAGGACTTGCTCAGCAACAATTCAGCAGCATCCATCCGTGGTGGCTCCGCTGCACAAAATAACGTTGAAAAAAAATGTAAAATAACAATCGTATAAACAACTTTGATATAGAAGTCATAGTAAGCAGCATATAGATTACCAGTCATATCTGGAAGTGAACTTATAGGAACAGGACCCGACAAACTCAAACAAAATTTCTCCCAGTCAAAGTTGCTGAAGAATTCTAAGAAACGGTATAATACCTACAAACACATAAGTAGCAAATAAGAATTGTTTCTCGTGCTGGGATAGTAAAGTGCAAGAACCAGTAGTCACCTCCAGTGGTCCAGTAAAACAATTGTTGAACACATGAAAAATGTACAGAACCAGGGTCTCCAATGCATAGGTAGATATAAGACCATGGTGAGCTCCAAGAATACGACTCTCATAGAAACACCATGCCTTTATCAATATAATACTCCTCTTGAATAAATGATTCTGACTGATCAAGGCATCAACCTAATGTAGATCCATTGAAGCAAGTAAGGCAGAAAAATCAAATAATTTTTATTCCAAACACATGCAATAAGGATAACCAAACAGCAATATACATTCAGCTAGATTTGAACAAGAGAGCGCACCTCTTCAAGGAAACAAAGTGTACACAATCCACCAACTTGATTAAATGATATGTCAACAACAATGTTGTCCACAAGACACTTAATAATTTTTACCTGGACATGATTCACAAATAAATGAGAACAATACCAAAGAGATGACAACAGAGTGAGACAGTTGACACATTATAAACCATGAAAACAAAAATGAGTAAACAAAAGAATGTGTTTCCCTGTACTTAGTAGGATGCTAAAAGTATCTTTCATTAAACAATCCTCTTGAATGTCCACACCAGGCAGTAACAGGATTATAGGCTAGCAGGTCCTACAATAGTGGATCGCCTAAAATTTCATGGCATCTGAAAAAATAACAGTTTCAAGTTTCCACGCTATCTTCTTTTAGAAACAGAAGCACATGTAAAACTCCATCAGCAAAAAATGAAGAGTATAATATAGCCAGCACTTTAGATAGGTGTATTATATATTTTGCTTATTCTAATTTGCTTCATGTGGCAGAAAATGCAAAAAATAATCATTAGTAACTTTAACATCCATGTACCCAAAGGAACAACAATAATTCTGAGCTGCAAAAAAAATCAAGACTGCTACATGACGGATCAATAGCCATTTTCCAAAACTAAAAATTCAGAGGAAGGGTTCTACCTCCGCCTGTATATACTGAACTTCTTTTACACGAAATTCAGCATTTTCACTTTTCTCTTCATGCTCCAATGCATCCCGAACCAAGTTAGCCCAAGTATCCTTCAATTCTTCACTATCACTAAAAGCAGTGACATCAATGTCACCATCAGGTAAGTAAGTCTTCAGAGGGACCGATCCAAATGTGAAAACCTAGAGACACAAATAGATAACTTCTGTCAGGTGTATATAATCAATAAAAAAATCACACTTGAAATGATAAACTTAAGACCACGAAAGCTCCAAGGCGTGCAATACTCTTTTGGACTTAAGGAAGAAAGATGATGGAACAAGTTTCTTTCCATTTCTCAAGAAACAAGAAGCTATTTAAACGTTGCTATCGCCCGACACACCTACTAAAAATGGTCATTCAATCAGCCAATCAAGTCGCTCATCACATATGCATATGGGTTGACTACGACTTTGAATCTTGAAGATTTGCCGGTTTATCATATCATCACCTTCCTCTAAGGTCAATGTTGTAGTTCCACAAGCTTTTCGTTAACATGATAACTGCTACTCTGATGCATTCCATGTTGCAGGGAAATGGATGTTACTGTGAAAAACAGTTCAACAATAGACTATCGAATATCTCAAAATCATACTCCTCTCCCAAAATGCAGTTTAATCCTTGTCATCGTCTCCACTGGATGAGAACTCAAGGCGTGTAAACAAGTTTCAAAGAGTATAAACAGATGATCTGAAGCAAAAAGAAAAAAAAAAGCATATATCTCAAACAATGATGAAGATAAGATACCCCCCATGTGCTTGTATGCAAGTGCTATTGGAAGCAAGACCTTCCGACTTTTGAACAAAAAGCACAAAACGATCCAATAGGGCACTAACCAGTGTCCCTTGCTCAAATAGAACTTACTTAGAAATAGAAATCAATCTGCCTCTTATGCCAATATCATTAATCCGGTCGATTCCACTACAACCGAGTCAGGTGAACGGCTGTGCTCTACTCACTCGCTGCTCACGAAGCCACGCAGAGAAACCCTTCAATCTAATAATCCGTAACACCTCTCGGAACAATCAATCCAGCAGTCAAACACCATCGCTATACCTGGCACGAGAGGCAGTTCGTGATGAGGCGCCGCACGTAGTCGTAGACGGCGCGCCTCCGCCGCTCGGAGTCGGCGTTGGGCTGGATGCGCGCGATCAGCTCCGCGGTCCGCACCTCCGCGGCGGCCCACCGCTCGCCGTCGAGCCGCCTCGTGACCCCGGCCGACGCATTGGGCAGGAGCCCGTTGGGCACCATCCCCATAGCAAAAAAACAAAACAACCCGCCGCGGCCACGCCAACCAATGCTTCGCTCGCCGGGCCGGGAACCCAAAAACCCTACACCCCGGGAACGGCGGCGGCGGCGGACCTCACGGCACGGCCCCCGCACCCGCCGTCGGCTCCGCGCGGATCGAACCCCCACCCCCGGAACCGGTGGAAATCGCGTGGGGGGGCAACCTCCCGCCGATGAGCTTCGGATCGGCCTTGCCCTCCCCCGCGCCACCCGAAGCGTCCTGCTCTGCGGCGGCGGCGGCGGCGGCGGCGGTGAGGGGAGAGAGATGGGGATGGGGAGTGGTCGGCGTGGAGGAGAGGAGAGGAGAGGAGGGGAGGGGACGGGAGGGTTGAGGTGTGCAAAGCGAAATGGGCGGTGCGGTGCGGTGCGGGTCGGTGTTTGGTTCGGTTTTGGTTTGGGTTGGTTTGGACCGGGACCGCGACCGCGAGAGAGAGTGCAGCGCAGTGCGAAGAGGAGGAGGTCGATGCCTCGATCCCACGGTGGCCGCGGCGTCTGAAACACTTCAGACGTGGCGTGCTGGAGCGGCCGCGGTGTGGGGGAATGGGGATGCGATGCAGGCGTGCTCGACCAGCCACCGAGATATGCGGTCGCGGGCTTTTGCAGCGCGTGTGATTTGGAGCATTTGGATTTTCTCAGAAATTGCGATCGCATACAACTCGAATTGGTCGTAGCTTGGTTAGTTTCGGTATGCTAACGCAGTGGTAAATTCTTTGAGAGGGGTGTGTAGTTTACTAATACTACTACTTTAGTGAGAATTTTCTTCCTACCTTGGTTTACGGTTGATGACACTTTGGGATGTTTCTACGGTCATTCTAAGTGGTTTGATGCGGATTTTCATTTCATCTTGCAAAGACTGGGTGTGTTCGGCACCCACTTTTTTAAACCTCTCTCCCTCGTTTTTTATGTGCATGCTTTTTAAACTGTTAAACGGTGTGTTTTTTTGCAAAAAAAAATCTATAAGAAAGTTGCTTAAAAAATCAAATTAATCTATTTTTTTAAAAAAATAGCTAATACTTAATTAATCATGCACTAATGAACCGCTCCGTTTTCTGTGAGTATTGTTCCAAGTTACCAACTAGGAATAGCGAACACACCCTAAACCTCGGTTTAGCTATGAGGAGCTCACTTTTGAAGTTGATTGCTTTTGATGTAAGAGGAGAAAATGTTAAAGTGCACCCTTACTAAAATTTCTTGTTATCAACAATATTTATGTGTTTCCCACAAGTTTATCGAATATGGTTTAAAAGCTGAAAAATTGTGTGCCTCCTTTTAAGCCAGTATTACTTTTAGAATTGAGAAAGACGTAATAGCTCTTGTAAATTTTATGTGGGTTCTGCTACCCAAAATCCGTGTACTTAGATCTACTACTAACTCATGCAAATATATAAACAAAGAACATATCTGTAAACACAATACAACAGGAATATACTAAACGATCAACATATTTGTTATAATTTTGTTCTGGAGAATAGTAATTCAGATATCTAACCGGTGCTTTCGATTGAAGATCCTCACCATACCCCATCCTTCTTAGCATCATTGGCAAATCCCAATGAACCCTTTGATTGGGGCTTTGATCTTGGAATAACGAAATAATGATACAATTTTGGTGCCGATAGATCTAGGAGACAGATGTGACGGGCAATATAGAAGCATAGAAGCTGTAGTTATGAGAAGGGAATGAAGTGGATCTCAAAAAAGATCATTAGATACAAGAAATACGGCATGATAGCTTTCCACAAAAGTTGTAGAAGACAAGGCAAGTGATGTGACACTTCTTACTATTACTAGCATCAATGAAGGTAGCCCGACGGACCTAACCAACATCCACATCCGAAGAGAAGGTCTAGTATGGTATGCTTTAGGATGATATCAACGGCGGCGCTAGAGGAGGAGGGGGGAGGGGGAGGGGGAGGGGGAAGGGGAAGGGTTAGGGTTCCTGGGGTTTTAATGTAAATGGCATGGAACCTTTGGATGCTAATCACACGTCCCAAAATCCCAATGCTTTGTAAGGATACATATTGTGTAGATAATCCCAAGCAATAAATGCTCAATAATATATTCAAATGACTACAAATATCTTTTGGAAGGAATAAAATAATCCCATCGTTAACAAGCTAATTGATATAGCCCTGCCGAAGTCTGTAATGGTCGTACCTGGGCCTCAAATTTGGACCCAAAATCCAAATAAACACAAAATCAAATTAAATATTTATATCTATATATATTAAATCTAGAATAATATGATAGCAATAACAATAATAAGGTAATATTGTGTAATTAAAAAGAAGACAAAATAACAAAGCTCTACTCTGAGCTCAGGCTTGATTTTTTTTGTTAAAAAAAAGATTTTGAAAGTCCAGCCTACTTATTTTCAAACACCAAGGCTTGAGCTTGTCCTCGGGTCAGATTAGGTAAATCTTAGCCCCGTTTATTGGGATGTTTCCATGGTCATTCTAGGTGTTTGACGGTGAATTAGAAAATTCATTTAGGAAAGAAAACCTCAGTTTAGATATGAACACTGGTGGAGAAACCATCTTTGGTCGGTCGACCAAATTCGACAATAGTCCCGGTTCCATTTAAAACCGGGACTAAATACGATTTTTAGTCCCGGTTAAAAAAATTTTGATCACACCAACCGGGATTAAAGATGATTTTTGGTCCCGGTTCATCCCCTGTCAGAGGCATCTCAAGGGGCCGAGAATCTTTAGTCCCGGTTCATACTACCAACCGGGACTAAAGATTACCACTTTAGTCCGGGTTTAGTCCGGGAGTAAAGATCATTTAGATCTTTAGTCCTGGTTGGTAATAAATTAAACACGTAGTATATAATCCATAGTCCTTATCCTCTCCTCCACTCGCAACCACTACCTCACCCACAGATCGATCCTCCTCTCTTCTCTCCCTCCTCCCCTCTCCTATCTTACACAGATCCTCTCCTTCCTCCTTCCTTCCCCTCCCCTTCCTCCTCCCTCACCTGGAGATGGATCTTACACAGATCCTTCCCTTCCTCCTTCCTTCCCCTCCCTTTCCTCCTCCCTCACCTGGAGATGGAGGAGGCCGCGCCGCGCGGACGTGGTGGACGGACGGATGCGCGGCGTGCGGCGCAAACGTGCGTTGCAGGGGAAGCACATGCGCGCAATAGTAACGATAGCGGCAGCCGGCAGTAGTGGGATTGATATTTTGTGATTGATTTCTTGAGTAGTAGCACATCCGGCAGCTTGTTTTCTCTCTCTTTTTTTTGATATTTTGTGATTCACTGAGATGTATAATTTTGTGATTCATTATATTGATTTAAGATGTATAATCTGTGTTGTATTTGATTTGTGTGTAAATTTTTTAGGATTTGTGATGTATTATATTGGTGTGTATAAATGACTTTGAGATTTGTGATGTGGATTTAGGATGTTACTTTGATTTAGGGATTTGGGGTTTGATTTGGGATGTGCATGCCATCCGATTCGGGAGAAAATAAAAAAAGTAACAAAAAAAGGGGACCATCCGGGACTGTCCCTATCCTCTCTTTAGTCCCGGTTGGTAACACCAAACGGGACTAAAGATCCCTCTCTTTAGTCCGGGTTGGTATTACCAACCGGGACTAAAGATTGATCTTTACTCCCGGTTATTTCACCCGGGACTAAAGATAGCGATCTTTAGTCCCAGATTCGTAGTTCCGGTTGGAAAACCGGGACTAAGGGGGTTTATAAACCGGGAGTAAAGACAATTTCTCCACCAGTGGAATAACTTGTTTCTTACGATGAATGCTTTTGATGCTAGAGGAGAGAATGTTAAAGTGTACACTCAGTAAAATTTCTTGCTATTAGCAATATTTGAGTGTTTCCCATAAGTTTGTCCAACCATGATGTTGGTATACTTCCTATGGATAAACTGCTAGCACATGTTTTTAAAGGTGAAAAATAGTGGCACCCCCTTTTAAGCCGATATTACTTTTAGAGTTGAGGCATATGCAATAGTTCCTGTCAGCTTTGTGCGGCTTTTGCTATCAAAAACCCGTGTACTTAGATCTACTACTAACTCTTGCTAATTTATAAATAAAGAATAGATCTATAAATACAATACAGTTGGATTGTACTAAACAATATATAGACAACGAATTAGTCGTAGCTTGTTTAGCTTGGGTACGTTAATGCAGTGGTAAATCCTTTTACAGAGGGGTATGTACTTTAAAATTACTACATGCGGATTTTCTTCATACCATGGTTTACGGTTGATGCAACTTGGGATGTTTCCACAATCATTCTAGGTGTGGCTGATGGTGAAATTTCAATTCAACTCGAAAATACTAAGAGTCAGTTTAGTTATGAGGAGTTCACTTTAACTAATCCTAGAGGCAATGGGAGAAAGCGTTATAAGTGTACTCTTAATAAAGTTTTTTCCTATCAACAATATTTGTGTGTTTCCGATAAGTTTGCCCTACAATTATATAATACCTTATATGGAGACAAGTTGCTAGGACATAGTTTGAAAGGTGAAAAATGTTATACCCATTTTTAAGCCAATATTACTTTTAGTAAACTTTGGTGCAACTTTTGCTACCTAAAAAATTGTGTACTTAGAGCACCCGCAATGATAAAGTAAGGTGCTCTCTATAAAACATGTATATCTCAGCAATAGACTAGATTAATAGTAAACCACCTCAATAGTATGTCTACATGGGTATCTATAGCTCTCTCATGCATTACCTCGTTTTTCTCTATAGACTATCTCTAAGTTAGTAGATAGCTTTGCTCTCTCTCTCTTCATTTAATATCTTCCAAGTAGGAAAATAAGCTGACATGGATCTCTTATAGAGAGCCTATAGATAACCATTGCGGGTGCCCTTAGATCTACTACTAACTCTTGCCAGTATACTAAGAATAGATCTATAAATGCAATACAATTGAAATCTACTAAACAATCAACGCGTTTGTTCTAAATTTCGTTTGGAAAATAATAATTCAGGTCTATAACCTCTTTTTTCAACTGAAGATCCTCACCATACCCCATCCTTCTTAGCATCTACGCCAATTCCCAATGAACCTTTTGATTGGGACTTTCATCTTGGAATAACGAAATGATGAGGAAGGCTACAAAGCCGATCTAAAAAGGGACTACTGGATACGAGAGACGATACCGACATGATAGCTTCTCATGAAAGTTGTAGGAGACAACATGGCAAGTGACGTGATGCTTCTTACTATTACTAGCATCGACAGAGGTAGCTCAACTGGCCTAGCCAGCAATGATGGTTGGAGAGAAGGCCCGGATTGATATGCTTTAGGATAATATAAGCGGCGATGCTCGAGAGGGAGTGGGAGGGAGAGGTTAGAAGTTAGGGTTCATAGGTTTTTATTCTAAAGTGGGAATGACTTGGAACCGTTGGATGCTAACCATGCGGTTCGAAAATCCGAATGATTTTGCAAGGATACGTGTCGTGCAGATAGGCCCTAGAAATAAATGCTCAATAATATATTTAAAACAACTAAAGAGTATATTTGAGAAGGAATACAAATCCTACCATTTACAAGCCTATTCATCTGAAGCTCTATCGGAGCCTGTACCGGTTGTACTTGGTCCTCAAATTTTGACCCAAAACCCAAACAAAGACAAAAACAAATTAAATATTGATATTGATATGTTTTTAATTTGCAATAATATAATAGCAATAATTGTAAGGAGACAATATCATGTAATTAAAAAGAAGGCAAAATGCTTATTTTTTCTAGCTGTAATCCAAGCTCATGCATGATTTTATTTAGGCATTAATTCCAAACACTGACTTACTTCTTTTGCAACACCACCAAGGTTTAAGCTTGTTGTCGGAAAGGATTAGGCCAATCTTATCGACTTAGGCCGAGTTTGAATTAGCTATAGTGCTGTAGCCATTAACGGCTCAGAACAAATAAAAGGTTCTTCAACGCATTAATTAATCGAGTATTAATTACTTACAAACTTTAAATACATATGCTTAATTTTTTAAACAATCTTTATATAGATTTTTCTTTTTACAAAACGTATCGTTTAGTGGGAAGTGTGCTAATGGAGAATGGTTGATTTGTCCAAACGAACATGCCCTCAGCCCAGTTTTTTTCAACGCAAGGATGAGCGATCGGCTCAGTGATAATCAAGAAACGGGTAACCTCAACAATACGGTGAATAAATGTGAGCTACATAAACTCGATCTATTGTGAGTGTGTTTAGTTGTTAAAATTGAAAGTTTGGTTGAAATTAGAACGATGTGACGGAAAAGTTGGAAGTTCGTGTGTTTAGGAAAGTTGTGATGTGATGGAAAAGCTGAAAGTTTAAAAAAAAACTTTGAAATTAAACTTGGACTGTGTCAACAATATTTGGCTGCAAAGCGTGCTATACATTGTCACGGAATAGTACTAGTAGCGTTATACGGCAATCAGGTCGCGTATCAGTATCTGATACGCCGACGGATACGAATACGTATCGGATACGCTCCGATACGTATCCCGTACGTATCCAGCGACTCATCGATTTTCAGATAAATAAAACAATTATGGATACGTCGTTGATACGTCGAACACCCAACCCAGCCATCCAACTACTACTTGGCCGCCTCACACGCTCCCACTCTTCCCATGCCGCCGCCGTCGCCGTGATACGTGGGAGCGGCACCACGCCCATCCGCATCACGCCGCGCCTCCTACACCGCGTCCGGGCGCATCAGCTTCGCCTCGACCGGGCGCGCCGCAGCCGAGGGCAGCACCTCCGCTGCCCATGGGCTCCGGGTCTAGGTCTGCCGGCCGCCGGCCGTCCACACAGGCCACAGCAGCTCCGTGTCCAACACTACAGCAGCGCCTCTGCCACCAGCCAACAGGCGCAGCAGCATCAACCCATAGCCACCGAACAATTTTCTCTTCATTCTCTTGTGAGTAAATCCCCTTTTCAGGCCTTCGATGTTTAATCTGCATTTTATGGTCTGGTTAGTGAGTTGGTGATGCTACTTGTGCAATACTGCAGTTTACACTTAAATTGATAATATAAGCATGATGTATCAGTTCACTATTCTTTCTGCTATATACATGTATGATTTTACCATGTATTATTGTCAGTCGGCAAGATTAATTGTTTTGCTAACTTGAACTATCTAGAAGTGAGATTCAGAGGAATTAGATTGACATATAGGCTGCACCAAAACTACATTATTGTTGTTCCCTTAAAAAATATTTCATTTTCTGTATTTTTAATTTACACATATATATATAAGCGTATTCCCGTATCCTTGTTTTTGAGAAAATGGTGTATCCCGTATCACGTATCCCTATCCGCATCCCCGGGTAACATAGCTAGTAGCATTTTGCTATAGTAAATATATAGTACCAGCAGAGGAACCGTTTGCATCGGCGGGAGTGCCAAGTTTTGTCCGTACCTCGCACCCCGAGAGCGTGCAGCGCTCCACGTTCTGCTGCTAACGCACGTGTGGACGAGAAGCAAACACCCAAACACCCAACTACCACCGCGCACACAGCACAGCATGCCGGCGTGGCCCGCCGCCGCCGTCGCCAAGGCCGTCCCGTCCCCGTCCACGCCGCCGCCGCCGCACTCGCGCGGAGCAGGCCGCCGTCGCCTCCGCCCGTGCGGCGCAAAGAAGGGCCCCGGGACCGACGAGCGAGGCGCCACCGCCGGCGGCGGCGGCGTGGTCACCAGGGGCGCCCTCCTGCGGTCCGGCGCCGCTCTCTTCGCGCTCGGCTTCGTCGACGCCGGGTGAGTCGCACGCACGCGCGCGCGCGCTGATGACGGATTTCCATTGCGTTTTGCACCGGTGGTCGATCTGGTCGGTCTCACCCGTTTCGGGGCGGCTTTGCTGCAGGTACAGCGGCGACTGGTCACGCATCGGCGCCATCTCCAAGGACACCGAGGAGGCGCTCAAGCTGGCCGCCTACGCCGTCGTGCCTCTCTGCCTCGCCGTCGTGTTCTCGCCATCGTCGGAAGACGGCAGTAACAACACCTGAATCCTAGGAAGAAGAGCCATGCTGCAGATCATGTAGTCGTCGTGATACCATCATGCTTACGTGTTGTATACTTCGATCGTGATCGCAACGGGCATTTCTTTTGCCTAAGGGGTGTGTTATCAGCAGTGAAAAGCTTTGGCGTGTCACATCGGATATACGGACATAAATTTAAAGTATTAAAATGTAGTTTGATAGCAAAACTTCCGTCTATAAATTACGAGACGAATTTATTATTTAATTAATCCATCATTAGCAAATATTTACTGTACCACCACATTGTCAAATCATAGAGCAATTAGGCTTAAAAGATTCGTCTCGTAATTTACACACAATCTGTGTAATTAGTTATTTACATTTAATGTGACTGAGTGAAAAATTTTTGCATGGGACTAAACAGGGCCTAAGTTGATGCGTGTAAACGAGGAAGTCAGAATTGGGTTGCTTCATTGGTAGTACGCGTTTGCATCCGTGTTGAGGGGAAACTATTTTAATCCATCGAGGGGATATCACCTCGTTTTTTTCATGTCACTCAAATGGTTATAAGAAAAATTAAAAAAAATGAGAATGTGTATTAAGATGTGATATAACACTCCACAAACATGCAATTTCAAATTCAACTTCTACATCTCGTAACGAAAAAAAACAAATTAAACCGCAACTAGTTAATGTATATTCGGAGTCAAATTTGTTTTTTTCGTTGCGAGATGTAGGAGTTGAATTTTTTACTTGCATGTTTGTGGTGTGATATATCACATGTTAATACATCTTTTCTAATTTTTTAATAGCTATTTAAGTGACATGTAAAGAACGATGGAATATCTCCTCGAGAGATCAAAATCCTCTTGCCTTGTTCAGGCAGAAAACGTATACTGCAAATCGCAATCGCTGAATGCCCAAAATCTCACATGGTGACTCCGATCGATATGAGTATCTTATGGTTATGGGCAATGGGAATTAAGCAGACCGTTTGCTGTTGCTCTCGTCTCTGTTCCAGGAATAAGACGAGGCCATTCTATCGCGCAAATCTTTTACACCTCGCTGTCGGTGCGGCGATCTCTCTGTATACTATACGTTAGATACTCTCTTCGTCCTAAAATATAATAATCTTGTACTAGATATGACATATCATAGTACAACAAATTTGAATATATCACTGTTCAGATTCGTTATACTAGGATGTGTCTTATCCAGTACGATGTTGCTTTATTTTAAGACGGAGGGAGTACATATCCTTGTCGGCGAACCAATGCATTTCCATAGCCCATACTACTCTCATCCACGGTACCTCAAGATGATGCAATCAGCCGTCGAGTAAAATCAACGGCAGGTCGTTAAGCCTTACGTTATTTTTGCCCGACGTTTTTGTCAAGGGAGAAGGGGAAATGATATGATGCAACGTCCGTTTTATATTTTGTGGATGCAAAGTTCAATTTCAAGTTGGATGAAGTGTTGTTGTAACAAACACTTACATGGCACATCACTCCAGCTTTACCAGCATCATTTTTTTTCTAGATTATATCAAGTGCGCCACTAATAAAAAGGTCTTGTTAAAATTTGATTAGAGGAGATGATCAATTCCTTCTAGATACGCAGATGGCTCCATCCGAGCCGTCCAGGCGAGCGAACGGTCCAGATTTTACCACAGGTTGGGGGGTTCACACACGAGAAATCGAAGGAGAACCAGGTGGTCTTCTTCCTCTCGACGACCTCTTCTTCCCTTTCCTCTCCTCCGCCGCCGCTCCCCCGACTCCGGCGAGCCCCCTTCCCCCCACCCATCGGCGCGGAGGACGTTGCCGGGATGAGCGTCTCCCCTTCAACCGGACGCGATCTCCCGGGGCGCTCCCGTATGCCCTTGCGCTGCTAGAGATCCGGGCTCTTCTCGGTAAGCCGCTACTCCCTAATCCTCGAGTGGAACTGCCTGATTCGCGTCCGATTCCTTCCCGCGGGCTTACGCTGGTCGGGAATTTCATGTTGCTAGTCTGCGTGAGGCGCTTGCTCGTTGTTGGTGAGGTTGAAGAGTTGGTGTCTTTCTTGGATATGGAACTAGGAGTCTACAGTCTAGGACACATCGCCGATTTGAGTTTCTATGGATATATTGATGTTCATATTTCTGCTGTGGAAATAATTTACAACATCCTCGACCATCGCTAACTTACAATTTCCATACGGTTTGTAATTTGGATGTTGCGGGTGATCTTGTTGTCACTTGTCACTGGGTGCGGCTCAAGAGAGCGGCTGCGCTGTTGTTGTGCACTGGTTAGGGAGGGACACATGACCGGACATTGATTAGTTCAGGACAACTCAATGTTTCAGACTTGAAGCAGAGGCAGCAGATGTGGTTCTGGTGGCCACCAATAGAGCAGATAGTATTGTCAGTATATGCTGTAATCCCATGGAACTTTTGTGATCAAATAGGTTGGGATCTTGATCAGGGCCATTTCCTAATGCACCTGCAGGCCTGTTAAGAGCTTATGATTTTTAATCATGTCCGCTGAAATTCTCCGAAGTTGTGGTGTGGTATCTAAAGTTCTAGACACTGTTTAAGCTGTGTATTTAGCTGGGGGATTGGGTTAGGCTCATTAATCTGGGTGAAACCCATTCGTCTAGAAGCTGTCTGTAAACTGTAACCAAATTTGTTTGAGGAGGCATGCATTTATCGATCTCAGACTCCACCAATTAGGCTCTGGATACTAAAATGATGATGAACAAGTAATAGGAGAAGGCAAACGGTTTTGTCTCCAAGTTGACTGTCAGTTGGGTATCGTTTCATAGCTTAAAATTTTGAGCCTGCATGAACTTTTGCATTGTCTATTTGATTCTTCAATTTATTGTGCACTTGTGCAGTAAAGCCCATGTGATCTGTACTTGATGGTTTCTAACAACATATCCATGACATCTTCTTCATTTCCTTACATGCTAGTACATTTGTATTTGCTTAGATATTGTTACATTTTTTTCAGATCATTCTGTGTTTCCCCATTTTCGCAATCACTACTGCACTATGAAACTGTATTACTGGACTACCCACAAAACTATACAATATGAAATAATTCTATGATTTGGTGACTGGAAATGCGTCTTCTACCGAACATGTTTAGAATTTTTTTGGGGCTTTTATATCTGTTAAGTTAGATGATGCTACTTTATCTACTGCTATTTCTTTTGCTTTATGAGAGCATTTTGCACTTGGATTTCTTTTTATCAACATAAATAGGAGTAGTGGCTAGACTTAGTGGAGCAACATATATGTTATGATTTGTCTTCTGTAAAGCAGGATCTCAGGAGTACAAGATATAGTGTACCAGCTCTCTCTCATTCAACATGTGGAGTTTTGCGTCAAACGCCATAGCTGGAAGCATAAGGAAAAAAGCACAGCCCTCAAAATGCAGTCAATCCAATCCTGATTGCTCTGATGATGATGTTTCTTCATGTGCAAGTAGAGAGGAAGGCCTTGAATGTCCAATATGTTGGGAATCCTTCAACCTTGTTGAGAATGTTCCCTATGTCTTGTGGTGCGGTCATACAATGTGCAAGAATTGCATCTTGGGTCTTCAATGGGCTGTCGTCAAGTTCCCAACCCTTCCTATACAACTGCCTCTCTTCATCTCATGTCCATGGTGTAACCTGTTATCTTTCCGGCTAGTTTACAAGGGAAACCTCAAGTTCCCACGCAAGAACTATTTTCTGCTATGGATGGTTGAGAGCATGAATGGCGAGAGAGCAAAGTTCCATTCCCCTAGTCATGAAGAGCGCCATTCTTTATGCCCTTCTGGTGGTGGCCCAAGTTCCAGTCAACACCATCGAAGACCTGCTCCACGAACAGAAAGCGCCAGTGGCAGAGAAAGGAGTGTTGCTGGCAACGTTTTCAATACTTACAGCATCAGTGCATCTCTCCAAAAGATAATGTTGTCTTTTGTTCAGATGACAGCCAAGTTTCCACTCGTGATAATTTTCCTTCTGATAGTTCTATATGCTGTCCCTGCAAGCGTAGCAGTTCTAGTATTGTATGTCCTTGTTACAGTTTTGTTTGCACTGCCGTCCTTTTTGATCCTCTACTTTGCTTATCCCAGTTTGGATTGGCTCGTTAGAGAGATCTTCAATTGAGTTATATTGTACTCCATGTCATTACAGTTTATAACTCAGCAGCAGAAAATTTAGCATTTGCAATCTCATGTGCTCTGGGGGAGGATGTCAAGTGTGATTTCTTATCCATTCGATTGAGGCCTTCAGGGACAGTAGTTGTAAGATGGAACTCTAATTATTGCATTGATATACATGAATCACTCAGGTTTTACTGTAATTCTGTCTTTCCGACCCTACCTTTTTACGATGTATATATGTTATGCTACTCTTGCGAAAATCAAAAGTAAGCACTACTGTGACATCTCAATGTCTGATTTTTTGCTCTAGTGTTTTTATTATCTTTCTGGTGCATATGGTTTATATACTTTATAGACCATCATGACGTTGTATATTATTATCAGCTGCCAATGTTGTACTGGAGTAGTAAATACTCCCTCTAGCCCATAACATGTTCATTTTTAGCTTTTCCCATTTTTCCCAAAATAAGTTTGTGAAAGTAAGGTATGTACTCTCTCCATCCCAAAAAAAGACAAACCCTGGGTTTCTGTGTTCAACTTTGACTGTCCGTCTTATATGAATTTTTTTTTATAATTCGTATTTTCATTGTTGTTCGATGATAAAATATGATTAATATTTTATGCGTGACTTGTTTTTTTTTTATTTTTTTTCATAATTTTTTCAAATAAGACGGACGGTCAAACGTTGAACACGGAAATTAGGGTTTATCTTTTTTTTTGGGACGGAGGGAGTATTGAGAGTAGATAAAGAGGATTTAATAAAGTGGTATTATAATATTGTAGGTGTTCTATTTGTATGTATGGGATGCATGAAAAATAAACTTAATAAACTTATTTTGGGACGGAGAGCTAATAACAAGTCAAACGTAAGGTTTTATACTACATTAGGTAACGTTGTTTTGAGTTGTTCCATGGTCTGGATTAAGTCTAAAATGAATTATATGAGAGTTAAAAATGTGCTTTGGATTCAAACACGATCTTCAACGCAAATTTCAAGTCAGACACCGCGCGCGCTCGATGTTCAGATAGACGATCAGATCCCAAACGCGCACCATTCGAACTCGTCCGATTTCTTGCGCGCGGTGAAGGCGCGCGCGCGGCGATCCGTGGCCTCCAGCGACCCGTCCCTGTCGTACCGGAGCCGGAACGTGGTCGCGTACAGCAGGCACCGCTCGTGGAGCTCCTCCTCGCTCACGCCCCTCCGCGACCTCCACTCCACCACGCAGAACTCGCCGCCGCCCATGCGCGCCAGCGCCACGCTCAAGAACCTCGACCTGGCGCGCCACGCCGGGTGGCTCCTCACGGCGAGCTTCCACGCCGGCGGTGGCTGCTCGCCGCCGCCGCCGCCGCGGGGATCCACCACGTCGCAGGAGCAGACGCGCCCGCGGCGGCCCGAGTGGCCGCTCCAGAGCCCCACCCACGCGTCCAGCTCGCCGTCGTAGTAGGCCTGCCCGTCGAACGGCAGCATCCACTCGCCGTGGCGCGTCCACCCGCGCGTCCCGGCGTCGAACGAGTAGGTGCCATCGCCGTGGGCGGAGAAGAAGACGGTGCGGCCGTCCGGGTGCGCCGCGTGGCATCGGGCCCGCTCGACGTCGAACGGCGGCGGCGGCGCGCGGTCGTCGACGCTGCTGCTCCAGGCCCAGCTGCCCTCGCCGTCGGCCGCGAGCTCCTCCAAGTACTTCCGCGACTCTCCCCTAGCGTCCATCTTGATCTTGCTCCTGCCCATGGCGTACACCTTGTCGCCGGCGGGGAAGATCATGGGCTGGTTACACAGCTCGGCCGGGACGCCGGGGCAGACGGCGAGGCCACCGGTCACCGTGTCGAACATGAGCACGGGAGCGCGCGCGTTCGTGTCCTCGCTGTAGTGAGTGGCAAAGATTCTGCTTCCCACCGCCACGAAGATCCCGAAACGGCCGTAGTCGGCGGTCTCCAGCCGGAACACCGGCGGCTCGGGGAGGCGCACGGCCTCGTCGTCCAGGTCGGCGTCGGGGTCGCCGTCGAACCCGTCGACGTCCACCTTGTAGACGCTGTACCCCTTGGACCAGTCGTCCAGCACGACGTAGAGATGCCGCCGTCGCCGGCGGCGGCGGTGGCGCGAGTGTGGCCGCCTGGACTCGAGCTCGCCGCCGTCGTCATCGGATCTGTGCCGCTTCGACATTGAACCGGCGGCCGGCGTTCGCGCACTCCACTGCTGTGTCCGTGCCTAACGCTGATAAATTCCGGCCAAATTTATCGTGGTGAGGACGTCGCTCCGAAAGAACAGGAGTAGATAGATCGGCATGTCTCCTGAATTGAATCGGATTCGAATTTCGAAGTAGAACTAGAGAGGTGTGATCAAAGGTTTGTTTCCGAATTGGACTCGCGCATCAACCAGCCGCCGACTACCGAATGCTTTCATGTGTTTTCTGTTGTGAGTTGTCTAACACTGAAAAAAAAACTTTTGATATGTTTCAAATCCAAACATTCAATTTGAAATTTAAACTTAATCCAACCACAACCTATTATTTTCTTCTCACCAAAGATGCATACGCACCACCGCACACGTACACGGCATTCATATACCGGCGAATGTGTTCACTAGCACACGTTTAAAAAAACGAAAATTTTTGGAATACAGCACTACGTACAGCCTACGTGTGGTTCTCTTCAGACGATAATGCAGCCGTCTGGGTTCACCACCCAACTGGAAGCCAGCTCTGGCCTTCAATTCTCCGGCCTAAACCGAGCAGATCTCACCATTTCAGTTAGGTCGAAATGGAAATTCACTGCGGGCTCCGTACAGCCCACCAGAACTGGGCCGGATCTGGACAGCGGCCTCCATGCGGTCCGTATAAGTTGGACTGCCTCACGCCGTCGGCCGCTGCAGAAGAATACTAAGGCTGTGTTCGGATAGCGGGATGGGAACCCAATCTCCCCGCACGGAAAACGGAACGGTCCATTAGCGCGTGATTAATTAAGAATCGGCTAATTTCTTTTTAAAAAATGGATTAATTTGAATTTTTTAAGCAACTTTTGTATAGAAACTTTTTACAAAAAATACACCGTTTAGCAGTTTGAAAAGCGTGCGCGCGGAAAACGAGGGAGAGGGGTTGGGAACTTGGAGTTCCAAACACAGCCTAAGTGAGAATATGGAGAACTTAGAAAACCCTAATTCATTTTTATAATTTTACAACTACAAATTCTTAAAATTTACGTGAAAAAAATATGTACAAGAGTTTATAGCAACTGAAGATTTTAGGAGAAACCACGGCAGACAGAAGCTCCACAACCAGGTATTAAGCATATCTCGCCAGCTTCAGCGTCTCATGGAGGAAAGAAAGCACTAAAACTTCGATCCCGATCTCTAGAAATCCAACGATCTTATATCAATCCCCTACCCCATCTACTACGGGGTTTGGTCGCATTGTTTGCACCGATGATTGCCATGAATCACAAGCATCAATCAATAACCCATCACCCAACAACCACACTGGAGCAACGTCACAGCTACTCTCTCCGTTCCAAAAAAAAAAACTTAACCTAGACAACGATTAGACACTACATAGTATAACGAATCTGAACATGAGTATATCCAGATTCATTGTACTATGTAGCGTCCCATCATTGTTTAGGTTGGGTTTTTTTTTTTTAAGGAAGGGAGTAGTCAGCTTCTCCTACTTCCCTTACCTGCATGCTTTCAATCATCGTGGCCTGCATTGTCCCAGAAAAAGCGAGAATTTGATGCACACTGCCGCGTGGCCGATCGATCGACCACTGATCGATCATTCGATCGATCGATGGGCCTGTTCGTTGTCAGAGAGGGGCCTGTTCATTGTCAGAGAGACCAGAAGGGTCTATCTGCTTGCAGCTTGCTGCCATGGCTGGATCATTGAATTGCCTAGCTGTTCATACTTCCATCCAGAACCTGAACCGGCATGCATGGTCCAACCAACCGTCCAGTCCTCCTATTGATATGTGCACGATCTGTCTCAACATCCTTTTTCTTTTCGTCGATCAGTACTGAAATTACTGATCGATGAAACAAATTACAGATTTATTTTACATTGTTACACTCCACATATTCAGAGTATTCTAGCTAACCAGTGTTCAGTACCACTCAGCAGTCCGCAAGTTACTGGACTGAACTTTCTGCTGCTTGGATTTGTGGCAGAGTGCGAATGAGTAGACTGATGATGATAGTATGATCTATCATTAGATCTTTCTCTGCACAGCAACAAAATCTGCATGCCAACGCAAAGCGACTCAGGGACCCAAGATCAAGCCTTTTGTTTCTGGATTAAGGCCTTTTCAGGTCTTCTTTTGTGCTGTCAGACATTTAGACGCGTAGTATTACTGAAGAGCAATGATTCATCACCAACTAATAATTAAAGAAAAAATAAATGAAGCGGAGGAACAAAAGGGGAGGAATTGCATCGGTCTCCAGGACCCCACGATCGAATGGTTGATCAACCGAACTAATTCTCGAGACCCGTTCTTCCCTTCTTTTTCTTTCTTGCTTGCTCTTTAAGTAAGTTTATGCTTTCTTTCTTTGATTCTTTGACGTGGTACTTTTGCCGGAGCCGGACTAATCATTTCGCGTCCTGGTGATTGAGTAATCGTAATCAAACTAGTATTAATATGCTAATTTAATCCAAGCCAACTAACCATGTGCGCACAATTTTGTTGTGATTAATTCACTGGCTGCTGCTTTCGGCACATCAACCTTTCCTCCTGTTTCTAAAAAAAAAAACTTTTCATCCTCACTGTTTTTTTCCCGTCGTCCCGTTATCTTTTTCAGTATTTTTCTCCTTGTTTGGTCCCAGATAGTATGTTTAATCCAATGTAGGAGTCTCTACTAGCTTGTAATTTTGCAATGTATGAGAAAAAAAATTGAGCAACTCTCAATACTGTAATTTTTACAAGACTTACGCAGTACTCCATTCACCTTGTTGCTGCTTGTTTCATTTGTTGCGACTAGCTAAATGCACATGCTTTGATACGTATAAAAGAAAATATAATATAATATAAATAAAACATATTTTTTATATACTGTATTACCTGTCTTTCTACTATAGGGAATATTCACCCTACTTCAATTTTATATACGAGTCATATGACTATCCATTTATATTTGATTGCTTTTAATATTAAGAATTTCACCAAGGCTATTTGCAAAATTTGTTAAAAAAAAGTGAGATGACAACATGACATATTCATTGTCACCGCCACTATGTTCATTCGAAGGAATATACTCCCTCCGTCCCTAAATATTTGACGCTGTTGACTTTTTTAAATATGTTTGACCGTTCGTCTTATTCAAAAAAACTTAACTAATTATTAAAATTTTCCCTATAATTTGATTCGCCGTTAAATATACTTTTATGTATACATATAATTTTACATATTTCACAAAAATTTTTAAATAAGACGAATGGTTAAATAGGCTGGGAGTATATCACTTGCTCTCACTGGTAGGAACGCGCCGTTGAACTGGCATTCCCTGGCATCTTTTTACACCTGCACGAAGTCAGTCACAAAGCTTTTTGAACCGTGCAAAAGAAAAAAAAAACGAAAGAAAAGAAACAAGAAAAAAAAGTACAGAAAACCTACACCACGGCATCCTGCCGTGGAGACGGGATCCCCTCCTCCTACCTCACTCCTCTCCCCAAAATCATTCGAATCCTCTCCTCCTACCTTACTCTCCTCTCCCAAATCACACGACACTGCAGCCCTCCCCATCGCCGTCGCCCACTGCTCACCGGAGCCAGCGGCCGCCGCCGTGAGGGAGGCCGCGACGGCGAGGAGCTCGGCGGCGAGCGAGAGGGAGAGCGGGAGCGGGGTGCGGTGGAGCCGGAACGGGGTGCGGTTGCGGCGACATCCTCCATGGCCGGCAGCAAGCAGATCTACTACAGCGTCGGTGATGAAGACCTCCATGGCCGGCAGCAGGGGTGCGCCGAGCACGTCGTCGTCCACAGCCGGCTGAGGAGGCTGGGGAGGCATGGTACTAGGCACCAGATCTGTCGCCTCCTCTTCCTCCGCCGCCGTGCCGCCTCGCTGCTCGACCTCCTCGGCCCCACGACTCCTTCTCCTCCTCCTCTCTCTTAGGGTATCACGCTGATACCCAGGTACCAAGGTCTGATACCTAGATACCAGCTCGATACCCAGGGTACCAGGTATCAGTCGATACCAGGGTACCAGGACCTCCCGACCCCGCGACTCCTCCTCCTCCTCCTCCTCTCCTCCTCCTCCTCCTCCTCCTCCTCCTCCTCTCTCTTGGGGTATCACGCTGATACCTAGGTACCAGCTCGATACCCAGGGTACCAGGTGCCAGCCGATACCAGTGTACCAGGTACCACCTCGGTACCTTACCCAAGGTACCAGGAGGATTTGGCGGTGAGGTAGCTGCTACTCTGGGTGCTCAGGGGTGACGACGCCGGCGAGGTATCGCGTGTGAGGTAGCTGCTACTCTGGGTGCTCAGGGGCGACGATGCCGGCGAGGTATCACCCGAGCGCGCGATACCGAGGAGAATTTTTGGGCGGTGAGGTAGCTGCTACTTCGGCGATGACGCCGGCGAGGTAAGGTAGCCACTGCTCCGGCGACGATACCGAGCAAACAATGGCTAGGTATCGAGACAAATCACGTGTTCTGTGGGGTGTTCCTTTATGCTGTCGTTGTTTTTTTAATTATCCCGTGAGTGTACTATTTCCACGGTATCCCATGGGGTAGCAACCCTCAAAAAAGTAGGGCAAAACTAACCATTCTACCGTGGTCTCCGAGAAAGCGGCAGAGAAGAGAAGCACAAACGGCGTCACGGGATGGCGCGCAACATATGACGGCGAAACACTGCAGCGGACGCTAACGGCCGCGCCGCTCCCGTCGGTTTCGTCTGCGCGTATTTCTCGATTTCTTTCTCTAGTTGCGGCGCGCACGACTTCCCTTTCTTTCCCTCCTCGAGAGAGGAGAGAAAAAGGGTGGCAGAGGCAGGGCAACCCGCGTACCAGCCAAGCCAACCCAGCCCAGCTGCGTCGTCACCATCTCCTCCTCCTCATCCTCCTCCGGCTCGTCCGCCGCCGCCGCCAATCCGTTGTTCCGAGAGGTACGATCTTGGCGGGAGGATTTTGGTGCAAGTTTGTTTTGCTTTGGTTGATTTTGGTTCGCGTTAGTTGTTTGGGATTTGGATGCTACGAGGGTTTTCGTCTGGATCCCGCGATGTGGTTTTTGGGCTATTGGGGATTGATTGTGTTCAGGGAAATCTGGCCGCGGCCGGGGATCAATTTGGTCGATGCGTTTTCTTTTTTCTTTCTTTTTTTTAAAGAAAAACGAGGACAGAATTTTGATGCGAAAAAGGTGTATTTCTCATGTCAAATTGTTGACTTGTACGGTTTATCGACCTGATCATTACCATTTTATTAAGTTATTCTTGTTATCCATCGATTGCACTGGCAATCTTCAGAACATTATTGGCATTCTAAATTTCGCTTCCAGTGAGTACCTTTGCTCAGATTAGTAGTGTGTTGAGTGTCAAGAGTAAACATATGCCGATGAAAAGATGCCATCTTTTAGTTTAATGTCTTCATCACTAGGTGTTCTTTTGTTTCCGTGGGGGGTTTTGATTGGCATATTGTGCTTTTACTCATCCAATCCTTGGTCTTTCTAGCTGGAACGAATAATGGTGTATGGTGTGATCTAGAACAGCTTGGCTAGTAAAAGGTTGCTTGTGTTAATGACCAGCTAGTTTGGTTTTTTTTTTCCCAGAGGAATGGGATCTCAAAAGGTGTCTCTGCCCAATTAATCTTTTAAAACTTTTCTGTTTGACAAATACTCCAGTTGAATGGTCAATTGGTCAAACTACTTTTTTGTTCCAGAGTAGTTCATGATTCATCCAGAAATTGTTCATGTCTCCTTGACCTCTTTCCTGTCAAATTTTAGGCGAATTCTTTATATTGAAAACTGCTAAACACTCTCCGATAAGTGCTGCCTGAGAAGCATAAAGTTGGAGGATATTTGCTTTCAGGAGGTATGATGCAGATGTATTTTGTGTGTTTTTTCTCAGTTTGTGTTTCTGATTCTACCTTTGCAGCTTGCTTTCAAGCACTTCAACTTTGTGGACAGTAGTAATTACGCAACTAAGAAAAACTAATTTTGATTTGAACTGCTGAGATGTGATGTGAATTTTTTCTGTATTTACTATTCAATTACTCAATGAACCAATACCAACCTATTGATTTGGAGTGGAGTTGTCCTATAGTTTTTTTTTATGGAAATTCTATTATAGCGTACTTGTTATTCCAAGATCACAGCTGTTGCCATGGAGAGAAATACCATAGAAATGGAATCTGTGTGGCTACGTCCAATTTTTTTCTTCACCAATATATAGTTGAGGCATCCTGTACAATCACATTTAACTTACCAATGAACTGTCCTACATCCCCCTGTAGCTTTTTGTTCTTTATAGAATACACAATGAAACTCCCTAAACATGATTCAATCACACACTAATGAAAAATACATTGTTCTTTGAAACACTTCTTTCACAATTTGTTCATTGCTTTTGATGATGGGGATTGATACTACAAAAATACACTGCCACTTCTATAAAAAAATGAACCCACTGAAAAGTTTTTCATTTAGTTCATACTTTTGTGTACTAAGCCACATCAATGAAGTGAGGTGATAGGAACTTGCAAGAAACTGGGATACTAGAGTGGCATACTAGCCAGCGTACAAAGCCATGGAAACCATCTAACACTTAGCTATGTCAGTAAATGTACTGGATCTTTGCTACAGATAAATTGTTTTGCCCCCTAAATCAGCGCCACCATCTCATTTTGCCTATGGTTTTTGATACAAATCTGTTTTGCGATGTGCGACTGTGATGATAAGAACATGTTTCTGCATGCCAATTTTTTGGTTGACTATAAGCTATTAGCATCAACTTGCATGCATGCTGCTCAGATGAACTTGGAACTAGTACAATTTTTGTTGCCAATTATTTTCTTAGAATTTTCAGGTTCTATTTGATTTATGTTGAATCATGAGAGGCTGTACAAGTTGTCTAATTAACATATAATCTTCCCTGCAGCAATTCAAAGGAAGATAGCCAGCATTGAATAGAATTGTCTCGGTTTCTCAAAGTCCTCAATGTCCAAAGTATTGGAAAGAAGAAATTCATTTGGTGGTAGCACTCCTACGAGTTCAGCTTCAGGTTCAAGAAAGGATGAGAAAACGACACCCCATTACCTAAGAGCTTCTACAGGTTCTTGCCATAATTTATGCAAATATGGACACAAAAATCCTTTTGAGGAAGAGAAGAAGCTTTCAACTTCAGGAGGCAGAAGAAAGAAACTTCCTAGTCATTTAAATAATTTGACGTTGCACAGATCAGCTATCTTGGATAGATCAAAGGATGTCAGGCAGAGAAATCTTTCTCTAGCCAAGTCGAGTATATCTCTGGGTGAATCTGACCGCATTGCTCCCAAGAAAACACAAGCAAATTTGAAAGGATCCTCTGATCATTTGATTACACGCACTTCTTCATCAGCTGATCATAAAAACGTGAACCTTGATGGAAGAAAGAAGCATCTAACAGTTGCACAGAAGACTTCAGCTGATTCAGGATCTTCCAATGGAGTTCCTAAATTTGACAAAAAATCAGCAATGCCAGTTAAGGGAACCATAGTGCCTGCCAAGTTGAAGCTGGCAGAGATGCCACAACTGGAGGAATCTAGAACTATGGAAAAGGTCACAACGGTCAAGCAATCATCAATTAAGAGACCGACTTCATTGCCTACTAAGCTTAACTTGATTAAGCAAGTGCCCGTGCCATCTCAGGTTTCTAGTCATCTACTTTCTTCAAAAGCTAAACGTACTGTAAAGGGAGAGCTTACATCTTCACCAGCAACTGTTACTGGTGTGCGTCGAAGTAACAGTGATAAAACTGGAAGAAGTTCGATGAATTCAAGCAAGCCAAGTATCAATGGGAAGGAAGGCTTGCATATGGCCAGATCATCATTCTCTGTAGAATCGAAGATGGATGTTTCTGTTGTAATACAAGAACATGATGTGCAAGATTCATTCATAAGAGGTCTTCATGTGGAGTCGACACTGGCAGGAGTGTCTTCAGATACCACAGAATGTGTTGATGAATCTAGATCAGCACCAGAAGAAATAATTAGGCCTGTGTCAGGGGATGATGGGATGGAAAGCAATCGGAAGAATGAAGCATCAGGAGGGAATGAAGAACCCCTGCAGAGCTCCATTGTAACAGGCTTGCTGCAATCATCGGATGATCAGCAACTCAAGAATGCACTGAGCAATTTAGAGGCAGAAGAAAACCAAACAGACGATGCTTCTCCTTGCCAATCATCTAAAAACTCGATAGCTGTGGAAAATGCAGTTCTGGGCGACTCTCTATCAACCGAAAATAGTTCAGAAATTGAAGCTGATGGAGTGAAAGCCAACGCTAGCATGGAGTCTCAAGACGCTGAAGGTAATGAAGAAGAGGAAGCCCATGAAGGCCTTCAAGAATCTATAGAACAGTTGGCACTCGGTGAAAAACATGCTAAGGAGCCTGGATCTTTTCTTGGTTCCACCTCAGGAAATACAGTGGAAGATGTCAAGGCTGATGAAATATTTGAGGGTTGGACTAATAACAGTCCTTCACACTGCCAACCAATTTCAGAAACTTCATCAGATGGTGAACTTCTGGGGGAGCCAAAGTCTGTGCAAATTCAACCAAGTGATTCTACTCTACAAACAGATGGGTTAGTGATTTCTAGTACTGGCAACACCTTTGAACAGGATGAACTGAAACCAGGGTTTTTCCTTCAACAGTCACCTGAAGAACTATCAGAGGATGAATTTTACGAAGAGTATGATTTTGAGTTAAGTGAATTAGATGAATCTGGTACAGAAGATGAAGGACCAACGATCAATAAAAACAGCTATGATCATTTAAAGGCTGATGGACAACGACCAAAAAGAATCTCAGCGCTTGAACAGGATGATGATAGTGCCACACCTTACAAATTGAAATTTAAGAGAGGTAAAATTGTTGAACTCCAACCAGACAGTAATGGCCCAAGAAAACTCAAATTTAGAAGAAGAAGTGCAAGTGAATTTTCAAGCAGTGAAGGCCTGTCAGCTAGAAGAATATATAAGATGAATAGCACAATAGATGCTGGACCTTCTAACCTAGATGTGGAATCTCCTGGTGTGAAACTGCGACACCAAGATACACAAGAGAAGAAAGATGCACAGGGGCTGTTTAATAATGTTATAGAAGAAACTGCAAGTAAACTTGTCGAGTCCCGGAAAAGCAAGGTAAAGGCTTTAGTTGGTGCTTTTGAAACAGTGATCTTGCTCCAGGACGGCAAACCCGCGTCTACACCACATGCTGGCAATTCACCACATTTATTTCATGATGACGAGGGAAATGCATCTGAGCAAGCTGCATAGATCATGTGTGCCTTTTTAACATTGCCAACTTGGCGGTCATGTTTTCAGCTTTCTTCTTCTTCTTTTTTATTTTTTTTTCTGATCTGGATTAATGCAGAGGATGTTGTGTAGCTTGTACATTAAATTTCTTTAACAAGTAATATTTTCTCAACAGGTTTAGAGTATAATAAGTAGTCAATGTACTTGTAAATAGTGATGTCAGGTTTATTTCATTGTAAATCAAATGAGAAGTTATAAAACCAAGTGTGCTTTACTTGTAATTGGATTTGCAAATGCTATAAGAGAGGTGATGGCTTGGAGCTTGTTTACAAGCATTTCTGTAGTCACTTTCTGGTTGACTTCTCTCTCTCTCTCTCACAACCAAGGGCAGGAGCCACTTTACTCTTTATTTTTCTCTTGCATTTTTCCCATAAGGAATGTACCATGAGCTACCAATCTAATCTAACCGTTGATTTAGCAGGAGTATGATCGGACTAACAGGTGTCCTCTCTTCGTCGAGCCCGCCGCGTCGTCGCATCCAGCCTGTCGCCGTCGACGCCAATCGAGGCCGCCGCCGCCGTCGTGCATCCCGCCGGCCGCCGACGTCGCCCATCCAGCCCACCGTCGACGTCGCCAATCGACGTCGCCGCCGCCGTCGTGCATCCCACCGGCCGCCGCCGTCGCCCATCCAGCCCGCTGTCGCCGTGCATCCCGCCGGCCGCCGCCGTCGCCCATCCAGCCCGCTGTCGTCGTCGCCAATCGAGGCCGCTGCCGCCGTCGTGCAACTAGCCGGCCGCCGCAGTCGCGCATCCAGCCGCCCGCCGCCATCGCACGTCCAGCCGCCCCCGTCGCCGCGCGTCCAGCCGCCACCGCCGCCGCGCGTCCGTCCGCCCGCCGCCGTCCAGCCCCTATCCAGCCGCCGCGCGTCCGTCCTCCTGCCGCCGTCCCCCTCGCATCCCGTCGTCGCCGCCGTCGCATCCCACCGTCGCATCGTGGCCGCATCGATCAATCTCACATGCTCGTCGTCGTCGTCGTCTCGGCTTGGGTCGCCCGCCGTCGCGCCGTGGCCGCCATCGCATCGAGGCCGCCGCCTTCTCACTGCCGCATCTGCCGTCGCATCCCGCCGTCCGTCGCATCTCGCCGTCGCGCCCCGCCGTCGCGCCGCGCCCGCCGTCGCATATCGCCGTCGCGCCGCCTCCACCGCGCAGCGACGAGCTTGAAGGAGCGGCGCTCGCGGTTAGGTCGATCGAGAGAAGTGACGCGAAATTACGATGATACCCTCCCACCTCAAAAACTGATCGGTACCTCCTCTCACAGGAAACGCGGTACCACGTGGTACCGAGGTTTTCCAGCCGTTAGATCACGCGAAATCAACGGCTAGGATATGATACTGCCTTCCCTCAAGGACTGTAAAAAAACTCTTTTTTATCAATAGAGAAGGAGTAAATTCACAGTGCGGATATATATACAGGGTCTATCACAAAACAATAGACCCGCAAAAAAACTGAAAGAGGGTTATTTTCCGAAGGGGATGATATCTGTGATCCGGAGGGGAGCCCCTTTATTAAGGCAGCTTTTGCTAAAACTCGAGCAGTTTCTTGAAAACTTGCTTCATATATGAAACTTTGGGTAAAGTTTTTACTCATGAAAACTGTCGACAGTCAGCTAGCAGTTCCGTTATTCATTTCTAGAAGAGAACTACAACTGGCTCACCAAGTGTTTTTTTAAGAACTTTTACCAAGTATTTTTTTTTGTTATCCTGATGTGTATTTGTATGTAACAGACACATCACCGATAAGTTCCTGAATTTGTATTATTGTACTGAACATATACTCTTTTCTTATAGTGTCTACTTCATTTTGAAAGCACAACACATCGTTTTGAAAGCACTTGGTGATTATGCAAAAGCTGTACCTTTTTTAGTAGAGCATGCCAACTTTTTGCATGCTGGATAAAATTCTATACACTCATCAAACCAATACACATTATAAAGCACAATACATCGTTGTTTGGAGGGTACAATCTTGCAATCGCCTATCATTCCATTCAAATATTGCATCATATGGAAATATCTTAAAAGCAAGCGCATGCGCGGGGAGCCTTTTCCGATAACCGTCTTTTATTTGCCTTTTCTTTGATCTTTTTCTCATCGTTATATTTCCTTTCCTCTGCCATTGTCCTTGCTCCTCCAGCAATTTTGTTGATCCTTGTTATTTCCTGGCTGTATTCTTCTAGTGCCTTTGCTCTCTTTTGGTCCAACACTTTCTGCAAATTAGCAAGTTCAGTTTTCAGTATCGTCAATCTAAACATTTTTTTGACATGCTACATAAATCACGACATTTCAAAACATAAAGAGTTTATATCCAGGAAAAGATAAAGAGGGTATATTGAACAAGCAATGTAATATGCTATTAAATTACGAATAATAAACAAAAACCTCTTTTTGCTCTTTTTGGCGCTTAGCCTTCACCTTCTTCTCATTCTCCCATTCAGCTATGGTATCCATCATGTTCTTATACCTAAAATTTTGACAGCGAGTTAATTCTGCTTTCATCAAACAGTCATGCATATAGTTCAAAACAATTGTACTTACTCTTCCGTAATGCTAGCGAGCTTCGCCTTCTCCCATTCATTAGTTTTGGTGTCTGCTGGGCCAACAGCAGTTAATCCAACAGTACCATCTCCATTCCGTCTAGAATGATACGATGTTGCTGGCCTTGTGGTGGATGGGGTCTTCTGAATCACCTGCTCTTGCTCAAACTTCTTGCTCCCTTTCTTGTCTTGCAATTTGCTAGAGGAACCCGAACCTTTCTTCGCGCTCAGAGAAGAATCAACCATCTTGGGTGGCACCTTCTGATCTGAAGCTATGTCCTCTTGCTTTCTTTGTGCTGGTTTAAGTGGCCTCCTTACAGATACATTGGCTGAAATGCATTTCAGCACCGTTATAAGAAGTTTGCAGGTTTTGCTACAGTAAAATTGAATAAAGATGGAGTTACATATTTACAGAATACCTGGTCCATCGTCATTGTCTTCAGCAGGCTCTTTGCCACTAAACCATCTTGAGATCTTGCTGCCTCCTGTGGGTTTTTTCATGCTTTCACCTCTCTTTACTGGAGACTGGACAGGAGGAGTAGTAGATTGCCCCTGAATGGGGACAGGCTTCTTCTGAGCTGCTAGCTTCTCTTCTTGCGAAGCAATTGCATATGCTGCTGCAGCAATTGTGGCCGCAAATGCAGCATCATATCCATCGCTGCTATTCATCGGTGCTGCCAAGTTTCACTGCCAGTTATTAAGTTTTCCGTTTCCTTCTTCTTATATTTTGCTTTGTGTGTTCTATCCTGATTTATTTCTTTCTTTCAACAGAATAAATGGCTCAACTAGAAAAGTACATCTTTGACAAACTAAACCGGATATATATATCTTTGACAATTATCTATTTTCAACATCTGCTTTTTAATTCAAACATCTGAACATCTGATAGCAGAAATTACTTTTTTACAATGCAGAATGCTGATTAACCGATTTGTTCATAGTGCTATAGGACAGAAATTTAATGGCAAACTGCTGGTAGCGATCAACAGTAAATAAAAGATTATGTCATCGTTAAAACTGAAAGATGAAATCTTGATCACCTACCTCTTTGAAGAGATGTGTCTTCTTCTTGCAGTATTGTTGGAGCCTGTCTGCCACCTTTGTTTCCCTTTCCTAATCCAGGAAATCGAACCCTGCGCAAGAGCGATGTTCTGAAATTTTAATTTGATGCTGATGCTACTACCCTGCACTAATCACTGGGCGCCAATGTGAAATCCAGCTATATATTGAGGAACTTAAATAAAACATGGCTGCTCTTGAGAAGAACTGAACAAGTAAATAAGGGAGGAAAGATGACAACACATTTTCTTGCAGAAATTTGAAGTTCTCGACAAAACACAAGGGGCAAAAGGGCACAAAAACTACAGTTATGAGCTAGTAGCTCGTATGAGCTACAGTCTTGAGATGACACGAAACTAATTAAGCCATTGAAAAGTTTACCCTTTTGCCGACGAAACAAAGTAAAATCCAAAGCTTTCACCAAATTCACCTCAAGATGTTTCATGCGGTTGCATACCTTAGCTTCTTCAAGTCGCCGTCCATGGCGCCCAACGTATTTGTAGAGAACGAATAGCTCCAAGGAAGAACAATCTTCAGAACTAAGCGAAGTCCTGCGTTTTAAATATTGCTTTGCTTGTATTCATAGGTGGTGAAGAGAGGCAGAGAACAAGGAAGCCATTTTTTGTATTGTAGAAAGGCAAGAGGAATGGATATGGGATTGCTTTAACCCATGGAAATCTTCAAGAATCAAACCCCCCTTTTGGTTGTTCTGTTCTTTGGGCTTAGCATGTGCTATTCTTTCTCCCTGTGCTTTTCTCTTGCTCTTCTTGCCCTTGGCTTAAGTCTGAAGATAGCTAGCTATTTGCCTAATAAATTTTGAAAAAAAAACATTCAGGGAATATTTTCCTTAGTGCAATTCAGCATCATTTTTGTCTAACATTCTCTTAATATGAAATATTCTTGTTCTCTGCACGTAGCTAGTAATCAGTTACAGATGTCAATTCAGTGTTCAAACCTGTTTCTTGCAAAATTCAGTTTTCAGTGCCCTATTGGAGGAGCAAAGTAAACAGAATGTGCTTTTTCTCACAAGTGCAGAATCTGTTCTGTGATTCTAGTTGGATGCTAGATTTTTACTCTACTTTATTCTGAGTGCCTAGGTTGCTAGAAAGGAAAAAGGTTAAACTGCATCCTGTCCAAAGAAGGGATACTGATTTCCAATATTTTGTTCTTGCAAAGGAGCTATCAGGTTGAAAGATTAGACATGCCAGTCCACTAAGCATCAGTTCTCGTGTGTGCATTTTTGTTCATCTTTTCCGCACTAGTAAAAATCTAGTGACAAGACTGAACAGTAAACGACAATAAGAATCATAAATAAAAAATAACCCTAAATATTTTGGTACAAGTTGCACAAAACCACATGATTTTGGCATGGCACTTAACCCCAAATATTGTGGCTATAAAGTTTCAAAAACCACACTATTAAACATTTTGACTTTGATCAACCACATTTTAAAGTTGTATAATAATATCTCAAATGTATGAATTTTTTATCCATCATATAAATATCACGTGCATGTAAGTAAAGCTTTTTAAATTTTGAATATAGGAATATGTAAAATTGGTCAATGGTGTGCTTTTGTGAAACTTCAGGACCATAATACTTCCATGTGCTAAAATCACTATGGTTTTGTGTAACTTAGACCATATTGGTATGGTTTTATAAAATTTACTAAAAAAAGTTAAAAAGAACATTTTTCTAAAATAAATAAGAAAGCATTAGTGGGCCAAGAAAATAATCAAGAGCTTGATCTCACGGGCCGTCAGGACGAAGAATTAGGCCCATCTTAAATGAAAGGAAACTTCGGCCCATTTAACGAGCCCTCCATCTTCTAATCCCCTCATCCGCTGCTCTGCTCCCACCATTGCTGCTCTCTCTTCTCCTCTTCTCTTCTCCCTCTTCCTCTTCTCCACCCTCCTATCCGTTCTAGCGAGGGACCAAATTTCTCACCAGATTTCCTGCCGATTTTCCCCTCATGAGCCAGCCGAATCCCTCTTCCAGCGTGATTTCCAGAATCCCTTTGTCTTGTTGAGAGATTTTTGCAGGTTTCGTTTGCATTTGCGGGGCGGGCATATATGGCTGCAGTGTGGAGCGGCTGCAGCACGAGCTTCAGCCAAGAACTTCCCCCACACCCGCGTGGAAGAAGGGGCGGTGATGGGGCAAGAATCCATCCATGGAGCGGAGGAGCGGGCAGAGACGCCACCACCCGCCATGCGGAAGCTGCAAGGACCGTGGTTGTCTTCGCCAGAGGGCGCGTGCGCGTGTGCAGGGCGGCGGCTCCATGCGTTCTTGAACCCGACGTCGCCGGCAAGGAGGAGGTCGGTGTGGCGGTTTGGGGCATGGACGATGAGCCGCCGGTCGCTGATGGTCACCGGAGGCACGGGCTGCGGCGGCGCCCGGTGAGGCCGGCTGCTGTGGAGGAAGGCCCCGTCGCCGCAGCAAGAAGCGCGGCGTCGGCGTCGGCGTCAGCCGCGGGGAGCAAATCTGAGGTCGGGGGATCGAGGCTGCACTTCTTGGAGGAGAGGGATGAGGAGATGCTGTCCAGGAGGTTGATCAAGCTCAGCCAGTCCAACAAGGTCAGGAGTGCCACCGAGCTGTTCGATTCAATGCGTGCCTCAGGCTTGCAGCCGAGCGCGCATGCCTGTAACTCCCTTCTGGCTTGTTTTGTGCGAAGGGGTTCTTTCGCCGATGCGATGAAGGTATTCGAGTTCATGAAGGGGAAAGGAATGGCAACCGGGCATTCGTACACCTTGATACTCAAGGCTGTTGCCACTACTGAGGGCTACTTTGCAGCCCTGAAAATGTTTGATGAAATTGAAGAGAGCGATAAGAAGAATGTCGATGTGATCGTTTACAACACGGTGATATCTGTGTGCGGAAGAGCAAAAGACTGGAGGCAGGTGGAGAGACTTTGGAGAAGGCTAGGGGAGAATTCTTTGAGTGGAACCTTGATGACTTATGATTTGTTAGTTAGCACATTTGTCCAGTGTGGGCAGTCTGAGTTAGCAGTTGATGCTTATCAGGAAATGTTCAAAAGTGGTATTGATCCAAGTGAAGATATACTGAAGGCCATCATTGCATCATGTACAAAAGAAGGGAAATGGGAGTTTGCGCTTACCACATTCAGGAGAATGTTGAGTGCTGGAATGAAACCTAGTATCATTGTGTTCAATTCCATAATCAACTCACTTGGTAAGGCCGGTGAAGATGAACTTGCCTTTAGGATGTATCATCTGCTAACATCTTCAGGCCTTAAGCCTGATCAATATACATGGAGTGCTTTACTGTCAGCGTTATATAGGTCTGGTCGTTGTTGGGATGTCCTAGATCTTTTTCAAGGAATTAAGACCAAGCATTCAGCACTCTTAAATAACCATCTGTACAACATAGCTTTGATGTCTTGTGAAAGACTTGGTCAATGGGAACATGGCTTGCAATTGTTATGGATGATGGAAAGAGGTGGACTTCAAATATCGGCGGTTTCATACAATCATGTGATAGGTGCTTGTGAAGTTGCTAGGATGCCAAAAGTTGCTCTGAAAGTGTACCGGCGTATGACTCATCGAGGGTGTTCACCAGACACGTTCACACATTTATCTGTTATAAGAGCTTGCATATGGGGATCTCTTTGGAATGAAGTTGAGGATATATTGGAGGTACTACTTCCTTTCTTTGCTTTATACTTCTGTTCAGATGGCCAAAAAAAATGGGATTTCTCATTGCTTAGCATGCGTTAGTCTACCATGCTGGTACCTAAAGCATGATTAACAGAATTAGTGGCACTCTGACCCCGGGATTTCTCATTGCTTAGCATGCGTTAGTCTACCATGCTGGTACCTAAAGCATGATTAACAGAATTAGTGGCACTCTGACCCCTGCTTGGTTAGGGCAAAAATTCCTGTTCCTAGGTGTAAGCATGTTGTAGATTGCAGTACCATTATTCCACGCAGAGAAACAAAGAAAATGAAAACACTAAACAAGCTCTTATATTTTTGCTGCCAATATGAAAAAATATTTTGATTGGTTAAGGCAAGTGATTCCTATGATTCTGCCTTTGTCCTGAAAGCCCAGCGAACCGTAACTAATGTTTTCTACGTCTGTTTGACGTTTTCCGGTTTCCAATGTTTCTGTTACCATGATTCAGAATAACACGTATGCTAAAACATACAGTATACATATAGCTTCTTGTTTCCTCACCCATTCATCATGCTAACATTAAGGATAAAGCATGCCTAAATTTCTGCAGTTCCTATTTTTTGGTGTTTGTAAAATCGTACCTAGTTAGCCCACGGTAGCATTTAAATACATGATGTTCAACTTTCATGACATATTACTCTGTGCAATTTTGATACTTCCAAATGGACCGAATCGCATATTTCATTCGTTTCACCTTATATGAACTTTGAACCTTGCAGGAGGTCGCTCCAGACTCCTCGGTCTACAACACGGTAATTCACGGGCTTTGTCTGCGAGGCAAGATCAGATTAGCGAGGAAAGTATACACGAAAATGCGGAGCATTGGGTTGAAACCAGATGGCAAGACCAGGTCGTTCATGCTGCAGAATTTAGCCACTGACTACTAGCAGAATAATGTCCCTGAGAAAACACTAGTTTGTAGTTCAGTCAGTAGCTGTACAGATCCAAACGAAGCATCACACCACTATATGTAACCTGCTGTCACTATTCTGAATCAAGCAGTTCTCATTTTAGCTGTTGCCATGCTAAAGCAAACAAAGTGGAGGCTTATGCAGGGTTTCCCAAACCGCCAGGGCCGGGGTTACCGCGCCCCGGCGGTAAGCGTGGTTACTGCGGTAACTGTGAAAAACCATACCAAACCGTGCAAAATTTATCAAAAATTCAAATTATTTTCTAAATTTATTTGAATTTAAGAAGGTTATCGTGGTTTTTCTATTACCGTACCCCGCGGTAAGACTGGTAACCGCGGTTGCTGATGGTAATGTAAACCCTGGGCTTATGTTGAAGACGAACAGTTAGGTTACACATGTTCCTTTGTAAAAAAAAAAAGAAGTGTAAATGATCCGGCGATGACCATCCAGCGTACGTTGTCGTGGTGATTATGTGATACGATATGGTGACATTGCTCCATGTTTTCTTCTTTTGACTGTGTCCGCCTATGTTTACTGGGAAAATTGTTCCTCAACGGATTTCTTTTCCCAAACGAGATTAAAACTCCAACCCCTTAACCCTTGTGTCCGATTCTATTTTATGCGCGCGACAATGCTGATAAAACGTCGGTAAAAGGTGAATCCGCCCTTCTCGCCATGCTTACAGACTGGACTTGGAGGCTTACGTTAATTAAGACGACGACGAAGACGAATAGTTGGGTTGGTTGGCACACAAGTTCCTCGTACAAACAACGGGTAGATCTGTGGATGTATGTACTCCCTCCGTCTTAAAAAAAGACAAACCCTGATTTCCGTGTCCAACGTTTGACTGTCCGTCTTATTTAAAAAAAATATGAAAAAAAATTAAAAAGACAAGTCACGCATAAAATATTAATCATGTTTTATCATTTAACAACAATAAAAATACGAATTATAAAAAAATTTCATATAAAACGGACAGTCAAAGTTAGACACGGAAATCTAGGGTTTGCTTCTTTTTTTTTTTTGAGACGGAGGGAGTAGATGACACGGTGAATCTAGCTTTTGCCCGGGATAGGGAGGCGCATCCGCATATGAGTGAGTAAGGTGGTGTTTAGGTCTCACAAAAGTATAAGTCACAGAGAAGGGACTTATATTGTGAGAAGGACTAAAATAAGTCCCTCCCCTCTCAAACACCACCAAAGTTTTGTGCCGTGACCAACTGTGGCTGTGTTCCGTGAAATGTTCCTGACTTCTCATTTTCCATATGCACGTTTTTCAAACTGCTACACAGTGTATTTTTTACAAAAAGTTTCTATACGAAAGTGGCTTAAAAAAATTATATTAATCTATTTTTATTAAAAAAAATTAGTAAATACTTAATTAATTACTTGCTAATTATGGCTCCGTTTTCCGTGCCGAACGCAGCCTGTGCCTATCGACGCGCGACGCGATGTTCCGGCCGGGATCCCATGCAAAAATGCGGTGGCGCAGTCGCATGCCTTGCGGCCGCGTTGTGCCTTTGTGGTGGTTTAGCACGTAATAGCACGGGTTAGTCTCTTCAGTAAGCTTTACGAGGCCGCGTCTCCCCCCTGGCCGTTTGGTTGGTCTAGTGCTTTCCTTCAACAAATCCTCGCTGTTGCATCCGTATCGCTGCTCGTATATGCAACAACAGGAGACTTAAGGCCTGATTAGAGAAGCTTCTAGCTGCTGCAGCTTCTCTCAGAATCAGAAGTTCTCCTAAACAGTCTAGTTTTTATCCAAATTTTAAAAAGTTATAGTTGTGGAATACAGAAAATAAACTAGAAGTCAGAAGCTGGAAAACCCAGTTTTTACAGATTCTTAGAAGCTGGCTACCAACTACTCCCTCATAGCTAGGGTTTGTCTTTTTTTTGGACGGAGTGAGTAGTTGTTTCTCATAAGAGCAAGAATAATAGTGGGTTATAAGAAGGCTGAATGCTGAGGTGGATGAGAAAGGAGAGGAGAGAGATGAGAAGCGGACTGTAAGTTTATAACCGGCTTAGGCATAGGAATCAAGAAAATTTGTGAGACAGACAGGTGGAACATATGTTTACAGAAAAGAGCTAACCATTATATAAGTGAGCTGAGAGATATGCTATAAAGATCTATACAGTCAGCAGCTGGCTATATTATTAGTCTTGCTCTAATCTTAGAAGTCTCCAAACATGCCCTTAATATTGGTGAACAGAATTTCTTGCGGTTGCTACGGGTAGGCGTAGGTGGTTACGTGGAGGTGTTTAAAAAAAGAATAAGCTTTGACACATGACACGAGCAAAGCTTCGCGGTGGGCGCACTGTCACTATCGGGCTGCTCTTATCACCACAACTATGGGCCTGTTTGGATCTTCAGGCTATTAAATATCTCTCCAAAATTTTACTATTTAGAAGTATTAAATATAGATTACTAATAAAAACCCATTCCATAACCCTTAGACTATTTTACGAGACGTAGGGGTTATGGAATGGGTTTTGTCAGTAATATACGTTTAATACTTCTAAATAACAAGATTTCGGATGGCTATTTAATAGCCCTCCGGATTCAAACAGGCCCTATACCGGAGTTTACTGCTCTCTCCGTCTCATAATATAAGGGATTTTAACTTTTTGTTTGTACTGTTTGACCATTCGTCTTATTTAAAAAAATTTAGAATTATTATTTATTTTATTTGTGACTTACTTTATTATCCAAAGTATTTCAAACATAACTTTTCGTTTTTTATATTTACATAAATTTTTTGAATAAGACAAATGGTCATACAATACAATAAAAAAAATCAAAATCTATTATATTATGGTACTTAGGGAGTATTAACTCCTACCGAAGTCAGATCTAAGAGTCCTCTGTTTCAACAAGCTGGTTCACTGACCTCCATTACTGGATTTATTTTATTCAACTTTCTTCTGAAATTTGTTTTCTCACAGTGACAGTCACTGATCTCACACACACAGCATCTCCTGAATCGGACACAATTCACCGACACAAGCAAACTCTGCTGCAGCACAGAGAAGTAGTACTAGTAGTAGGAGAAGGAGAAGGCACGCACCTCAAGATATACCTACTGTTTATTCCCTTGTCCTGCCACGTTGCTCCAAGAAGCAGCTCAGCTCGCCGTGCCCTGCAGCTCTACCGGCAGCATCATCATCACCTGTATCCCCGAAAGGCAGCTTCTTCCGGTTGTAGCTACCGAGCTACCAGTACCACCCACCCTGAGAGCCAAGAAATGGCGGCCTGATTGGGCCCCCCCGTGAGCTCCGAATCCGCCGGCGGCCAACTGCCGGATCTCCTCGCAGCCAGCGCGCCGCCGGGAGGGACGGAGATTGGCGGCGGAGGAGGGGAGGTGTCCAGGCCAGGTCAGGTGGGATCTCCGCTTGCTTCGCCGGCTTAGAAATCGGCATCTTTGTCTTGCAGATGTGAGCTTGCAAGTGTGGGGTCTCCGCGTCTTTTTCCAGGTTAGAAATGGCATGTTTTGTGTTAAGTGAGAAAAAAAAAAGAAAAAAATCTTTCTTGGGCACAGACAAGTATTTATTCTTGCTATATCTGATCGGTTAATTCAGTTACCGTTGCTTAGTATGTCATGTCTTCTTGTTGAATTCAGATAGTTCTGGTGAAATTTAGAAATTTTCGCATCAGTCACTGAGTGGCTAATTATGCATACTTTTCAGTTATCATATCAGCTCATAATCTTCCAATCCCCGCAAAAGTTTATATAAGAAATTCATAATATTCCAGAAAATGGATACTCTTGTAGTGCATAGAACAAATTTTGATCGTGATTTGTTATAGGTGGCAGGCATGGAGGTGAGGCTGCTGCTTCTAGTGTTCATATGTCTGCATGCTCTTCTTTGGGCGGCTTCGGCTCAGCAGCCAGAGGAGGCGACGGTCATAGTTAAGGGATCGACAAAAATCGCTGAAACGAATAAAAATTATATATGTGCTACAATCGATTGGTGGCCACCAGAGAAGTGTAACTATAATCAGTGTCCATGGGGCCAATCGTCAATTCTAAACTTGGTATTGTTATGCTCTTCCCTTGGAGTAGTACTACTTTTATATGCTGTTATTGTGCATTGGTTCATGGGCTTACTTCTCATTTGGTGTTCCACCAACTGGTTCATGTAGGATTTGGATCATCCCTTCCTGGCTCAAGCCATTCAAGGTATGTTGTTGGATTTCATTAGGTGATTACTGCTTCCATATTAATCATTTCTGCTGGGTTTGTCTGGATTATCAGAGGAGAACTTTCGTATATAGGTGAGTGATGCGGTAAAGACAAAAAGGAATTGCAAACACACATCTCTAATGCAATAAGTCCTTTTATATTCAAACATTGTTGCAGCCTAGGAAGCACGTCTACTTTAGTTTGTAGTTTGCAAGAATGCAATTTCTACTTTTAGTCGGATCCCTATAAATTTTCCATTGCAAAGATTTTGTATACTCTCTTTTGAGATGATATTCCAAAGAAGCTCTTAAATCTTATTTCCTACTATCTGTGTTGTATCAATTCTCAGCAGAAAAAAATACTACTCAAAATCTGACATGATACTATCTGCGGCTGCACCATATCGGTGGATACAATTATGTTTATTTGCAGGATGCTTATTCAATTGCAATGATAAGTCAATTGATTCCCTAAATGTCTCACGGTCTCTCTTTCTCTGTTCTCTCTGCAGCATTTGATAATTTGAGGATTAGACTGGGAGGCTCTTTGCAAGACCGAGTTGTTTATGATGTGGGTACAAACAGTCCATGCGCCCCGTTCACAAACATGTCAAATGGTTTATTTGGTTTCTCAGATGGTTGTCTAAGCATGGATAGGTGGGACAAACTGAATGCTCTATTCCAAAAAACAGGGTGAGTATTTAACTACATGACTATTATGCATAAAAAACTCTCCCTAAAAAATTATGCATATTTTTTTTTTCATTTTCTTCATGAAGTTCCAAAATCTTCTTTTGCATCAATCATGCAACTCATACTTGTTTATCAGAGCTAGCTAATGGGTGTTAAAAACATTTATCTCCAGTGCAATTATCACATTTGGTCTGAATGCGCTCTATGGGAGGTACAATGTCCGTCGTTCTTTCTGGGCTAGCAAATGGAACTCTACAAATGCATATAATTTTGTAAAATACACAATCTCAAAGGGATATCCAGTTGACTCATGGGAATATGGTAATCTGTTGTATTATTTTTTTTTATACTTGGTCATTTAATATTGCATACCATTTATTCGGAGTTCTGGAACATGAAGTAAGCTGAGCGAATGTGAGCCTCAATAGTGCCATTTGTTGTTTTGTCAGGTAATGAACTGAGCGGGCATGGAATTGGGGCAAGAGTCGATGCTACACTGTATGGAAAAGATGCAATTGAACTTAAATCCATCTTTCAACAGTTGTACAAGGCACCACTCTCCCAGCCATCCCTGTTAGCCCCTGGAGGATTCTTTGATCAGCAGTGGTACACTCAGCTACTTCAGACTTCTGGTCATGGCGTTGTCAGTGCTTTGACGCATCATATTTATAATCTTGGTGGAGGTATGTGATATGCTACTTTTGCTCTAGTGGCATCTGAAAAATCGTTTCTGTGCTTCGATTCTGTAGCTTGACGTTTTGAGGGAATGATCAAGAATGTTGTAGGCAGGACTTTTACTTGTTTCACATTTTTCAATCATACTAATTCTCTCTAACTTTCCCAAAAAAAAGGGTTCTGTCCTGTTAAGCGATGAGTTGTGTTATGGTCTTTCTGAAATGCCAAATCATGAGTTTCTTGCAGGCTTTTATTCTTTTCTTACTCATGTTAAGAACATCTTTTGTGTTGGATTTGAGTCCTTTTAATTTGATCAGAAATATATAAGCGTGATTCACTGGAAATCCAGGTTATTTTATCATTATTAGTCCACTTTTTGTAATTAATAAGCAAAATTCATCAATGGCGACGCCATGTTTTCAGGGAATGATGCCCACCTTATAAGGAAGATATTAGATCCAAAGTATTTAGATCGTTCAGAAGATACTTATAGGGATATGCAACTCACCCTTCAAAGGCATGGAACATGGGCTTCTGCCTGGGTCAGCGAAAGCGGAGGTGTATTCAACAATGGCGGTGAACTTGTGTCAAACACTTTCATCAATAGCATCTGGTCAGCTCTCAATATTTTCTCATGAACTTTCACAATTACATGCGGTCAGACACCAAAATAAATTCACAGCTACACTCTAGCATCTTGTGGCAGCAAGAATTTGTGATGGTTTTTCAATGCAAACAGGTATCTTGATCAGCTTGGAATGGCATCTAAGTACAATACAAAAATATTCTGCAGGCAGACTCTGATTGGTGGCCACTATGGTCTACTTGACACCCAAACTTTTTTGCCAAATCCTGATTACTATAGGTAAGGCTACATCTTTAGACTTTACTGCAGCATTTTACGGTACAAAGTTTTCACTGTTTAAACCTTCTTTTGTCCCCAGTGCTCTACTATGGCATCGGCTTATGGGCAGGGAAGTTCTTTCAGTTGATATCAATGCGCCGCGTAAACTGCGTGCTTATGCTCATTGCAGGAAACAGCAGGTACAAATTGCACACTTTTTTTTTTCTTTTCTTGACTTCGCAAATTATGGCATTCCCGTTACCGCTGACTGTTTTGCTATGACCGAAAATTGCCGTATTTCCATGTAAACATCATGTTAAATTCAAGTGAGGTAAATGTCTAGATTAGCCACTCTTCCATGTAAGAATCTGAAACAAATCTTATTTTCAACATGCAGCAAGGAATCACCCTCCTGTTGATCAACCTGAGCAATACCACCGGATACAACGTCACCCTCCAGAATGACATCAATGTCAGCCTTGACAAAACAGCCAGCCTTCATAAGCACAATTCTTTCTCACACAGCCTCAGAAGAGCGGTTTCATGGCTGGGGCGCAAGCCGTCAAGCGACGTCGCGAGGAGGGAGGAGTACCACCTGACGGCCAAGGACGGCGACCTCCAGAGCAAGACGATGCTGCTCAACGGCGCACCGCTGGAACTCTCGGACGACGGCGGCGTTCCGGCCATGAGCCCTGCGCTCGTTGCTGTCAACTCGCCGGTGTACCTGGCACCGACATCGATCGCCTTTGTAGTTCTTCCAATGTTTGAGGCCAAGGCCTGTTCTTGAGTGATCAATCTTGCCTTCTTGTTGAGTATTACGCCCTTAGAATGTTCCATTTGTTCTTTTCTGGTTTAAATAGCAAAACCCTTGGAATGTAAGCCTTTAGAATGTAAAAGAATGGAGTGTTCCATTTGTTCGTTTTCTGGTTTGAATAACAAAGCCTTTAGAATGTAAAAGAATGTACCAAAACCCTTCGAATACAAGAAGGATCACAAGAATTTACCTTAGAATGCATAGAACGATTACAAGAATTTAAACATATTGTGAGTAAATTACAAGAATGTAAACAGATTTTGAGTAAATAACAATTGAATTGTGAGCAAAATTTTTGAAGTTTGGAATTGTTGGGGCCTTTCCTGATAGGAAAAGCACCCTCCAAAAATAAAGGTATGCTGCTTAATGTGGCGCGCACACGGTATTCTTTAGTAAAAGGCGAAAGAATAGTTCGCTTTGTGTTCACCACGCAGCTCCATGCTCTGCACCGACTGCCAAGGCCACCTATTTGTACACCTCCCAGGTCATCGCTTCTCGCTTGGCAGTCGAGGTGGGACTAAAATCTGCTAGTTCTAGTAGTGCTTCCGTGACGCCGAAATCATATTGGGCTGGGCTAGCAGGCCCATTTTTTTTAGTGCGTTCAAGGGGGACGCAGGTTGAAACTCCGAACACAGACCGGATTATTTATTTATTTATTTTTCAAACGAGACGAGGAGGGGTTAGAGATTGTCAGATTGTTAGGTCATTTTAATCGCGATTCGAAAGATAGGTCATTTTAACAAACCCTCAGGGCTGGATTTATTTTGAACCCCCTAAAGTTGGAATTATTTTTTGTTTTGGATTGGGGTTAGAGATTAATCAACGAGGATTAAGGAGGGAACTGAATTTTAATCGCGAATCCAAAGGGTCGGTCATTTTAACTAGTCAATGGGGTCGGAGATTAAAATTTGGACCCTGCAGGACGAACAACTTTCGCTCAGTTTTGTTTAGCCCTTTTTTCCCTTTGAATACGTAAACATTTGTCCGAAAATTATCAGCAGCAGCACTCTCAGTGCTGTCTAGGCTAATAACGTGTCATGTTACAAGTCAATAGAGATGCGTGCACATCACATGTACATAAGCGTCTGCGTTTGTGAACAAAAAAACGTGACGTTCGAATCGAGCTAAAATCTGGGCAATGATTCGTAGTGCCTCAGTTCCGTAATCGGGAAAATCAACACAAATAATCTTGAAAGAATTATCTGCACATTTTCAATATGTCAACAAGTGTAACAATGTCCTGTAGGTTACTCACAAACAATGGCATCTCTACTACAATCATCTCCAACCTACCAAAGCAACCACAAAACTAACAGAACAAAATTTCAAGGACTCGAGTATATCAAGAAGGAAAAAAAGAATAAAATGAGGGGGAAAACATATAAACTCTCGCGACCTCATAGTGGCTGCCTTCTCTTACTTCGCCATGATCAATTAATCGATCGATCGATCAATCTGTGCTACCCTCCGCTGCATTATTCTGCGGTCAAGGATTTAGCCCAATCCCACAGAGGGAGACTTCACCAAGCTATCCTTCGCAGTTCATAGTGTCGAAAAGAATGATGCGCCAATATGATACAGATGAAAAGAATCGTGTAGCCATATATGATACAGATGAAAAGTCTCGAGTATTTGCATGCCAGTCGATCCAGGGCATAGTCAGGTATGTTCAGTGCTGATTGTGTTCTGGTTGTTAACGAATTGACCAATCTTCCCACCATCCAACAGCAATCAGCCTCTCCAGTGAACAAATGAATCACAACCGGTATGATATACTCCAATGCGCCTACCCCATTTCCCAGAAGTCACTCTTTATCATACTGGGGCTCCAAAATATGGCAGTTTCTAATAAAGTCATTGGAGTAATTTACGTGCTTTGTCCAAAATGGTTGTAGGTTCTTAAAAGCAATGTCTAGCCATGGCTTGCACTGGCCATTGTAGTGGATCACTGCAGATCTCCTAACACCCTCAATGTCTGTATTTTCTTGGTATCCTAGGCCAAGCATGTGCCAAGATGGATCTATGCCATGCAGGTGGCCCCTGAATGCTATTAGCGCAGGCGGCAAAGTGCCAAATTTCCAGAGAGTAAGACCAGATTTTAGATTCTGCAAAAGAAGCAGAGGTTATTATGAAATTAAACAAAGACATAGACAATGCCATACTGTTCACTTTTCAGCATTATAAAATTACCATCCTGAGGTATTTACAAAGATGAAACTAAAATCTTCTCTATGTCAGTGGCTAGCAATACTTTTAATATAGCTTAATTGCTTAGGTCTATTTCATATAGCACATAATGGCAAATATAAACCAGGTAGAATCCTAGCAGTAATGGTATTACCATTATGATCTTGTTACACATTTTAGCACAATAAATATACACGGATAAGTGAGAATATATGTGGCGGGGTGTGTTTGTGTTACTGGCAGCAAAAATGTCAGAAGCACACCAGTAAAAATATTTTAATACAATGTTGGCTGCCTAGATTCTGTAATACATCAGATGAAACTGTACAAGAAATATACAAAAGTTATACCAAACAATTAAGCTCGTAATACTCTGAAGAATATCATTGACTGCTCTGTTATGGGATCTAGATTTTAGATTAGCCGTCACTTTCAAGAAAATTCTCTAATAGACACATCAGCTAAATCCCAGTTTAACCTGTTGGAGGTTCTGGTTTGGAGGTCAGAGTCCTTATATATTCTTAAATCAGGTCTTATGCGCATGCCTACTGTACATATGAAAGTTTCACTTGGAATGAACTTTAATTATTCATCAGTATCAATATTACTTTGAAGCTTCTTGATCATAAGACTTCATCTACATGAGGAACCATTCTAAAATTCTACATGTCGAATAGGTACATCCAGAATAGTATTGTTGATCTCAAAAGCAGCAGAGGATACATTTTGGAAACAGAATCTTAACTAGAAGCAAGCCAGGTGAAAGAAAGTTCAAGACTTCCAGCACTTAACAAAACAACTACCTTATGCCAAGACAGATAAGGCACTTTTTTCATAGCACTGATGCTTAGTGATCAAAGCACCCATCTGATTAATGAGAGAGAGATTATTGTAAGGACAAAAAAGGTTACCTCTTTCAACCAGAAATGGTATGTCTCTCTGATGTTTGTCTTCCTCCAAGCTGCCAAGTCAAATATATTCATCCCATATGCCCATGCACATTCATCTGGGTCAAGACTCCGAGCTATCACAGGGTGGGAAAAATTGAAATATGTCCTGAAGCGCTTAGACATCACCCAGTTATCTTCTCCTCTGCAGGTCTCCACAGCACCATTCACCTTCCCTTCGAGATTGATCTTCCAAAGGGGAGACAAATCACGCTGAATAACAATGTCGTCATCAAGAAAGACCACCTTGTTGAGGTTCGGAAAAAGCTGTATAAATAAATAATATCATCAGCTAAAGAAAGATGGGTAGGCCATATCTTTCATTTGTCAGTAGCTGTAAAAGTAACACAGCTATTATCCAGTTTCAGCCCATTCTAATTTATTGATAACATGGATAGCCCAAAATAAAAATAATGGTTTAATCAGATATCAAGGTTATTTTGCTTAGTGATTGCATAACCTAATATTTTCAAATCAAAGCATATTCAAAACATTCAAGTTGATCCAAGTAAGGACCACTTTTTTTCTCATTTAACTGTAGACTTTCCACTAAGTTCCTTTGTCCTGTGTAAGAAAGATTGCACCATGACATTTCCAAGCTCAATTAATCATCTGATGCCTCCAAGCAGACATTTGCACAACCTAATGCACTCTGTAAATGTGTATCATGAGCAGGGGATTTTCACAAAACTGAAATGTCTAAACTGGCAAAATCCTCCAAACATAGAAAATACTAAATAAATTGACATTCCAATGGACCATAATGATGAACTATTATACCGCAATAGAGAATATTGAGGACAAAGTACCTCAGGCAAATAAATGCGGAGATGGTTAAGCAGGGATATGTATTTGGGACTTCGAGCCTGCAGCTTTGAAGCAAGCACTCTCGGACTGTCACTTGCACTAGAAACTGCCGCATGATCTCCATGGTAGTGATTTCTGACTCCACGATGGTTTTCTATAGCCTCTAGTACTGGAACATTTTCTCTCGTCAACCAATCAAACTGGTGAACACCTTTCACTTCAACTATAGCAGGTGATATAGAATTAAGAGCAAACCAAGAATGCATCCCCGGATACGTTTTCTTATCAGTAATAACATGAAATACTACTTTATGAGGTACTGACGAAGATCGGACAGTTGAGCTCACAACAACTGAAGCAGCAAGGATATTATCACTGGCTAGAATGTAATGTTGGAATGAATTATCAGAAAGTAAAGGTAACAGTTCAGGTGGTGGCAACTGTTTCCGAGCATGAGCATTTGAGGAATATTCATCAGTAAGACGCAGAGACAGGCAATGTATGCCCTTGGGAATAGCAGTTGCAGCATAATGTTTATATAATTGCTCTGCCAGCCTTAACTTCTTTACTTCCTTATCCATGTTTTCCATCTACAAAGAAGCACATAAAGTGATCAATATATTTCACATGCAGGATGCAAACATCAGAGTGCCTCATCAGGGTTAACAGTATATAAGACATGAATAAGCTATGTGGTGCCACCAAAGCCAAGTTCAAAATTCTAGCGACCAGTATGACAGTATCAAATGACCACCAGCAGCAAAACTGCAAAATACATTAGGAGCAGAATCACATGCTCCAAAAATGTTCGGCGTGAGAAGTGTGTAATGGAAATTTTATACCAAAAATGTAAAACGTGAGATGTGTGTAATGGAAATTACGTACCAATAGCTGCAAGACATCCCACTATAAAACACAAGCGAAATAATTTCTTTCAAAAAATAAGGGTACAACAAGTATATCATCCCTACCAAAAACATTTGAAAACAAAATGTTGCTACAAAGTCATGGTTCATAAGCAAAGGTCACTCTTGTATCACTCTCTCCTTCAAACTAATTTTAAGGCCCATCTGGGTGGCTGAGCGGGCATAATTGGATATCAGGCACTTGATCTAAATATCTAATTCCTCATGCAGCTGTTTATCATGAATTAATAATGCATTATTTTCCTATAATTTGTCCAGGAACACAAAGACTTCAGACAATATGCTACTGTCAACTACAAAATGTGCATCACAAAATCAATTTGGTTTTAGAAGTTAGCTGCTTTAATGAAAGAAGTTAT